TTGCACCATATGGCCCATGGTAAATCCAGCAATGGAAAACTTCTGTGGTGCTCCCTTCCCTTGACACCCTAAGTGCGTGCTTATTTTGCCTAATGGCTAATCCAGCCCTGTGCACTGGCAACCTTACAGGGATGTTGTGAACAAAGCTTCCTCCAAACATGGGGCAGCCATCTTTTCCCCATACAATATCACTTCTGGGGACTCTTCACGCAAAACTTTCCAGTGAGCACAGCAAGCGCCACACTTTGTAGCGGCTGCAAGTAGTTAGAAGTGATTCTAAAAAATAAAGAAGAGCCAGGAAGTCCTCAGATCACTTAATAATAATAAAAAACCAAACCTTTCATCAGGAGTGAGATATACTTGGAAAGATTTGCAGATGAGCTCTCTAATTTGCATGTCTGTGTTCCAATCTGAGCATGATCTGTTGGCTGCAGATTGTGGAGGTTCACTCCAAATGGTTGAGCAAAATCCTTTTGCATGCCAAGTCTTCTGTTTGGGAAATGAGGAAGTAAAAGGACTGGCCACTGTGAGAACAGAATACTGTGCTAGGCAAGCCTTTGATCTGATCCAGCAGGCAATTTTCATATCTCCAACAGGGAGACTTAAAGAATGTATCTATCATGACAGCCCATGCCTAATGCTACTTCTAGCCCAGTGTTCACTTCTGGATGCTTTTGAAGTGATTGCAAAAGGACCTGCGGAGTGACGATGCACAGCATTAGAGTTGGGTAAGGCTGCTGAGGTAGATTGGGGAAAGATGCGTCCCAGGGAGCAACAGCTGTGGGAGATTTACGAGTCTTAGGGCAGGTTGTTCTCTGCCCATATTTTTCTAATCTCCTTCTCTGTTGATAATGCCATCCAAGTACAATTCCATAGGTGTGCATAGTAATTAGGAATGGATGGACTTACTGCCTGAGGGCAAAGTGAGAGCTTGGATAGAGCAGAAAGGGAGGCATAATTAATGGACATAATATGGAAATGCATGTAGGATTGTGTGCGTTTTACATTGTGCATCAGAAATGAGGTGATGGCAGTCATTCATATTGTTGCTAATTATCAGTGCTATTTTTCTAGAAAAAGAGGTGCCGGACATCACCATGAACATCTCCCTTGTTCTCTTATGATGACAATGGCTCCCACCTGAGAGGTGCCAGAACTGAGTTCTGGCCAAAGAAAAAGCCCTGTTGATAATGTTGATAAACTATCTCTTGTTGTTAATGTCCAAGAAGGCTGAGGTGCATAGAGGAATGTTGGCATTCCCCTCAAACCTCTTGTTGGCCTTCAACCATATTTGTCCAGCAATGGAGAAGTATATGTATCTGCACATATAGTTGGGGGAGCTTGAGACTCTTATCTCAAGGTCATGGGTTTGAGCCCCATGTTGGACAAAAAGATTCCTGCATTGCAGAGGGTTGATTCTAATGACACAGACAAAGAATCATAGACCTGAAAGGGACCCACAGATATGATCCAGACTAATCCCCCAAACCTATAACAATATCCTACAAATGTGGCTGCCACTTATCTCCTAATTCCTAATTCCACATTTGACCTGGTGAACTGGGTATGTGAGCTTTGGAAAAAACTGAAGAAAGAAGCTTGACTCTCTCAGCTATGCTGAATCCAAAGATATGCCTTTTGGGGGAAGGAGGGGTTCCCTGGGGACCTAATAGGGAGGCAAAATCTGCTGGAGTGTTAATATTGTGAGCCCCCCCATCCTATAGTTAAGTTGTACCTGTGTGTAAATAAAACCATATATACTAAATACACCCTTGAGCTTCATTCCAAGGAAACTAAACCCTGGGTACATGCTAGGACCCCTGGAGTCTCTCACTGCTCAGAGACTGGGGTACACACACAATATAGAAAAACATTTTTAAAAAATGTTTCTTAGCTGTTTATAGAAAAAGTCCTAGAAAATTCTGCTTCCTCTTACTGCAATGAAATTTGTGTTGGGATACTGCCGGGGAGACAAAATCCATCATGGCCCCCAAGCCGCCTCTGGACGTCCATCGATCTCCCGTAGGCACGCAGTATCAGCAATTAGCGACATGAGCTCCAGAAATAGCCTGCCACATTCCAGAGCCGATGCACACTCTATCAGCAGATAATGCACAGCGAAAGTTGCACGCAGGAGAGTATTATTTACAAGTTTATTCAGCGTTGATCAGAACAAAGAAAACATGACTGCCAGCTTCAGTGTCTCTGGCACAGAGAGAGCGAAAGCATAGACACAACAGAAACATCCTGTGAACAGGAAATACGCAGACTCTGTGACTCACAAAGCCTGCTCCCTTTTAAGGTGGAACGGAAATATCCTAACAATTTGAACCCTATAAATATTGTATTGGATTTTTTCTGCCTGACTTTGGTGGCATCAGGAATGCATTTTTGAGATGTAGTCTTAATAACACGGAGCAGAGTAATTCTGTTCTAGTAGCTCTAATGTGGGCTAAGTGGTTAAAGAGTGGAACCTTAAGCTTTCACAATTTTTAGAAAAAAGATGCCTGCTAATGGTTAGAAAGCACCCAAGTGCTTTTCAGGTGTCTAAGGAGAGCTAAGTGGCACTTGAGCTTTTGGGTGGCTTTTACAAGTTCACCTGTGATGCTGAATTAACTTTTGGTGATGAGATTTAGCAGTGCCATGCTACACTCCCAATTCAATGGTGGCCACCAACAAAATGTAAATGAAGAAAGCAAAACCAAAATAACCATTGTTAGAAACAAGGCATGACATACCAAAACACACATGCATAGGAACACTGCTATCACCAATAGCAGCACAGGACACCCACAAAACCTGCCCATTACCTATGCATTGTTGTTTAGTTGTTTAGTCATGTCCGACTCTTCGTGACCCCATGGACCAGAGCATGCTAGGCACTCCTGTTTTCCACTGCCTCCTGCAGTTTGGTCAAACTCATGTATACCTATGCATAGAGAGCATGAAACAATGCACAAGGAAAGGCAAATTACTTAAGCAGCATCATGACCTTGGGGGATGGAGCCTTGGGCTTGGAGGAAGAATTGAAGGCCGAGAGGGAATTGCTCACAGGGCTAACCACAGTGGCCTCCAGAAACTGCAGTACATGATGAAGCTATTCTGCCAGCACATCTGTGACCTGAGAAAGTTGCATTGATGCTCTCTGACCTTCAGGCTGCTAGCCCAGAAGTCCCACCAAACCAGTCTTCGCCCTAAGCACGTATAGCAAGTCCCTGTTAAACATGCTGGAGATAACTTTCTGGATTGAGTGGCAGCCTTTTTAAACACTTTGTCAGGGATAGTCTGTTTCTAATGCAACATTCTTCATTTGGTCTAGCTCCATGTGGAACTGCTTGTTCTGAATATTTCAACCATTTCAACATTGGTTCACCTTGCTCTACTAGAGAGTATGGCACGGTTCTCATGATATTATGGCCATAGAAAGATCCGGGAAACTCTTAAATCGCGTGGTAGCACGCAAATTGCGTTTCATGAATGGCCTGGTTATTTTGCATGGTGATATCCGGATTGGCGATCAAACCTTGTTTCGGAAGGACGGTATTCACCTTTCAGATCACGGCAATGATATATGGCTGGCCGACATCATCAGAAGCCTTAGGGATTGGTTGCAGCTGTGAGGGTATTGGCGGCGAGCCTCTTGGGCTTGGGTGGCGGTTAGGCATTGGAATGTGTTGTTGGTGTATGAAGGGCAGGGTGTGGCCATCGCCTACCCCTTCACTTATGGGTATTCTGTTAAAGGAATCTGGCGGTCGTGGATCCTGTCCGATGCCTTGTGTGGTGGGGGACCATGGCACGACCCCCGGTGACATCAGGGGGAGAGGTTATAGTTGTATTTGCATCAACAGGCTCCCCCTACTGGTGGTTAACCCTCGTCAGACTCGCCCCTCTCCGAGTGGGTGGAGTCAAAATTTGCTGTTGTCCAATGCCTAAGCCAATACCTCTCACATGCTGTAATCAATAAAGTTGTGGCCTTTTCTAGCCCATTAACCTAATATACTGTGTCCATGTGTCTTTATTCTTCCCAAGTGGGGGATGGGTCCTCGAATCACAAGAGTCAGCTCCTGGATCAGAACAGCTACTTCAAAAAAGAAAAAGAAAAAGAAAAAAGAAGTAGTCCTGGACAAAGTGTGCTTTCACCCAATTTCCTACTTGTACAATCTGAGTTCTTTAGACATGGTGACAGGATGTTATTATCACATGAATGGACATCCGAGGTGTGTATCTGGCTAAGACATCTATTCCATTGTTGGTATGGCATGACTAGGTGCAGAGTAGGTCTGCATTCTATCTTCTGTTGTGGCTTTTGAGAGAGAGGAGGCAAGGGGCAATCAGTCTGGATTTTTAGCTTCAAAGGGTGTGCTTAACTTAAAGTTGTGTTCTTTTCTGGAATAGCATTATGCCATAATTGAGGCTAGGATCCAACCTCTGAATGAGCTTTGGATTCCTCCTAAGTCCCTTGCTTCCTTGCCTCATCTGCAACCCTCTAAACTAGGGTTTCCCAAACTTGGGTCTCCAGGTGTTTTTGGACTACCAACTCATCACCCCTAGCTAGCAGGACCAGTGACCAGGGATGATGGGAATTATAGTCCATAATCAGCTGGGGACCCAAGTTTGGGAAACTGCTCCAAACTGTTCCCCTATGTGCCAGTCTTGTCATGCTACTCTTGCATCAATGTTTCACCCTGGTTACACCAGCATAGATCCATTTCATCATCATCCCAGTGGCTCCACCACTACAGCTACACTATCCTCATCAAGAAGTTATAAATCAAGGATAGGGTTGTGCTTGAAGATTTACTTTTGAAAAACTTATGTAGAAGAGCCGCACTGACTAGCAGAACAAGGGGCTGAACCTTCTTAGGTGCTCTATGGCAACCTGTTTTTTTTATCAGAAGAACATTTAATTTACAGTACTCTGTTTTATTAATAAAACTGACCTACATTTCAGAAACATGATATTGCTGAAAAGAGTACATTGTGGTCTACATGTTACCTTGCAGCTATTCTGTAAAAGCCCTGAGCGGTGGCTCTTTTTCATATTACTATTGTAATTCTGATGCAATTCATACAGGTATCAGAAGGAGAAGATGAGCAACTTCTTAGTTCTTGATTCTTACCTCACACATGCTGGCCCTAAAAAAAATAATAATACACACAACAGAAAGTTAACAGAAATATTCAAATCCCCAATGCACATATATAGCCTTTCAGGGAGATATCTTGCAGAAAAAGAGAGAATAAAATCTTTATTCACATCGCTTTGGATGGCATCACTCTCTTCTGTGGTTTTCAGTCCTATGGTTGCCACTGTTTTCCTGACAGAGACTCTGTGCTGTTCACAGTGGCATAGGAGAATTAAACAGTGTTTCAACTATAGGCAGAGGTTCCCTCCTGTTGAATTTCTCATCTGCCATGTAGCTGTTAAAAGCAAAGATCCTCTATCAACAAATGGGGTGGCAGTGGGTGGGAAGCAGCTCTCATTGGTGCTGGAAAGAGGCACTTAATTACTTTTCTGACCAAGCATTTTCATACAGTTTCAAACACAAGCTGTGATTTCCCTTGAATCCATCTGGTTTTTTCTGGTAGTAACAGGAAGACTATCCTTCACATAGTTGCCTCTATTTGTGGCAGGTAGTAAGCAGGCAAGCGTCCTTATTGATTCTGCCATGCAAACTTCAGCTGGACTCATGGCAGAAGCATTAGTTAGTTCAGTATAAGAAGACTGCATTTAGACATATTAAAATTTATTTTCTTCAATACTTTTTTGCCCTCCTGGTAAAATAAGTTATCAAAGTGGCTTATAACATAATCATTTGGATGCACATTTAATATACTGGAAATATGTATTTAAGAATAATCCATCATCATATCATCTGCTTCCTGACCTTGTCCAATCATACAATTTTAAAATTAAACTTCACGGGGGATCTAAAACTCAAAGAAAGGAAACCAAATTGCATGCCAAACCAATATCTTAAAATCTTAAGTTAATATTGAAAATCCTGCAGGTCACATTTACTTATATTTAAAAAATAATTATGCAAAATCATCAGTAGGCGAGCTATAATATGCATAATTGAAGTGAGTTAAATGATATGAAGAGTTCCTTGAACAAATAGCTATGGGGAACATGTACTTATACATATACAGAGCCATTAGTGAGAATCCATAAGTTTGCTTAATTAGACTTAATTTCAATACTGCTGTAGTCAACACAGAAGCGGGGAGATATGAATATAGACGTTGATGTGGTTGTACGATAAGGGGCTAATTGGATGAATTGGTTTTGACTAATCGGGAAACAGAAAACTTTGAAAAAGGCATATGTGCTGTAGGTCTATTCAGCAACCGTATCCGCCATCTCTTCCAGCTTGGTGAAAAGAATCCTAAATGACTTTCAGGACAAAGATCATACAATCACTTAATCAGTAGTATGGGTTCTACAGATATGGCCTAGAATAGCGCCAATAAATCTTATGATCTATAAGGTTGCCTTTCCTAGTTTCAGCTCTCTGTGTGTTTTGAGTCCATAGATGTTTGAAATCCTTGGATTGTGGGAGGGCTCTTCTGGAGAACTTTGGGCATGGAGCTGTTTTGTAAGAAGTGTGTGAGAACTGTGTAATGCAAGAATATTACAATTATGTTTATTGCATAACTCCCTTTCTCTTCAAGCAACATGGTACTTGTGAATTATTTCTATAGTAATGGGGAAAATGTGGGCTTCCAGATGTTGCTGGCTATAATTCTTATAATCCCTGACTATGCCGGCTGGGGCTGATGGAAGTTGGACTTGGAATTCAACAAGATCCATGGAACCAAAGGTTCCCCATCCCTGCTATATATAGTAACTAGCAACTGGCTAGCATTTTGGTGTCTCTCTTGAGGTCTAATATACCTTAGATTCATTGCTTCCGTAAAAGAATAGTATTTGTGTATGCTGCTTGCTTGTGATATTTCCACCTTCCTATGTGAGTTATTGGGTTACAGTGAGCTGAATGGAGTATAATTGGAAATCTAGATGTGTTAGCAATGAAATGTTTGAAAACAGTATACTGAGCTCAGCTTGTGTGGCATCAGTCTGCAATTTGCCCCAGCACAGATTCACGTTTAAGTCGGTTAGGAAAAGATGTGACCTTCTCTTTTCACTGGGTGGTTTAGGCTGTTAACAATGGTTGTCTGCTACCAACTGGCTCCAAAGGCTGGAATGTGAGGGGAAGCACCAGGCTCCCATTTTGCCTTTCTCATGACACCTGCTGTGTTGGAAATGAACCACATGGTCTTAGTCATTTTCACTCACAGCAGGTTCTTCAAATTGTGGCACAAGATTCTATAACACACCAGGTGTCTCTCCCCCGCCCCCCTTGAACCCAAGGAAAAGAGAAAAACTAAAAGTATGTATATAGAGAAAAGCTGTATATGCAAAAGAACAAAGCGGAGAAGAGAATATGGGAAACCACTAAAAAGATATGCTGTTGCAGAAATAAAATCTGTGTGCAACACAGTAGTTTTTGTACTGAAACATTTAAAAGGGTGGTGAAGAGGAGATAGAATGGCAATTCTTGTTGGGAGACTGGCCATCAGGAATGCACATGACAGTTGAGGTTGTGTGGGAATCTTTAGCAAATGCTGTTAGTGCTCTTCTAATCACATGGGATTCCAATTACTGTCCTCTACATGTACTAATAATGGATACTGTCTCTCCAAGGAATTGCCATTTAGAAGACAGACACATCTCTGCCTCCTGTGGGCATGGCATGGCCAAGCCTTGCACTGTCAGGAGGAGGAATGGGGAAGGAGCTGAAGAAATCGAGTGCAACATTCTCCTTCCCATTTGATCTAGGCAAACAGATTTAAGATCGTTTAGGAGTGGGGGTGGGATAGGGGAGAGAAAGAGACAAGACTATAGTGTTAAAATATATCACATTAATGTGTCCCTTGTTCTGGAAAAGAAGCACGTGGAGGCACTGCATTTGTAGCCCATGTGTATGAAGAAAATAACTCAAACAAACTACTGCTCCAACACACAATTTACTGAGCTATTAATCTTGCCATTCGTGGGGGGGGGGGGGAATACTTTCAGCTAGAAAACTATTTAGATTACATGGGAGGTAGCATAGAGAAAGATTGAATTAAATTTAACATTAAAAGAAAAAATAGCAAAATTCTAGTCAAGGATTTTATTCCCTCTCTTCCTCTTGCCTAAATGAAATATCCCTGCTGCAAGGACATATTGCAAAGCATGGCTGAATGCCTGCATATCTTGGGGAACGTATCTAAACGTGATGCATAGGAAGACACAAAAGAAATGATGAACCCATTTAACGGCGAATTGTTCCTTTCGGAATTGTGCAGCTAAAGAGGAAAAGCTTGGTTAGCTATAAGAATGTAGCTCATGAATTTTCTTCCAGGTGTAAAAAATAATAATATCCAAGCAACCAATGTATGAAATTAGAATAGTTGTAGCAAAAAGCAAATAAATGCATGAAAAGAATGATGCACAGTCAAATATGCAAACATGAAAATCGGTTAGAATCTTGAATCTAGCAGGACAAATTTGTGTCCTTTTCTTTGGAGTCTGTCTATGCCAGCATTCCCCAACTTGTATGTTCCAGGTATTGTTGACTACAGCTCTCATCAGCCCAAGCAAACATGGCCAACAGTCAGGAATGGTGGGAATTATAGTCCAACAATATCTGGAGCACACCAGGTTGGAGAAGGCTGGCCTGTGCTCATGTACTTGCATGTAAACATGTCTGTGGAGGAAACAAATGGGATAAAATGAGCTCCATCTGTTTGTATGATAGTTTAAAGGCAATGTAGCACTGATAAATTCAGGGGTTACCAACCTTTTGGGTCCCATGGACACACTAGCAAACCAGACAAACAGTTTTGTGCTGCACACATATCAAAGCCAAGCTGCAATAGAATGCTTCTTTCCAATGCTCTGCCTGCTGGAAAACAAACCCAAAGGCATTCAATAATCAGTTGGAACCCATTAGCCTAAAGGACAGACCATCCTAGTCTTAATCTGCCCATCCTGCAGGGCTGGTTCAGAACTATAAGGCCAAATATTAAACCAAATATATTATGAGAGAACAATGCAAAATGTAATAGCTGCAAACAAAGCAGCAATGAAAACTTTCTGAACCGGGATGGATGAACAGTAGATTAATCACAAACAAAGCAGAGAAACCACACACACACAAAATATCTAAGGGCATTTAAAAAAATAATTGTGTGTTTGTTTTTGAGCCTGGCCAGCTAAAGGGGAGTTAAAATATATAAAAAGTCTGTTTTAAAAACTGGTGCACATTTTGGGCCTTTGGGGGAAGTATTTTGTTGACAAATTGCAAATAAATGAAAGACCAACTAAACTACTGTTGAAGTGAAATTACCAGGTGGTCACTCAATATCATTTTCTTTCCTTGTCTGCCCATCTTGAGTTTATAGCCACAAACAGCACGGTTATTTTTCTCTTCCAAGCACTGTGTTGCCAGTATATATGTGCATAAGATTAAGGGCAATTTATAATCAGCTCATATAAATCTGGTGCCTCAGGTTTTTCCTTGCAAATTAAGCCCTCTATGAAGTTTAAGAATTGGAACCTGCTTTGAAGTTGGAAACTAGATTGTGCACATGTGACTTTCCTCACTCCTCTGGGACCACTCCTACCTGGCTTTGAGTTTGCACAGAGATACACTTCATATGTAAGGGTCTTTAAAATCTGAATACATTAACAGCAAGGAACCTGCACTGTAGAAGACATGACTTGAAAGGCACCCACACTCACCGTGAAGTTGAAGCATATGAAATGCTGCACACAGACGCCCACTCTGGCAAATGGCATCCACACGTGCAGGCAGACTTGTTGCTTGTGCCGTTGTTGCAGATACCAGCTGATGCGCATCAGGACAAACATTCCTGCCGACACTGAAATGGTCAATATCCCTCCCCCCAGGAGGACTTCCGGGTTGGTGCCTCCGGCAATGGCAGAATTCCTCTGATCGGGAGGAATTTGCCCCGTGGGAATTTGGGTCTGGCCGCCACGGCGAAGGCGGAGACCCGCAAAAAATCACAGGCGGGAGAAGCCTGTGAACGTGGGATTCGGCGGGCACCTTTTGCGCCTCCCCTACTCGCGGGGGAACCCGGTTTCGGGGGTCCGGAGCGACATGGGGTGAGTGGCGCGGTGCTTCGAATCGTCTGCTTCTTCCACGGAGCGAAACCGCATAGATGTTACCGGAGAGCGCTGACTTTTTCCTGTGGACAATTTGACTTTAAAGTAATTACCCATGAGTAGAGCTGAAGCGGGAGAATTGGATTTTTAAACGTTTAATTTGGTATCATAACGGGGAGGTTCAACACAGGAAGTCCGCCTTCCCCTTTTGTAAGTAGACTGAAGCAATGAGGCTGCAAGCTGAAGTCTTGGAAAGCCTTTTGTAAAAGAATAAATCCCCATCGGTAAAGAACATTTAACCCCCCCTTGGAGGCAGGAGAAGGGGGGGGGGAGTTGTGGACTGAGTATGTCTGCAGGAGAGAGTGAAGAGAGCTAGAATTCCGCCGCTCTGACCCTGGAAACGGGCTGCTAGCAGGACTGACGTCCTTTGGATGTTCACTGACAGTGCTTAGAACATTCATTGACAGCTAGCTAAATAAGAGAAATACATTGTTTCTACTGTCTCCTGCTGTTTCTAAAAAGGAGTAAAGTAACTGAAAATTGAAACTAACTTTGGATTGTTTGAACTGCGTTTAAAAGAGGACATTACTGATTAATACAAAATAACATAAATAGAAACTGTTTCCCCCTAGTGGAAGCCTTTGAAACTGGTTGCTTTACAAGAGTTGGGCTGGGGGAATTTCCAGCTGCAAGATAAAAAACTGTGAGACTCTGGGACTGACCTTGAATCTTTTAAGTGTTATGGCAAATGGAAAGGAAAAAACAGATCAACCAACTGCTGAAAAAACATTAAGGTCTGGGAAGACTTGGCAGCAACCCAGGAGAGGTGCAACACCAGGCCCTCCTGCTTCCTCTGCTGCTGCTTCTGCATCAGTGCAACCAAAATCAAGGGGAATGTTGTCAGAAGAGGTTTTAGCGGTTGCATTAGGTAAGATAAACGATTCATTGGAACAGCTTAATAAGAAAGTGGATGTTGCAGCGGAAAGCATAAACAATTTGGGACTAAAGGTGAATACCAATACAGAAACTATTCAGAAATTGATACAGGAATCTACTCTGATACGGCAGACTGCGGAGGAAGCCAGGGAGAAAGCTGTTGCTGCTGAATGTAAAGTAACACAACTGGAGAAAGAGAGAGTCCCAGCCCTACAGAGGCAACTTGATGAGCATTAAAAATCATATTGTTAGAAAAGCATTGTTTAATGTTTGGATAAGATATAAAGATTTGCTAGAAAAGAAAACCCCAAGATGGTTGCCACCTGCTGGGAAGTTTTTGCCTCTGCACATGAGTCTGAGAATGTTCTGAATAGTTCACATTGAGTTCTTGAAACATCACACCCTGACCTGTTCTTAATGCATTGTTGACCACATCTACGGACTGCGATTGTTATGTTCTTTCAAGTCATGCAATATCAATCACTAGTAACCATGTGTTCCCTTTCCCAACCTTCATGATTAATGCCCTTGCATTGTATTCATGTTAACCAATCAGCAACAAGCACATATGTGGAAATGCTGTAATATTCAATAAAAGGGACTTCCCGAGCACATGATCGGGAGATGCCTCCCGTATGACACCTTGCCATTCATCTGTCGCTTATTTCAACCCAACAGTCACCAATGGAAGCGAAGGCACAGAAAAAACTCAATATGGAGGCCAAATGGCTGAAATATTGGGAAATTCTGGAACAAGATGGAGACAGACTAAAATTGCAGAGTTTTGAAAAATTGAAAAATAAAGTGCGAGATTGGCTCCATTATTACCAAATAATGGAGGCATACAATTTGGACAAAAAAGTTGGTTTCCAGGTGGAAAAATCAAAATTGGAAACAGAACTGTTAGATCCAAAAATCAAGAATTTGTCAAGAATGTATAACTTGCTGTTGAAATGGAACACTCAGGATGAAACGGTGAAATCAGCTATGATTAAATGGGCACAAGATGTTGGACATAATATAATGATGGCTGACTGGGAACAGTTATGGACCACAGGTATGAAATTCACTGCATGTAATGCCTTAAGAGAAAATTTAATGAAAATGATTTATAGGTGGTACATGACACCAGTCAAGCTTGCAAAAATTTACCATTTGCCCGACAATAAATGTTGGAAATGTAAGGAGACTGAAGGTACATTCTTTCACCTTTGGTGGACATGCCCAAGGATTAAGACATACTGGGAGATGATTTATAATGAAATGAAAAAGATACTTAAATATACCTTCCTGAAGAAACCAGAGGCCTTTCTCCTGGGCATGGTCGGCCAATTGGTGCCAAAGAAGGATGAGCCTTTTTTATGTATGCAACAACAGCAGCAAGAATACTCATCGCGAAGTATTGGAAGACACAAGATTTACCCACCCGGGAAGAATGGCAGATGAAGTTGATGGACTATATGGAATTGGCGAAAATGACTGGCAGAATCCAAGACCAGGGAGAAGAGTTGGTGGAAGAAGACTGGAAAAAGTTTAAAGACTATTTACAGAAATACTGTAAAATTAATGAATGTTAGAAAAATGTTGGAATGAAATTATATGGCTTTAGTAGGAATGTTATAAGCAATTAAGTATAAATAGATTAATAGAGTATTAAAGGAAAAAATAAGGTTAGAATGTGTTAAGATAATTATAGGATAGAAAACAGAGGAAGATGGAAAGGAATTGCTGAAACAATTAACAGAAGTGGAATACAAAAAGGGAGGTGTGAGGAGGTCGTGGAAATAAGTGAATGAAAGATAAGATATTGAAATTGTTTGATTTATTTTAAACTGTTTTTGTTTTGTTTTGTTAGTTTAATGTGTTTAATGTGTCATTGTTATGTAGTGTTTTTGTATTGTATTGTATTGTATTGTATTGTTTTTGTAGTGTTTAAATTGTTGGAAAAGTAATAAATATTAATTAAAAAAAACAACACAATATCCCTCCCCCCAAATCAGGCAGAGGCACCTTCTGTGACCAGCGTCCCTGCTTGCAGAAGCTGGCATTGCCTGGTTTTCAGGAATCCCCTTTTCTCTCAACCTCTGAGCTGCATGCCTCCCTATTCTGCAAGGTCCTCTAACATTTGGGAGAGACTTTGTAAAGGGACAGGATCAGGGGGCTATGTAGGGGGGGGGAGTAGATGGGAATAAGGAAAGTTCACTTCCCCCTGCCCCCTTCTGTGGGCATTCTCTGGGTCCACTCTTTCATATGGTATAGTCCTCTGGTTGACCATTCATGTTCCTGGAGGCCACTTTGAGAAGTATGAGGTGGACCAACATCTCAACCTCTAGCCCTCTGTCACGGGGCCAAGAGTCAGCTTTGCCTGTCTGAAGGGGGAGAAGGTGGAGTGACTCCCACCTGCAACTGATCAGTCTTCAAGGACACTGAGGAGAAGACACGGATAAGGACCAGCTGGCTACAGCCTTCTTAAGCAGAGCTTCCAGCAGCAGTCAGATGCCGGTAACAGCGCTTGTATTTCCTGGCCCTACCTTGCTTCTTCCTGCTAGTCTTGACCCTTGACCCTCTGATCATTGGATTCCCTGTCCCCTGGACCATCTGACCACGCAGATTGCTGTGTGCCCGACCCTAAGACTGGATCTGACTTTGGATGCTGACTCTGCCTCCAGGCAAGTACACCTCAGAGACACTTCTGGTTGGCTGGCCTCTCCCTCCACTGAGCTCTGCAAGTTGTTGCTCAGCAACGAGATTATGACACCCTACAAAGTAGCCTGCTTGTAAATTTTGCTCTGGAGTACATATTTTCCTCACCAGATGCTTCTAAGTAGGCTGCTATTGGGCCTGGTGGCTTCTTGGAGGCTATATTTGACTGAGGAGTTGCTGTTCCATAATGCAGTCTATATTCTTTGTTGCTTATAGCCCTCTTTCAGGTTAATCAGCCACAGTAATTCCTACAGACTCCCTTGGCTCCAAATTCATTTTCATGCTTTTAGTTCTTCAACCTTCCTATTGTTAAATGAAAAAAAGTTCACTTCACTTTATAAAATAAGCATGTTTCACCTCTTTCAGTTTTAACATATGCGTCCCAGTTTTATTTATTTTGTACAGTTTTGATGTGTTGCATCAAGCTGTATCAATCATATAGCATGGTTCTATAAAGCAGTGTGATTGACAGCAAGGAGCTGACACATAGCAATCCAAGCAGTTCAAGTTCTAAATCAAGATGTATTCAATGAATATATTTACAGCTGGAAATACTTCTTGCTCATCTTTATAAATGAGATTGCACATTTTTGGTTAAAAAATATAGCACAGATCTTTTCACCTTACTTTTTTAGCTGTCACTTAAACTGTCCTGTGACATTGAGTCTCATAATCGCCATTCATAACCCTGTCAATATTAGTTGATGTATGGAAGCTTCTTTGAATATAACTTTACTTGGAGCATGCTCACGGACATTCAGTGAAAACCTGTGCGTTTCTCACATCTGTTGTGTCACTGGCAGCTTAATCTTTCTGCTACCTGCGTGCGATCCTTGAGCTGTTTATAATTATCACTGCAGTACAAGAGGAGGGACTGAGAAGCTGCCATATTTTAGCTCTTCCACATGCTGAAGAGACCTGAAGTCAACTGATGTCAGAGGCTTCATTGGCACTAGGAGTCAGCATGTAGCACCTATTGGAAACAATCAGTTTTGTGAGTGGATGTAAAAACTAGCCTACTATACAAAAGTAGAATGTTCATTTATTGCTCTACTCACTTTTACCTCTACCACACCAACCACTGGTGGAAAGTGAGTGCAATGGCTAATGAGTGCAGTGGCTGATGGGATTGCCAACTGTTGTTTCCTGCTCTCCTGCCCCCTTCTGCTGTTTTTCTAAAACATATTTTGATCTCCCCTCATTTTCCCAGCATTTTTCTTAGTTATTTATTTATTGGTTAGTTGTTTGGTTGTTTGGTTGCCCATGTAAAATAGCGTTGGCATAAGCAAAGTGAGTGTAGGTTGCGGGCTTACTGTAGAGTGTTGCCATCTGCTTAAGCTTGTGAAAGGTATTCAGTCAGGGCGAGTGATACTTGTCAGTATTTTGTTTTAATCCATACAGTTGAAATTTAAATTGGAATTCTACAACATAATATGCCTTCTAATTACATGAAGACTTTTCATTCCACATGCCTCTGGAAAAATGGTATGTTTTGGCTCTATGCCCCCCCCCCATTTTTTGGGTTAATGAATGAGAATATTATTATATTTTTAAATCCAGTAAATGAATAAATTCAGATTTGGTACCTGAGCCTCAAAGATATCTGAAGTTTCATATGATGAATATGTACAATGCACAGCATTCAGTATACTAGTCTGTGTTGCTGGATAACACAATAGTTATATGAGTTTAAAACGTTTTAGCAAGCATTTGTGAATCAAGGAAGTTCTGTCATTGCATGCATGAAAAATCTTTTCCTGTTCCATGTTTCTCATGGGTGAGGTTCTGGAAAACCATGCCTGTGGTTCTGGAAAAGCAATTCCAGAATGGGATCAGCCCCAAGCAGATTTCTCTGTGTGGAAGGAATAGTAGGCAGAAACTCAAATGATAGAAAGATATTATGGATGAGCAGAGACAGGAATGGTGATGTTCAGCTTCCAGACCAGATGGGCTACTGTGTCTGCTCATAAGGAGGATGAATGTTCCAAAATGCCTCTGTAGACTCTAGAATATATCACTGATACTAGAGGTCAGAGTAAGCACAGAGGAAAGGCTTGTGCTAACACCAAGTTATAGTGACTAAGGAGCCCTAGCTATCAAAGCAGCCCCCATGAGCACTTTTAATTTCCACAGCACTGTTTGTCTCCAGAACTTTCTTATTGTTAGAAGAACAGAAAGCTAAATACTTCCCCAGGAAATAAAGCAAGCTCAGAAATGAATTTTAACAAGTTTTACTGAAAATCATAAAATAGAAAATACAATATGCTCAAATTACACAGCATTTTAAAAGGGTTTCTGAATAAATTGAAATTAAAGTAATGATATAGAGAAATAATTAGGTTTTAACAGCTTGTGCTATCTTGAAATAAAGAGTTACAAGAGAAAGGATTAAGATTCCTGTAAAAGAAATAAGAATTAAGAGAGATTTAACCTAATTAAAGTAATAATTCTTTTCCCTTCTACTGGCCAGGCTGGAAAGAATGTTTCATCAAAAAGAAAAAGAAAAAAAGGTACTTTACTTTATAAGCTACTATACTTTAGAGAAGGTATCCTTATTAGTAGAGCACGAATATACCTTAATTCCCTAGAATTATACATATTGTATCTACCTTTGAATCATCATTTATATTATCTCTGCAAGTAAAGCCTAGAATTTCATATAGCCAGGTAGGTCTAAAATGAGAAAAATACCTGTCAAGTTTACCAGCACATCCTTGAGTCCCTGAGAAAAATATTACACAGTTTCTCTTTCATTGGGGTCACCTTATTGTCTGTCTCTTGACCCATTTTAACTACAATATTCAAAGGCTTAGTGAAAGAATAAACTATATCAAAGCATTCTCTGTAACATTCTTAACATATGTCTTTCATATAGAAGCACAAAACTAATTGGTAGAAACCATCACTCTCCCATCAGAGCTCGTCCACAAACTACGGTAAGATCTTGGGTAACATGGTTCACATGAGATATAATGTAATGGATGTATGAATAAACATGACTCAATCCGTTCCAAAAGTCATTCACACTTTCATCTGCTATTTTCCATTCTGCAGCAATTGGTTTATTTGCACAAGTCTTTCTTCCATTTCATCAGCTGCTGATGCAGTAATATAAGTTTTGGGTTTTGTTTTACATATCTCACAGTGTACAATAGACACACATATCCCAGCCATCAACAGATATTTACAAATCAGCTACCTTCTGTGTGCTCCCTTTCAACACTAATGAATTTCCAGAGGTGTAAAACAACAAAGAGTCTTATGGTAATTAAAGACAAAGTTAAAGAAGTGGTTAGTGGCCCATCACAAAGTGATCTATGGTTCTAACCTTGACTACCCAGAAGGAAGTCCTACTGAATTCAGTTAGGCTGAAGCCCTAACCCAACTTAAGATGAGAGTAAACCTATCTCAATAGCTTGACTTCAGAGTTTAGTATTAACTTGACATAATGTTTCATTTCCCTCACTCAGGCATCAGGGAGGGATAGTTTAGCACCCTGCTGATATTTTGCATTTTGTATCTTAGATTATATGAATTACTCCTGCCACTGAACTGCAAATAAGTCTCCCCCCCAATTGTAACAATTTATTTAATAAACTTGTATTTTATTCAGAAGTTGGCAATGTGCATGTCAGCTGAAACATAACATTCAGGGTAATCGCCATGCGAAAAGAATGATTTCTCCATGTGAAAACAACAATAATGCACACAATGCATTCTATTGCTTTTTGAAATTCACAGTGGGAAGCGAGCCCCACTGAATTCTGTGAGATTGACTTCTCAGCCTTAGTGCATATAGTCTGTCTCAAGCAATGACCAACTTCAATAAACAACACTCCCAAAAAAAGAAATGCAAAGGACAGTGGCAATTATACATCAATGAATATGTAAATAACATATATTGCAAATTAATTTACTTATCTATTTATGTATAAAGTGTGCAAGTTAGTTAGTTGTTGTTGTTTAAGAAAACTAAGGTGAAAATAATCCACAGCAAGAATCTGTGCCCACGGTAGGGTTGAATGAGCAAATGTAAGGACATCCACTTGACAGTCCTTTTTCAATGGATTCAATGGCCAATGTGTGGTGTCTGCCAAAAGCTGTGGCTTGACATTTTCTCTTCCTCACTCCCCATAACATTCAGTTAAACAAAATGTGAGAAGTGAGATCACTGTGTGGTACGTTTTGCCATCCCCATTATGCTTCATTGCCTGCTATTTGCCTTATGAAACATTATGTGAGGGTGAGGAGAAGAGGAGGAGGAGAAGCTCCCAACATTAACTGCCCATCAGCCTCAATATTTTATTCTAGCTCCAGTAGAGCCAAATTATACAAATTCTTTATTCTACTGGCTCAACATCAGCATTCACAATCAATCTACTTTCAAGCTCTAAAAAATGAGACAATTGCACTTTCCCTTGAGCTTCAATTTTCTTCAGGCAAACTGCCCATCTAAATAAGCCAGTACAGGAGATGGGGGTGTCACTTTGCAAGCCCTCCTTTTGCATGGCAGCAGAGTGCTGTGGAATGCTGGTCCTCAGGGAATAGCGGTGTTGCCTGGGCAACCAACTGCCAGAGGGCAGAGCTGAGGGAGGAAGTGTAGAAAAACTGTGCTGAAATTGAGACCTTTATTTCCTCTCTGAAAGAACATGGATAAGTGTTGGGCACTCAGGCCTGAGACTGGGCAAGTACCTAGGGCAAGTGACAAGCAGGCAGATAGAAATGAGGTCATATGGTGGCATCGAAGAGGATCTGATCTGGTGGTATTCCTCGATGGCAGTTTGCTTAAAATGAAGGAAGACAGCAAGTGAGTCCTGGGGTGGTGACCAAGGGGATGCGCTGTGGTGTTGTTGCAAGCCCCCAAAGGCTATAAAAACTCCTAGGTCTGTGGCCAATAAAACTCAGGAGCCGGGAGGAGATAAAGTCCAGCCATTTATAACTTTCCAAGCAATAGGTCGGATTACTCCGCAAAAACTGCAGCCACGATTCAGTGGTCTGGGGGTGATATTTATAAGTTTTTACACAAAGCATTTCAATTTTCTCCAATCATATGCATAGAAGTATTTCTCATTATCTCATTCAGTTATTGGATACATTTCGTATCAGTGCACTTGCGCAAACTTAGCATAAGCATCGGCTGTTTTGCTATATGGCCTCAGTGTAGAAACATTGTGTTACATTTTTATAGCAAAATCTATTGTGCGTTTGTTGAACCTACATGTACTAGCTGCGTATGTGCTGCAATAAAGATCTTAGCAGCTTCTCTTCCCATGGCAAAGGGCACTTGCATAACAAAAGCTTTCTTGGCAGTTTCAAAGCTTTTGCAGTTTCTTAGAATTTTCTTAAAGCGATAGGCTATCAATTTTTAGGCGCCCTTGGGGCCCCTCCCACAGTGTGAAGGCCCCAGGAATAACAGTTGGTCATTCCCTCCCCCATCTAGCAGTCCTGGTGGCACAAGAAACAAGAATCCACACAGTTCTTGGTTTGAGCCCCATAACAGCTGATAGTAAGGATAGTAAGGAAAGACACAATCGCATACCAACAACTTCTACACAGCTCAGTTGTATGAATAAGTAAAAATGCCATCTGAAGAACACAACAAAAGAATTATTGACTCTTGGTTGGTGTTCCTTTCCAAAAATTACACCAAACTCCTCCAAAAATCGTTATTTGAGTTTCTGGCATCTGAAAAGGAAATGAGCCACATGGCACAGGGAACATTTGGTATAAAAATTCCTTTCCACTCCATACTCATATTGTATTAGCAACATTCAGATGTGGTGCAGTTCATGGAAGTTTCCCCATCTCAAAGGTATGGGCCAAGAAAAAAGTTTAATGCTATAAAACTCCAGTTTTTAAAAATAAATAAATACGGGGCAATTTGGGGACAACATCTATAACTTTCGACACTTAAAAATATTGCGCAGGTTGTTTTTGATGCAAGGATCATGTATTTCAAATATGCATGTACTTTATTAAGCATTTTTCCATGGTGTAAAAAATCCAAGCTGAATGTCAGGAAGGAAAACACAGAAAATCTCTTTAAATGTTTGCCTCCATATCCCCTTTTATTCCATTCAACATTTGAACAAATTAAAGTGCTCTCTAAAAATCCATGTACAGATGTGTTTTGATGGATGTATTCAATGAAAGGTACTATTTTTGACTCGGTATGCAGGCTGTGTTTTACTGTAAGAACACTGTAGAAAGTTATAAAGGACTAATTTTCTGTAGAAATGCTTAAGATAGTTATTGGCTTAAAATTAGTTTTATAGCTTATGTAACTGTTGTGTGCATTGCATTTTATCATTGTAAAATGCATTTATTTTGGACTCTGATGCTGGCACTGTTTGCCATAGCCAGTATGGGGTGTTGAGAAGTAATGAATCAAATGTACACACAATGCTGCTCTCTGTGAGGAAAAGCCACACCAGGGCATGGGTGGCTCCATATATGTAGACTATGCATGCAATGTGTCAAGAAAAAAATCTCAAAGCAAAGTCAGTGGTATCTACTAAACTCTCTTGGCAAATGTCTACTTACTTCGGAGTCTCCACATTACAATTACCAGTTATCTGTAGGTTTTCCTGTCATCAACACCCACTTCTTAGTTCTCTTCCAGAAATGCGGCTCTTACGTGGCATGTGTAGCATCTTCTCCCATATTGATTTTCTGATCCAGACCTCATATCCTAGTGGAGGAGTCTTCATGTCTGGCACCAGAAATGAATGAGATAACATCAACAGCAACTGTCTTAACTGTTAAAAGACCTACTAATAGCAGTAGCCAATGCTTCCATCTTGATATCCAGTTGGCATTAGGCAGGCATGGCCAAACTTGGCCCTCCAGATGTTTTGGGACTACAATTCCCATCATCCTTGACCACTGGTCCTGTTAGCTAGGGGCGATGGGAGTTGTAGTCCCAAAACATCTGGAAGGGCAAGTTTGGCCATGCCTGGCATTAGGGATGGGGGAGAAAGTCAACTCAGTATGCTTTTAAAGGAAAATCTATCCAGTTCAAATTTTCCAAAACAGTATGTGAACCAAAATACAGCTACCCTTCAAAATGCACACTTGCCTGACTTTCGCAAAGTTTTCCAACCAAGTAATGTTTACAAAAATGCATACATTGGGGGGGGGGGGAATGTGCATCAAATGCACATATTCATGAAAACAACCTGGGAAAAAGCATTATTTTAGGGGAAATTGCAACAAAAATGTGTTTATTTGGAGACATTTGCACTGAAATGCAATGAATTTTCAACAGGAATTTTTCAAAATTGCAAATTGTTGCAGAAATGTGGAGAACTGATAAAAATAAGATCAGTAGAGCATAAAGCGAAATTTTTGTACAAATACAAGGAAGATCTGCAGAAGGGACCTGGAAAAGAGCCAAGAGCATCGGACAGAAGATCACCAAACAGGGGAATATTGGACATATCAACTTTGTCTTTTGGATTAGACTCCTCAGTGAACGTGCCACCATTACTACCAACAGAAGAAGAGCAAGCATTGGGTGCAGTTGGAGGAACATCAGCGTAACCACATGATGGCGCTGCAGGTCTCGAGCTGGAATGTGAATGGACTAAATTCCCCAGAAAAAGGCGAAGAGTCTTTCATTTATTGAAAAAAGAACATTTGGACTTGATTTGTTTACAAGAAACACATGTGATAAGGCTACACAGGAAGATATTGAGTAATAAAAGATTGGGCCAAGAATTCATTTCATCAGACGAAGTTAAAAAAAGAGGAGTGGTCCTCTATGCAAACGAGAGCCTATCACCGAAATTCTTATTTAAAGACGACCAAGGAAGATTTGTAGCAATTGAAATTCAATCACAAGGAGAGAAATTCTTGATTTTTTTTAAAAATAATGTTTATTACTTTTATAGGTTACAAAAAGAGAAAAAAGAAGAGAAAAAGAAAACACAGAAAAAAAGACAAAGAAAGAAAGCAAAAAGAAAAAATAAACAATACAATACAATATATAAACAATATATAAACAATGTAAAACACAACCTAAACTCAAAACTAAACACATTAAACTAAACTAAACAAACCCCACTCCCTAGCCTTAACCCTAAAAGAAACAAAACAAAAACAATTTAAAAACATACATCATCTCTTTTCCGTATTCTATCTTTCATTCCCTTGTTTCCTCGAACTCCTCTCACCTCCCTTTTTGTATTCCACTTCTTTTAATTGTTTCAGCAAATCCTTTCCATCTTTCTCCATTTTCTATCATATTGTAAATAACGTATTTTTTAACCTTATTTTCCATTAAAACTAAAACTAAATTCTTGATTTTAGGTATCTATGCATCAAACGAAGGAAAATCGGAATTCTTTAAGAAGTTACATGAGACCCTGATGGATTATATGGACTATAATATGATTTTGATGGGAGATATGAATGGAGTGGTTTCTACAAATATGGATAAGGCACAGAGACAGGTAGTCACCAAGGATGGTAGACTACCAAAAACCTTTTTTGACATGACTGAAAATATGGATTTAGTTGATATTTGGAGAATGAAGAACCCTCTGGGAAGAGAGGGAACTTTCTTCTCTGAGGCTAAAATGACATGGACAAGAATTGATCAAATCTGGGTAACCAGGGGATTGGCTCCGGAGATCAGCAAAGTGGAGATCTGCCCCAAAACATGTTCTGACCATAATGCGGTGAAGATGGAAATGAAATTGATGCCAAGTGGTTCCTTCAGATGGAGGATGAATGACACTTTGTTTAGGAATGAAGAGGTGACCAAGAAGGCCCAAAAAACCCTAAGAGATTACTTTGAGATAAACATGAACACTACAGTGGAAAAAAGAGTAATTTGGGATGCAAGCAAAGCAGTTATGAGAGGATTCCTAATACAACAGAATGCAATTAAGAAGAGAACTCAGAATGAAAAAAAGGACAAAATCCTGGGAAAAATAGAGGAAGGAGAGAAGAAACTGAGAGCAAAACCAAAGTCACAGGAGATTCTGAAAGAGATAAAGTTATATCAAGTACAATATGCGAAGCTGATGAATCAGGAAATAGAATGGAAGATTAAACAGATGAGGCAAAAGACATTTGAATCGGCAAATAAATGTGGGAAATTGTTGGCCTGGCAAATGAAAAAAAAACCAAAAACTCAATACTATCACGAATTTGGAAGTGGAAGGAAAAAATATACAGAACCCAGTGGAGATTAGGAAGTGTTTCCAGAGGTATTTCAAACAACTTTATACACAGGAGAAGCAGAAAGAAAGGGACATTGATCGATTTTTGAAAATAAATGGACTACACAAAATCTCTCAGGAAAAACAACTAATGTTGAACTACAAAATAACGGATCAGGAGGTGGAAGGGGCTATCCAGAACATGCAATTAGGTAAATCTCCAGGACCAGATGGTTTGACTTCAAGAGATTACAGATCTTTGAAAGACTGGTTAATACAACCATTGAAGGAAGTCTGTAATGAAATATTGGAAGGAAGGAAGGCACCAGAGTCGTGGAAGGAAGCTTACATTACACTTATACCGAAAACAGAGACTGAAAAGACACAGCTCAAAAACTACCGCCCCATATCGCTGCTAAATGTGGATTATAAAAATTTTGCAGACATTTTGGCTAAAAGATTAAAAAAGGTGTTAGTAGAAGAAATTCATAAAGATCAAGCGGGCTTTCTCCCGGGCAGACATTTGTCTGACAATATGAGGGATATAATTAATATTTTAGAAAAACTTCAAGTGAATATTAATACTAAGGCTGTCTTGATATTTGCGGACGCGGAGAAAGCCTTTGACAACATTTCCTGGAGCTTTATGAAGAAGAATCTACAGGGGATGGGGGTAGGTCAAGGTTTTGAAAATGGTATAGGTGCAATTTATTCAGAACAAAAGGCAAAATTAATTGTGAACAATGTAGGGACAGAAGTGTTTAAGATTGAGAAAGGGACACGACAAGGTTGCCCAATTTCTCCACTGCTTTTTATATCGGTTCTTGAGGTTTTGTTAAACATGATAACAAAGGACCAAGAGGTCAAAGGTATACGAGTGGGAGTTAAACAGTATAAACTGAAAGCATTTGCTGATGATTTAGTATTGACCCTACAGGAACCAGAATCTAGTACAAAAAGGGTATTGGAACTGATTCAAGAATCTGGGCAAGTAGCAGGTTTTAAGCTGAATAAGATGAAAACTAAGGTCTTAGAGAAAAATTTAACTGTAAATGAGAGAGAGAAGTTTCAGGAAGAGACAGCACTAACATTCATTAAGAAAGTGAAATATTTAGGGGTTAATATGACTGCTAAAAATGTAAATCTATTTAAGGATAATTATGAAAAATGTTGGATTGAAGTGAAAAAGGATTCAGAAATATGGTCAAATTTGAAGTTATCATTTTTAGGCCGAATTGCTGTGATAAAAATGAATGTGCTGCCAAGGATGTTGTTTTTGTTTCAAACATTACAAATTTTGGACAAAATGGATTATTTCAAGAAGTGGCAGAAAGATATTTCCAGATTTGTTTGGCAGGGCAAGAAGCCTCGAATAAAATTTAAGATATTAACAGATGCAAAGGAAAGAGGTGGATTTGCCCTGCCAGACCTAAAACTCTACTATGAATCAGCTGCTTTTTGTTGGTTGAGAGAATGGCTGCTACTTGAAAACACTGATGTGTTGGACATAGAAGGTTTCAATAATGTATTTGGTTGGCATGCATATTTGTGGTACGATAAGGTAAAAGTACATAAAGCATTTAAAAATCATATTGTTAGAAAAGCATTGTTTAATGTATGGATAAGATATAAAGATTTGTTAGAAAAGAAAACCCCAAGATGGTTGTCACCAATGGAAGCGAAGGCACAGAAAAAACTCAATATGGAGGCCAAATGGCCGAAATATTGGGAAATTCTGGAACAAGAGGGAGACAGACTAAAATTGCAGAGCTTTGAAAAATTGAAAATTAAAGTGCGAGATTGGCTCCATTATTACCAAATAATGGAGGCATATAATTTGGACAAAAAAGTTGGTTTCCAGGTGGAAAAATCAAAATTGGAAACAGAATTGCTAGATTCCAAAATTAAGAATTTGTCAAAAATGTACAACTTGCTGTTGAAATGGAACACTCAGGATGAAACAGTGAAATCAGCTATGATTAAATGGGCACAAGATGTTGGACATAATATAATGATGGCTGACTGGGAACAGTTATGGACCACAGGTATGAAATTTACGGCATGTAATGCCCTAAGAGAAAACTTAATGAAAATGATTTATAGGTGGTACATGACACCAGTCAAGCTTGCAAAAATTTACCATTTGCCCGAAAATAAATGTTGGAAATGTAACGAGACTGAAGGCACATTCTTTCACCTTTGGTGGACATGCCCAAGGATTAAGACATTCTGGGAGATGATTTATAATGAAATGAAAAAGGTATTTAAATATACCTTCCTGAAGAAACCAGAGGCCTTTCTCCTGGGCATGGTCGACCAATTGGTGTTAAAGAAGGATAAAACTTTTTATGTATGCAACAACAGCAGCAAGAATACTCATCACGGAGTATTGGAATACACAAGATTTGCCCACCCGGGAAGAATGGCAGATGAAGTTGATGGACTACATGGAACTGGCGGAAATGACTGGCAGAATCCGAGACCAGGGAGAAGAGTCGGTGGAAGAAGATTGGAAAAAGTTTAAAGACTATCTACAGAAATATTGTAAAATTAATGAATGTTAGAAAAATGTTGGAATGAAGTTATATGGCTTTAGTAGAAATATTATAAGGAATTAAGTACAGATAGGTTAATAGAGCATTAAAGGAAAAAATAAGGTTAGAATGAGTTAAGATAATTATAGGATAGAAAACAGAGGAAGATGGAAAGGAATTGCTGAAATAATTAACAGAAGTGGAATACAAAAAGGGAGGTGTGAGGAGGTTGTGGAAATAAGTGAATGAAAGATGGGATAATGAAATTGTTTGATTTATTTTATTGTCTTTGTTTTGTTTTGTTAATTTGATGTGTTGTATTGTATTGTTTCTTTTTTCTTTTTAGTGTTTAAGTTTTTGGAAAAATAATAAATATTATTAAAAAACAAACAAACAGAAATGTGGAGAACTGAATTTAAAATTGGAAGTGTGAGAAACTGACAGAAGTGAAATTAACAGACCCTTTTATCCGTAGCTGGCAGAGGGAGCCTGGCCAGTGTGGATGTGATGTGTGTATCTTTCAGATCTTGCTAAGCTTTGCAGAAAGTAAGTTTTCCAGACTGTTCACTATTGTTTGTGATGTAGTTAGTCTGGGGCCTAACCCGGGACAAAGACCAATGTCCTAGTGTTTTTTGCCCACTCCTATCCCGAACGTCTCTTTGGCATGGTGAAGGGACTAGAATTAATATTGATTTAGCTTGCTCTGGTGAAAATAAATTCCAATCAGTATTATTATAGAGAGTGACCCATAGAGATGGAGAAGGAATGAATGGCACCTTTGTACTGGTTCCAAGCATGCTTGTGAGGAGGGGAATGGAGAGCTATCTTTACTCTAGTGGGTTTGCTTAGCTTAGTGAAATTAGTGAGCAGGAACCAGCTTGCGACTACTAAAAATTAGTCCAACTCATTACCTGAATTGGATAGGTTTGTAGAGGTCTGGTACAAGGTTAAGTTAGCTATAAATGGATCTGAAGAGGTCAAAATGCATTTTTTTTCTGCATTGCCTTTGATTGTTTCAATAACTGTTTTTCTATTCACTGTTCAATAAAGGAAGATCACTGCTTTATGGTCTGCCTTCATTATTAATGGCTGAAAAAGGAGTTTGCCAAGAGCTTCATTTGAAAACATTTAATTTTTTCAGTATTTAAATAAATGCAATATATTATGATATAGTAATTAAAAAGCATCACTTAGAAGGCTTTAAAGTATAAATCAGGCTATGTAAACATAAAAAGATTAGATTATGATGATAGATCTATGAATATATATTCTTTCCTAAATCAGAGGGAATCAGTAATCAAATCTTTATATGTAATGAGTGAGAAAAGCTCCAAAAGGCATAAAATGTTTTGCCTTAGCTACATTTCTGTTTTGGAATATTCCAGGAGCCAAATAAAGCTTGAATATTTCCTTACATGTCTAAATGACTTTGAATCAGCAACAGATATAGTTTTGCAGAAAGAAAGAGATGATGAGAGTCATTAAACGAAAGTGGAGATCTAAGCAAGAACGTGAGTGAGATTAAATGGTTGAGGAAGGTTCGTAAGTGTTTTCTATTCTTTCCCTGAACGCTTTTCTTACAGAAGTAGGTTTGAAGCTGGTGTTAAATCTAAAGTTAATGTGAGGAAAGTAAACAGAGGCTTCAAGTCCCGGTTGGATCATTTCCCCCACTCAGTTCCCTCCTTTAGCTAAGACAACATGGCTGAGATGATTGGGGGTGTTTGTGTGCGGCTGACAGTGAATTTTCAGAGACAGCAGCCGGCTTGGAGACTCCTGCCCACCAATACTTGGTCATGTTGGACTGCAACAATGCTCATTATTATAATGGGTAGTATTTGTAAAACTTATCCTCCGTAGGCTCCCAGTTGCCATTACAAAGCTTTGTTGCCAAATGCAAAGCTTAAATTTTGTCCATATGAATGGGTAGAAATCACTCAGCTATATGGGAATGCTCTTGGCACACCTGTGAGTAGCTAATTTTGCTCCGTTCTCTTGTCCCATCACCCAACCCCATTCATTTAAAACCAAACTATCAACACAGTTGCATTTTAAGCTGGGTTTCTTAGTCATGCTGTTGAGAGCTGCCTTTTATGTGTGTAAATCTTGTACTAACCTGTAGAATTTAGCAGAGCATAAGCTCACTGAAAGAGAAGAAAAAAGTTGGTTTATCTTGTGGAGGATTATTAGTTTCTAGATAGAGATTAAGCTATACTCTGGCACAAGTAACCTTTAGGAAACCATTAATTTGTTGATTGAAAAGTACTTTCCAGTTTTGATGTTTTAATGGTTACATTTTGGCATGATGAGCCAACATTGTAGATCTGGAAAAAAATAAAAATGTCGTTTCAAAAGTCTCTAGAAATGTTATTCCTCCTGGCTGGTATCTTGGTAGATTTGCACTACTTAACTAACCATGAGAGGGACATGATCCAAGCCCTGCCTCCCTTGACAATATTCAATTTGGAGGTGATGCACAACCAATATAGCACATTTTAGATTTAGGTAAAGGGTAAGATTAGGTCCAATCGCGGATGACTCTGGGGTTGCAGGGCTCATCTCGCCTTACTGGCCGAGGGAGCTGTCGTACAGCTTTCCGGGTCATGTGGCCAGCATGACCAAGCAGCTTCTGGCGAAACCAGAGCAGTGCACGGAAACACCATTTACCTTCTCGCCGGAGCGGTACCCTTTTATCTACTTGCACTTTGACATGCTTTCGAACTGCTGGTTGGCAGGAGCAGGGATCGAACAACGGGAGCTCACCCTGTCACAGGGATTTGAACCGCCAACCTTCTGACTGGCAAGCCCTAGGCTCTGTGGTTTAACCCACAGAGATATTGCAAAAATGTGTCACATGTGCATCATTAAGGACCAGCTAATGTAGAATAAAGTAGTAAAGCTGTCTAAGGCACCATCTCCTCAATCTGAAGGGGGTTTGAATGGTCTATCTAATGAACTTCCTTCATGTAAAAGGTAGCAATTCAAAGAAAAAAATTCATTCAAACGCCCCAACTTTATATCCCACAATTTTTTATAGTGAGAACCTTCCCAGCAGAAGAGCATTCAAATATACAACCGCCTCACCTGCAGGCTGAAATCGTACAACCCAAGGGACTTGTATCTGACCTCCCCCTTTTTGTGGCATCCTTGCTTATAGGATCATACCTGTCTGATCAGCTGCTCCCTAAAATTAAATAGGCAGTTCTAATTGTGGAGTGAATTTTTGCCTTCACTTTTTTTTTATTCTGGTGTAACTCTTCCAAGTCTACAATTTCCCTCTAAGATGCTAACCTTTTGAGACGATTGACATGAGAAAGCGCTCTTTCCCCCTTAGCCTGTTCATCATGCTCAGATGATAAACCTTCACCTAATTTCATTTCAGTGAGACAGCTACTAAAGCATTCCCCCAAGAAGTACATAATTTAATGGTGGAGCATCAGTCAAGACAAATTAGACTGATTGGTTCTGTATATGTTCCAGCAGGAGCAACATGAGATAGGAGGTGGCTGAACATTTAGATTATTGACAAAGTACAGTTCACTCCTAAAAAACAATGTAACATTGTTTGGTCTTATAATCAATAATAATACACTATTCCATGCTAGCCAGGAACAATAGACACAGAACAGAATACAAAGCAGCCTTGGACCTGCTCAGTGGAGTTATTTAATTGTTCAGTGCTAAGAATGAGTGCTGACATAGTGGTAAACACAAACAGCAGTGGACAAAGGATAATACTTTCCACAGTTATTGAAACGTAATTGGCAACAGCCCTCCAAATCTCAGTTTCTAACTGATACTGTACAGAATAATTTTGATAAGCTGCTAGTTTAACTCAGATAAATAAATACCTTATTTTCTAAGCGATTTTCTTCTTTTGTTGTTTCAAACTTGCTTTCCAGATTTTTTCCACATGTTAATCTGGCTGGTATTAACATACAAAATAGGGGCATGCACCAACCACAAGATGCAGTTCACATCCTGACTGGGTGCATTGGAAAGCTCCCCGCTTTGGTTCAAAGCAATGTGGAGGCTGTTCAATTCAGGTCAAGGTTGAAATCCAAATCTGCATTGAGGAGAAAAGAGCTTTCTTTATCCCCATCCACTATCCTGGGGAATTGAAAACAGCAATATAGTTTTGACAGAAGTGGATGAAATTCACAGACTTTTAAAAATATTTGGGGAAAATACAACGATATATGAATCTGCTAACTAGGTTTTATCTCTTTTTATAGAATTTGTATCTACCTGGTGCTTAGAATTTGAGAGGGGTGAATTTGTCATTTTGGTTTCTATGTTTTTCATGCTGCATTTGTGATACTTCCCTCAGTTTCTGTGTGAAATCTGGACACTTCTCATTATGTGCAATTTTTCTAGTATATGCATTTCCTAACAAAATGTTTTTTGGTACATTAATTTCATTATCATATGTATTTTGCAAGCACTTCTGACTAATCCTGCAAGTTTGTACACATTATTTTGTTGGGGAAATTCATCACAAAATTTGGGGACATGCACATTTTAAGCAGAGCTGTGTTTCTGCTCACATATTGTGAATTTGGCAAGTTGAGGTTAAAATGGTAATTGAATGCATTTCTCCCCCAGCCCTGCTCTAAATACAGTTCTTGTGAGGTTAAAAGTTGTGCTGGTTTAAAATTACATCTACTATCATAAATCATAAAGACACCACAATCAAAATGGGAAGCAAAAAATAAAATAAAAAATAGGAATGTAATGCATGCTATCACCACAATCAAGTTTTGCATTATATTGAGATAAAATTCCTCAGACATTTAAAAATGAAACCACCAAGTCAATGCTTAAATCTTCTATTGACTTTAGCTCAGACTATATTTCGACCTCATGGCCTCATAGCAAGCAAGTGTTCGTGAACTCCAAAAATCTTTCTTCCTATTCTTTTGCTTAGCCCACTCAGGACTCAGTTGATTATGCTCCTTGATTCTCCGTTTAATGAAGAGCTGAATGTTCCCATCTCTTTATTCACTGAGTCCGTCATTATAAGCATTATTCTCACAGAAAAGAATAAAAGGAGGGTATAATCCTTCAAACAGAAAAGAGATGAAATACTAGGAAGCCAAAAATTGCCCAGGAGTCATCCCTTTAAAAATGTCCATCTGGGGAAACGAAATGGCAGGCAAATTTAGAACTTCAATTACAGTTGTTCAAAGTATCAAAGTTACAGAAATTTGAACTTGACAGTATATTGCCTCCCTAAAAAGCCAGGGTCAGACATGTTTCTGAATCATGCAGAGAGAACCCATTCTGTAGCCAGCTTGATTGTATGACTATGTACGGTACCTTTCACTTGATTTCTCACTTGCCAGATATGCAGGGCCTTTTTTTTAGCCAGAACTCGCTGGAAATCAGTTCCAGCACCTCTCAGGTGGGCGCCATTGCCATTATAAGAGAACAAGGGAGGTGTTCATGGTGAGTTCCAGCACCTCTTTTTCTAGAAAAATAGGGCTGCAATTCTCTTTGGTGGTATTTTTAGGTTGAGATTATTGATTCCTCTCCTGGAATTATTGGATTTTTGATGGATATTTAAAACAAGGGTAGAAATGTTCAGCTACAACCCTATGATCCTTAGATCCCAATAAATTCCTTTTAAAATAGTAGTTCAGGGCTTGCCAACACAGTACCCATGGCTGCCAGTGGGCCTGTCAGTCCCTCCTATGTTGCTTGCAAAAAGTCTCAGCAAACACCACCTCGAAAATCCCCAAACACAAGGGACTGTTCCTGCTTAGTTCCTGTTTTCACTGGTTCAGCTACCTTGAGCACACATCCCTCCTTAAGCATGCCCAAGTGTTATTATATGACAGGTTTTGATGCCCCACAGCTTTTTTCTTCAGCAAGCATGGCGGTGGCTGATGTAGGTGCTTTTTCTTTCATTGATGGGGAAGCAGATTGTCCTGCCTCTCTTTCAGCCATAACACTACTCCACCACAGCAGCTATTTTGTGTTGCACCATATCTCACAGCAGCCATTTTGTTACTGGTGTCTGCAACACTTTCTCAAAATGCCAGATGTGCCCATTGGGTTGGTGACCTCTTCAGCAACACTGATTAGTTTCCTATGCATGTATGAAGCTGTGCTCTGTTCAGTCAAGCCATTGAGGGGAGGGTACTGTCTTCTCCCAGCGAGGTTCTTGCCATCTGAGATCCTTAACTGACTCAACCTAGGGGTTTTATGCATGCTAAGTCCCCCCCTCCCGCCCTGGCTGTTGAATTTCTGTATATAATTGTATCATTATTCCTGACATTAAAATCAACCTTCATATTGTGCATGTGCAGTTTGCATCAGTGCACTTTTAAAACATCATTGGATCGTTTCAACTCTGGCTGATTATATCGTTATTTGTTACTTCTAATACCGACTGAAGTCTCATGAGAATATGTTTCTCCAGAGTTATTTATAAATTGCTTCTCTTTGAATGTGGACAGGTGGTGTTAGGACGGTCTAAATTACTGTTCTGCTATGGAAAGCCAGGCAATTAAGGGGGGAGCCTGCAATGCTCCCACTAATTGTGTTCCATACTGCTGCAGCACCCGTGTTCTCAGCCCTGCCGTGTTCCCGATTAATGTTTAATGGGAAAGCAGCAGGACCCAGCACATCAGCATTCCAGGCTGCAGAATGACATTGGAAACTAAAGTGTGATTGCTAAGAAATGATTTCTTTCCCCCACTCTGAATACCTGGTTAACTGCTGTTAACAAATCCATATTAAAAATGCAAGTGAATCTTACTAAGGCAGGACTTGGCAGGAAACTACACATCATGTATCACTGTGTATTATGCTTTGATGATGAAAAATAGGCCAGGACATGGGTAGCAAGGTTGTTGTTCTTGAGCTCTTCATCTGTACTTTTTGTTTAAAAAATAATGTCCAAAGTCTCCTATATGAATATGAGTGCCGTATTAGGCTAGATTAATTGTCCATCTTAATTTAGCAATCTGTTCATTGCAGAGGTCAGACAGATTACCCCTCAAACATTCATAACAGGACAGGATGATGGTGGTATGTATCCCTTGTAGTTAATCTCCAGCATCTGTTGACCAGAGGCACACTGTTCCTTTGGCTGTTGTGCCTTAGAATCCACAAGCAGACCATGCTGAGAATTGGCACTGAGCAGATACTTGGCTCGGCAGAGACCATCTTTTCACAAGCCAATGCTCAGCTGAGAGCTGAGCTATGTATCTGCTTTGGGGAGCCTTCGTTGACTCAGATGGTAACTGCAAGTATGGTTAGCAGCACATGTTGCCAGAAATTGAAACAAAAGGCACCTAGCCACTTCAATTTCGTTTCTTATGAAATGACTAATAAGTGTGTGAAAAAGGGGTTGGTTTTCTTTATCTCTTTCATCCCTTACTTGAGGGGGGGACTCACATCTCTCTTGACAACAGTTGAATTGGGCTGCTGCCATTTTGTTTCCCAGAATACCCTAAACTTTGTGGTGTTCCAGGGGATTACAAGAAAAGAGTCAGGGTGGGGAATGAAAATAAAACCTGTGGTGAGATTGGCTCAGTTGTGGTAGCAGCAGCAGGGGGAGTAACAGAAATAAGTAAGAACACCGGAATGAAAACAAATTATTTTAATGAATGATTTCAATGTGATTTTAAAGAAAGAATGTGTTACTCTGCTTGCTCCATTGACCTGAAAGAGAGATGCATGCTGCAACCCCATAGTCACCTTTGACTGGACTTAACCGTTCAGGGGTCCTATACTTTTACCTGCTGCAGAGGGTTTGGGACATGTTCAAAAGAGGACACTTAATTCATGCCTGCATTGGCCATATGCCTCATAATGTGCACTCTGCGCTGCCCTGTGACTGTGCATTTTCAGTGCAATTAATACTGATGAGAAAGTCATGTTTTAGGGAAGCTAAATGCCCCTTTCTGTTCATCTCATTTGCAGTGATTGCTACTGATAAGCTTCTGAGGAACCCCTGGGTTCTGAGCAGCACAGTTTGAAGCATTGTGGACCAGCTAAACGCAAGCAATCAGATTTCTTTCACTGGTAGCAATCATATGGAGTTCTCCCTGTAATTAAAGCAGATATTAATAGTTAGGTTTTCTAGAATTTGCTGGCAGATGGCACTGCATATTGGAGAATTTCACATAAATAGCAGTATTATGAACATATGTCTGATACATATTTTAAAATGTTGCATTCTTAAAGTACAGTGATGTAAAAAGACTTCATGGGGGACTTTTAAACATAGCTGAGCAAACAGCTGTGCTGTGTTTTTGATGAAAGACCCATTTTTTCATATCTGCTTGTACAGGGACATTAAAACACACACACAACAAAGTTTCGGCTTGATAAGTATAAAGCAAAAGGGAAAATCAAGATTTGACAAGTAAGATCGAGAGTTAAGTGTTCTCGTTAGTATATCTGGTACCTAGAGAAAGCCAATTCCCATATCAACATGCCCAGATGTTAAGATCAGCTGCTAGTGTTCTCCAGGTTGTCACTGCCAACAGGGAGAAAGTGACGGGAACTAGGGGAGAGGGCATTTTTTGGTGTTCCATTTCATGAACTCCCTTCCCAGAGATGCTTTTCTGACACCAAACTTTCTATCCATTAGGTACCAGGCAAAACCCTTTTCTATTCTTCTAGACCTTTAAGGCACAATCCTACAGCCACTTACTTGGAAGTCCCATTAAACTCAATGGGGCAGACATATGAGTCGTCATGCACAGAATTGTATTTTAAGGTCTTTTAGACCTTAATCTTTTAATTTACTCTTGCTTTATGACTGAGTTTATGTTGATTATATATTATGGTTTTCATTGTAAGTTGCACTCAGATCATTTTTGAAGAAGAGTAGTGTAAACATTTCTCAAATAAAAACAGGAAAGAAACTTGTGGAATTGTAAAGACTAACAAATTTATTGTGGATTAAGTTTTGCGGCCTAAAGTCTACTTCATCAGATGCAGGAACTGCAATCCTCATTTGGCAGGATGATGAGCAGAATATGTAAAGAAAACAAATAAATGATGGAGTCAAATAGAAATGGAATCCAAAATAGTACAATCTGTGATCATTCAATTAGAGCTTGCACATGTGCAAAATGAGCACAGTGACACTTCACCACAGCAGTTTTTTGTGCATATTTATTATTTTGCATACCATGGAGCTGTGTGAGTATGCACACTGGTGCCATTGAGCTGAAGACACATGATCTCCCCAAAGCTGAAAGTAATTGTAGGTGAGCACAAAGTGGCAGTGTTTTGAAGGCAAATTAACATGGCTGCCCCCCCCCCCGGAAATTATTCAGATAAATACGGTACTTATTCAGGCATTAAGAGTACCTCTGAGCATATTCAGAGCACTTTCCCACTGAGGGTAATTAAGTTTTGGTTTTTTAAAAAGCAACTTACATCTTCAGGATACACTTTTGAAAAGCAGAATGTCAATAATAATAATAATAATAATAATAATAATAATAGACTATTCATGGTGAATAGTTCCGGAGTGGGGGCCCTAATTCAGTAGTAGGCTGCATGTTTTGCATCCACAAGGTCCCACTGTCAATCTTTGGCATCTCAGAAGAAATTTAGGTAACTGTGCTAAGAAGGATCTTGCCAGACAGCTGCGCCGAGTCTAATTTAAGGTTCTGGCCACATAGAGCAGTGGTCCTATTCTGTGTAGGGCACCTACGGTACATGTACAGATAGAGCAGTGGTTTCACTCAGTATACGGGTGCTTCACATGTGCGGACAACATTCACACACACCCTTTTATGTAGCTACAGTTATGCACTGCTTCCACGAGGCACTTGTTCAAAAGCGGGGTTTTTGGTATTATGGTACTGATATGTACGGGGGACCATTCCTGCAAAAAGTGCTGCACATAGCACCGGTGTGTGCCAGTCTATTCTAAGTGGATAACAAAAACCCCGTCCAATAACAATCCTATAGTGCTTTGCATGGCACAAGTTCTTATGGAATGTGTCCTTATTAGTAGTGACAGAACTTGTGCCCATTCTCACTGAGGTTTTGTGCATTAACCGGAAGCTCAGGGCCTGAGTGCTAGGAATGTCCTTTACTAAATTTTCCCTTCTCAGAAGGTAATCGAGGAGTTTATGGAGGGAAAAAGGGACTCCCATTAAAGAACTTTATGATGCACAATGGGTTTCTGACCTTGTGTTTTTGGCAGGTATTTCCACACCTCTTAACTTCTGAAATCTCACACAGCAGAGTGAAGTTTAATTGGCATTTTATCTTATGCACTGAAAAGATTTGAGGCCTAATTCCTCATTTTGTGGAGCATTTTTGAATAATTATGATCATTACCAAGGTATGTAATTAAAAAATAAAACAAAAGGGAACCCCAGGAGTGCTATGTTACATTTTCTGTACCTAAGACAATACTAAAAAGCTGCCCAGGGGCTTCCAAACTGCAGACTGTAATTCCAGTTTAATTCCAACTCTGGGGAAGCACCTCATACTTTGGTTAATTTCCCTTGAAATCCATGCAGCTTTGATAGGCCATGAGTATGTGCCTTAAACATATATTCAAGTGGTTTTCATTTTCTGAATATCTGAGAGAGCCACACCGTTACTGTGAAAAAGTAGCTAAGCATTTTGCTATGTTGCTAATGGGAGGAAAAATACTAAACTTATTTCTTGTACTATGATTGAATTCTTAAGGTACTCTGGTGTTGTGTGCATATTAAGGTGATAGGATAAATACACAGATGTGATATTTGTGATCTTGCCAAATCAATGTCTATTGACCTATGTCTAATACTGACAAATACCAACATGAAATATATTCCAGATAGCCCTGAAAAAGACTTAAGCATTACATGTACCAAGTTATTGAGTCCAGGAGGTGGAAAGTTGCATTCTCCTGAAAGGAGCAGATCTGTAGCTTGTGGGTACACCTGGGTCCAACATTGTCACTGGACGTTCAGGTGCCATTGGTGTATTCCTTCCAACACAATGCGGCTCAAATCCGGAACACCACCTTCTGCATCCAAAATCCTGTGCTAGTCACGTGACCCATGTGAGATTGCAGACCGGAGAAAGGGCTTTTTAAAGGAGAGATATTGGCCTGAAATTGCATCAGAGCAAGGTGACCAAAATGGCCGCTGTACTCTCATGAAAAATAAAAGGGGGATGTCCCGGTTTTTGCAGGGTAGTTGATGGGTGCTAGGAGTATTCCCCCCCGACTTTTGCTGATTTGCCCACTACAGCCTCTTTTGAACAGTGATGTCTTGGCCAAGGTATTCCATGTTCTGGTAATTTCCAAGGTGGATTACTGCAGTGCACTCTATGTGAGGCTGCCCTTGAAGACCCTCAGAAACTTCAACTGGTCCAAAAAGCAGCAGCCAGATTATCGGCATGGGTTCCATCTAGAACTCATATAATCCTCTTTTTAAAATAGCTGCATTGGTTGCTAGTTCATTTCTGGACCCAATTCAAAGCCCTAAATTACTTAGGCCCCAGATCTCTGGAAGACTCTCCTTCTCTTCTGTTGTTCTACTTACACAACAGATTTCTGCTTCAGATACAGTTTTCCTAGTAAAGGGCCTCTGTGATGTTGAAACTGCACCAGTTGAAGCTCTTTTGCTGAAAAGTGCACAGCATCTGTTAGGTTAAAGAGTGGCAACTTTAGGCATTGCACACATCATTCCTCTTCATTATCTTGCAAATCCCATCCCCTGATCCTGCTGGCAACAGGATTTGCCAATTCTGTAAGGAGGTTCACAGTTGTGACTTTAATACATAAGTTTGATAGCAAGGCAAGGTATATGTTGACATTATCTATCTAGTTTTCAGTCATTGAATTTTCCTTGACTTCTTAGGTAGGGATTAAACTTTGTTTCATTTTTTTAGTTGATTCCATTGTTTGAATCTGATTTTTTGTTAAAAGATTATTCATCTCCTATGGCTTTTAGCAGTTCTTCACTTTAAGGAATAATCTCCACTTTATGGGCAGAACTTTCTGAATCCTCCCCTTGTGTGCATGGCACTGCTGGAGAAAGTATAGAAATGTCTATGGCAATAAGATCTATTCTGTATTATGACCATTATCTGTCTTAATGTAACAGCGTTCAAGCCCAGACAGTCTGTGATCAATGCACTCTGAGAATATCACAACAGCTATTGAAAAAGTAGAGATAACACTAGTGACAGTAACCTAACTCAGGGGCAGGTTTAAATGCACATCAAGGAAGCAATGAAACCAAGAAGAGATAAGTGGGAGCTCAGAACTGTATCTCCAGTGACATAAGCAATACACTTTGAGTAGTGATTTTCAGACTGTCGGCTGGAAATTTTTCCATCAGTAAATAACACAAATAAAAGGAGGCTTTCTTGGGTAGCAAGAAAAATGGTTGTAGGAAGAGTTCAGAATTATTACATTTTTTTTCAGCCAACTAGCAATATATTGAATTAGCTTCCCAGCTCTCTAGCCTGTTTCTAGGAGTTTCTGTCTTTTTAAAAATCTGGCTGTTTTGGTTTTTTTAAGGGTGCCAGTTACATAGCAGAGACAGAAAAAAGATGTGATTAAAAAGATGTGAGGAAAAAGGAGCTGAATAAGTTGTTTTGGTGATTAGGAGGTTTAATCTGAAATCACATTAGATTTAAGCTTGTTGGTGTCTCTGGTATCTTCTCTTACACGATGGATGTTTGTTTCTGTTATGGATAGATGTTCTTTATTAATACTATTGCTACAAGGTTATCAAGACCTTTGGATGGGACAATAAACTTATGAACGGAAAAGCTCCTATGGGCTAGAAACCTTTGTGGATTTTGTTATAAGACTAGGTAAGGTCATTTGAAACTGGTCTATGCTTTTGGAGCTCTGGCTCATATATATATATTTTCTCAGTGAACTCTTCTGTTTCTCCATTGCAAGATTGCTGAAGGGCTGGAATACTGGGATCATTGAAAGGTTCTTAAGAGACATTAAATTAAGTAAAAGAAATGTGTGCACTTCATTTTGAAATACTGTTTCATTTATTTCATAAAATTGGGAGTTCACTTAACTCTGTGACTTTGTTTGTTAAGCAGAGTCTCCAACCCATCTCTTACTTTCTGTGAAAGCTTATAAGATATGTGTCTGTGGGTGTATTTAACCTGTGCTAAAAAGAAAGTTAGATCACAACTTGATCCCATCTTGCAGTCATGAGAATCCTATGGCTAATTACTGAAACGCCGGCAAACTGGGTGATTGCTAAAGTTTAAAGAAGTCCTCTTTACTCAGCACCCCACTTTACTTCTGTGGTTTTCAGAATTCCAGTTTCTTTTCATGAACGGAACAGAATGAGAAAAAGAAAGAGACAGCAGGCTTCTATATCAGTAGGTGCAAAAATATTATTTCCTGTATAACTTTGGTTAAAAAAAATAAACTTATTGTATTTTATTCACATGATAATGCTTGCATAATCCCATCTTATAATAAAGCATGAAAGCCTTGATTCCCATTACAACTGTAAAGCACTGTATAAACCACAAAGCAATAAATGTACAGTATGGTTTCTCCATCTCTTCTTGATGCTGTAAATGAAGGCTGTAAATTGCTTTCTCACACAATTTGTGCAATAATATACTTAATGGATTATGAATGACATGGGTGGAAGTTGACATTAGCACAGCAATTTCTATTTAAATGTGCTTCAGACATAAATGCATGGTGTCTCAATAGCAGACTGTCTGAATACATACACCCTTGAATTTGTATTTAGCAAAATTTGGTGTGCTAGAGATTGAGGTGGTGAATCATTATTAACTAATACAGTACCTGTGCATGTATATCTGTTATAGATCTAAATGACAGGTTTCTCTGGTCTCTCAAGAAAAGCGGATTTCTTAATAGCAAAATTATTTCAAATAAGAATGCTGTTCTCATTTACACAAACCAATCAGCTCAGAGCTAGAATCACCATTACATTGCATCTGCTACAAAATGGTGCCTTAACCAAATTGAAGCCACTGAAAAAGTGAAGTTATCTGAGAGTTTCCTTACGTAAAGTATACAGCTGTCCTGCCTCCTGTATTCCTTGCCACAGTTTAGAACATTGTTTGCCAATCTCTTGCTTCTAGAGGTTTTTGACTACAACTCTCATTAGCCAATGGTAGTGGTAGTCCAAAACACCAGTTTGGCAAAGGCACTTTTAGAACATGATGGGAATTCATGTATGATAAGTAGAGATAAGGGAGAAATTCAATTAGTTCACATTTAAAGGCAAATTACCAAACCTGCAGTTTCTGAAACAATAAGTGAACCAAAATGCAGCTACAGACCCTCCAAGTGTCCCCATTTTCCAGGGACGTCCCTGATTTAGAGAAGCTGTCACAGTTGCTGAGTTGATTCTAGAATGTCCTACTTTTCCCTAAAGGTAAAGGTACCCCTGCCCGTACGGGCCAGTCGTGTCCGACTCTAGGGTTGTGCGCCCATCTCACTTAAGAGGCCAGGGGCCAGCACTGTCCGGAGACACTTCCGGGTCACGTGGCCAGCGTGACGAAGCTGCTCTGGTGAGCCAGCACCAGCGCAGCACAGGGAAACGCCATTTACCTTCCCGCTATAAAGCGGTACCTATTTATCTACTTGCACTTAAGGGTGCTTTTGAACTGCTAGGTGGGCAGGAGCTGGGACTGAAAAACGGGAGCTCACCCCGCCGCGGGGATTCGAACCGCCGACCATACGATCGGCAAGTCCTAGGCACTGAGGTTTTACCCACAGTGCCACCCGCATCCCTTATTTTTCCTTAGGATGTCCTTATTTTCATTGGAGAAATGTTGGAGGGTGTGGAGTTATCCAACCCCCGAGCTGTCTGAAGGCAAACCTGTATAGGGAAGTTTTAAAAAATGTTTAATGTTTTATTATGTTTTAGATATGTTGGAAACTGCCAAAAGTGGCTGGGGCAACCCAGCAAGATGTGTGGTGTATAAATAGTAAAATTAGCATTATGGAATGGGACATCCCTATTTTCATCGGAGAAATATTGGAGGGTATGCAGCTAACATTAAGAATTAGAACCATCGTTTTGAAATACTCCTCAGATATGCCTCTAAGATAACTAAATGAGAACATGATTGTGTACCATTGGAGATAATAGTCATGGATATTTCAAGTTGTCATTATTCTATGAGTACGTCTAGATCCATTTTGAGCTGTACTTTAAAAAACAAACCAAAACACCAATAGCACTCCTGTCATGGTCAACATATTAACAGATCTTACTTCAGAAGCCAGTGCAGCTTAGACTATTGAAGGCTCACCAGACATTGTGGGATGGGGTGTGCACCACTGGTGTGAAAATATGGGTGTTACAAGAGAGTCTCCTGTTTAGCTCTTAAATATTCCAGGATGTATCTGTTATTTATGACATACATCAAGTGAGAATGGGGAAGAATCTTTAGAAGAAGGAATAAAGTGCACCATCATTTGAATGCAGCATTTTCCACAGGAGACCAATATCTGTCACATATACTAAAATGTCAGCACCAGCAATAACCTTCCAGTTCACGAAGAAAGGATCATGCTGAATGAATGTGGATTTCTTGGTCATTCGAAAGGGTTTATAGCTTGGACAAGCCATTACATAAAGCCTTTAGTGCTGTGGAATTACAGATGGAGAAAGGAATTTTACAGATGGGCAGTTTTAGTTGATCAGGTTATAGTGTATGCCAGGGATAATCTCCATTTAACATCTATTTTTTTAAAAATAAATATTTATTAAAGTTTTCACAATATTACATAATGAAAAATAAAAAACAAAAAACAAAAAATAAAAAACAGTTAAAAACAATTCCATCTTTTTGTCACTTATCTTTCATTTGCTTGTTTCCCGGACCTCCTCATACCTCCCTTTTTTGTATTCCAGTTCAATTTATTAGTTCAGCAATTCCTTTCCCTCCTTATTTTATCCTGATCCTTAATCTTAATATATTATAGCATTAAATTTTTACCTATTAAAAATCCAATTCTTTCATATTCTTTTATACCATTACAGCTAGAAACCACTTAACTTCAATCCAACATCATTCTAACATTCGTTAATTTTGCAATATTTCTGTAAATAGTCTTTAAATTTCTTCCAATCTTCTTCCACCGACTCTTCTCCCTGGTCTCGGATTCTGCCAGTCATTTCCGCCAATTCCATATAGTCCATCACCTTCATCTGCCATTCTTCCAGAGTGGGTAGATCTTGTGTCTTCCAATACTTTGCAATGAGTATTCTTGCTGCTGTTGTGGCATACATCTCCATTTAACATCTAGGGCACCAGGAGGTGAGAGCCAAAGGAAAAAAATGAGAGTGTTAAATGCCCAAGCACTACCACATGAAAAACACTCATTAATTTCTGAGCCATGCTCTTCATTTTACTAATGCAGGCAGTTGTCTTCTATTCAGAAATGAGAAAGTAAAAGGAAACGGCCAAAATTAATTAAGCAATTAAACAACGACTTCTGTCCTGCATTTTGAGTCTCCTGTGACTCAGCATTCTTTGCAACTTAATTACCCATGAACTGTGTTTTTCATGCTGGAGGTTGGATAGGGATACATTTTGTTAAAAGAGACAGACCAGACAATTCAGTGTTGTTTATTTATTGCTCAGTTATTTTAGGCTGCTCTCTCTTTTGCTCCCCTGCCTCTCCCTTGAGATGATTGTCTTTGTGTCTTCCTTTGTTGCCTTGGAAAAAATATATATTCAAAATGATATTTAAAAGAATGCCTGATATATTTGCAACCTTTTGAGAAGAATTAGAATTGGAATCTCATTAACACATGATGCAATCCATCAGACCAGGACCTGTTTCCAGTCCCCTGAGCAAGCTTCCTCTTGCTGGCCTCTCCTATTGTAGTTTGATTATTGATTCTTCTTTTCCTTTTTCATTGTTTTGTGTGGCACTTAGAAATGCAGAGCAAGGGGAGAGAGCCTTTTTGAGGCAATCTGCTTGAGTTGGTGGCGGGACATGAATTGCCAGGTCAGCAGTGTGGTCTTCTGTTGTGCTCCTGTTACTCAGAGTGACCAGCACCACTTAACTGCAAGGCAGAATGGTGAAGGCTGCTTTCTGAAGCCCCGGGAAGAGGATGTTATGTGTCCACTTCCCAGGCTTTGGAAGTTGCTGTTCCAGCTTAGAACTTTTCTAGGTTCAGACTTCTTGTTGTTGCTTGGAAGAGATTTTTTTTTAAATAAAAAAAATCAAATCACCTCCAGTCTGAATTGATACAGTCCAGAAGCATATACACCCCATCATTTGTTTGCCATAGTAACTGTTTGTATGCCTGTCTGCATGCCCTCCAACATTTCTTTGATGAAAACAGGGACGTCCCATTCCATAATGATGATTTACTATTTATACCCCACACATCTTACTGGGTTGCCCCAGCCACTCTGGGCAGCTTCCAACATATATAAAAACATAATAAAACATTAAACATTAAAAAAAATCCCTATGCAGGATTGCCTTCAGATGACTTGGAGTTTGGATTTGTATTCCACCATTCAATCCAGAGCAATCCTCAAGGAGAGCTTGCATAAAATAATAAAATGCACAGTTACATTAGGCGATGTGGCGTTTGCCCATTCCTTGTGATTATGTTTGTACAGGCAGGGGAAGGGCTTAATGTAGATTGACCAATGAGAAAGCTCAGAGGCGGAGCCTTCCTGGTTTTGAGGCTCAACCCAGGGTTTACCATTGGGAGATGGAGGAGTGAGGGTCAGACAGAGGCAGAAAAAAGTAGAACATAGTGGTTGTGACAGAGTGAGAGACAGGGATAGAACTGAGAGAGAAGAGTGTGACAGTGTGAGATAGTGCCACATCTAGTTAAGGGTGCGCATTTGAGAAACTGTTCTGAACATATTTAAAACTTGTTTGTTCTTCAATAAACTATAATCTTCGTTGTTGACTTTACAACCTGACTGAGACTTAGTATTTCACCAAAAGAAACCTGGTTGATGGCAGCAGAAGAATAAAGTAGTGGTGTAGAGGTCAATAGTCCATGAAACAACCGGGGGCTCTGTACAAACGCCACAGGCTGCTTTATCCCATGACAGATAGTATTTCTCTGGGGCAGCCCATTGCCTTCTGAACCCTAGTTCTCATTAGATTGTTGTGGCTATTCTCATTGCTTTTTACCCCATCTCACTTCCCTGACACTACTGGCAACAAGATGGTCACTTGCCTGGCTGTGCGCTCTGTATTCCCTTCCCCATGGGGACTGCAATTTACACCTATTATTAGAAAGATGATCTATGATCCATGAAGCAGCTTTTATACTTAACAAAGATGCTGTTGATTCCTTGGATGTTCATATCCCAATGACAGCTCAGAGAAGTAAAATAGTTAAAACATTTCTCTCCAGTATGGTGAAGTGGTTAAGAGCGGTAGACTCGTAATCTGGGGAACTGAGTTCGTGTCTCCACTCCTCCACAGGCAGCTGCTGGGTGACCTTGGGCTAGTCACACTTCTTTGAAGTCTCTCAGCCCCACTCGCCTCACAGAGTGTTTGTTGTGGGGGAGGAAGGGAAAGGAGAATGTTAGCCACTTTGAGACTCCTTCGGGTAGTGATAAAGCGGGGTATCAAATCCAAGCTCTTCTTCTCCTAGTCATATTAAATTCAAAATCTTTGTAACACCATTGTTTACTGATATATTTGAACTGGCATCAGGTACAGAGGTTTAGATCCAAGATTATGTTTCAGGAAATGTGATACTGACTCTAATTTCCCTTCCTCTTTGCATATGTTGAGTATGAGCAAGTCAAAATTAGTACTCCTAAGTCCCAGAAGGGACGCAGGTGGCACTGTGGGTAAAACCTCAGTGCCTAGGACTTGCCGATCGTATGGTCGGCGGTTCGAATCCCCGCGGCGGGGTGAGCTCCCGTCTTTCAGTCCCAGCTCCTGCCCACCTAGCAGTTCAAAAGCACCCTTAAGTGCAAGTAGATAAATACCGGTAGGTACCGCTTTATAGCGGGAAGGTAAATGGCGTTTCCGTGTGCTGCGCTGGTGCTGGCTCGCCAGCTGCAGCTTTGTCACGCTGGCCACGTGACCCGGAAGTGTCCTTGGACGGCGCCGGCTCACGGCCTCTAGAACGAGATGAGCACGCAACCCTAGAGTCGGACACGACTGGCCCGTACAGGCAGGGGTACCTTTACTTTTACCTTTAAGTCCCAGAAATCACACTGGGCATGCTTTAGGTATGTGTTGTGTAGTTCAATCCAGGTTTGCTCAGAAGTGCATCCTACTGTGTGCAATAAAGCTTACTAGCAGTTGATTGGGCATAGGATTGCAGCCTAACTCTCTCTGGACGGTGGCCCTTTCCTTGTTGCCTTTTTCTGAACACCCCTTTCACCTTAAAAAGGTGATCAGAATCAAGGCCAGTCCAGTGCTGAGTTTTTAAAATTTCCTTTTGGCCAATTCACTCTGAGATGTCATTGGCCTTCCTTTCTGCTGCACCATGCCCCTCTCTAAAGTTCAGCTTGTGATTCATTGCAGCTTCTAACTCCTTGACAGGCCTAATTCCCCATTTTATTGTATGCATTTGCTGTATGTGATCTCTTGCACTTGTCCACTTTATAGTTCTCAGATGATTACTCTAATTTATCAAGGTCACTTTGATGAAATTCTTGGTTTTCATAGTTCCTATCGTCCTTCCTAGCTTTGCATCATTAAAAAATTGGATTCAAATATTCTTCATTTCTTCATTTGAGTATGCATTAGAAAGGTAGGATGGCATCAGATACAGAACAGCCTCTTTGTCAGTTTAGCATTCACTTATAACTATGGGCTCAAGCCAGCCAAAATTAAGCACTGCTAAGCCCCATTGATTCCAATGTGAGAATTAACCACTATCTCCCTTTAAAACCAATAAGACCTAGAAATACTAGATTTTAGTTGAACTGCATGTGACTTTTGGAATATGGCCCATTTCTAACATTTGTGGACCATTTTTCACCACTGTTCAATTCAAGGTGCTATTCTTGATCATTGAAGAACTCATGGAATAAGAGGAGAGGTCTTCTTATGACCAGGAACTGTTTAAGGAACAGGAATTAGAGAAAGGGACAAATCTCTCAATGGAGGGATGTGGGAGATGGAGTCCCTTAAGAATCAATATTGGGACTTGTGCTTTGTAACTTGTTCATAACCACTCCAGAGTTAGGGGAGAGGAGCAAGGTAGCCAAGTTTCTTGATGATACCAAATTGTTCAAGATGGTTAAAGCAAAATAATAATAATAATAACAATAAAAAAATAAAATAAAAAATAATCCTCCAAAAAGGATCACTCCAAACTGAGTGTATAGGCAGTAAAATGGAAAATGTAGTTCAATGTAAACACGTGTACACATTGGGACAAAACAAATCCTAAGTTTATGTATGCACTCATGGGGTCTGAACTGGTGGTAAATGACCAGAAATGAGACCTTGGGGTAGGTAGTAGGGGGTAGTTCAATGAAGATGTTTACCCAGTGTACAGCAACTATGAAAAAGGTGAATTCCATCTTACAGATTATTACAAAATATACTGAAAATAAAACTGCCAATATCATAATATTGTAATACAAATCTGTGTAGAGAGCACACCTGGAATTCTGTGTATAGTTCTGGTCACTTAACCACAAAAAGGAAATCACAGAGCTGGAAAATTATCAAGGGGTTGGGACATCTGCCCTTTGAAGAAAGGTTGCAATATCTGGGGCTGTTTAGAAAATAAAGAGGAGTAAGGTCTCCACCCCCATTGTTCAGCCCGGACACTGAGGTCCAGTTTCAAGGGCCTTCTGGTGGTTCCCTCACTGTGAGAAGTGAGGTTACAGGGAACCAGGCCGAGGGCCTTCTCGTTAGTGGCGCCAGCCCTGTGGAATACCCTCCCATCCGATGTCAAGGAAATAAACAACTATCTGACTTTTAGAAGACATCTGAAAGCAGCCCTGTTGAGGGAAGTTTTTAATGTCTGGTGTTTTATGGCGTTTTTAATATTCTGTTGGGAGCCGCCCAGAGTGGCTGGGGACATCCAGCCAGATGGGCAGGGAATAAATAAATAATTAATAATAATAATAATAATAATAATAATAATAATAATTAGGTGGGGTATGAAAGAGAAATACAAAATTATGCACAGGGTGGAGAAAATCTGTCTCAGAATTATACAACTTAGGGCCACCCAGTAAAGCTGAATGTTGGAAGATTCAGGAAAGACAAAAGGAAGTCCTTTATTCATACAGCACATAGCAGCAAATCTATGGAATCTGGTCTGACATAGTGATGGCCACCAACTTGCGTGGCTTTAAAATAGGATTGGTCAGCTCATGGAAAGTAAAGGCTTTTTGTAGCTACTTGACATGGTGGGCATATTCTCACTCCTCTATCAGTATACGAGTTGCTGGGAATCACAAGTGGAGAGAGTGCTGCTAATAATCAGGTCCTTTGAGAAGTCTCCCCATAGGCATTTGGTGGCCACAGTGAAAACATAATTTTGGACTAGAAGGCTCTTTGGGCTGATCCAGCAAAATTGTTCTTTTGTTCACGTGTCAGAGTATTTAAATAATGAAATACCGGTAGTGCATACTTTCTCCATGTATCAGGGGCCTAACACACACACAACTCTACACAATTAGAAGCCTGAGTGAAGGGGTAAGTTTTTAACTGGAGCCAAAATTCAACCAATTTTAGGTGGCAGCAGTATTTCAAGAGGAAAGGCATTCTACAACCGCAGAACCACCACTGTGAAGGCCCTCTCATGAGTCACAGTACTGGGGACCTTGCATGGTAATGGTTTAGCAAGTAGGACTATCCTGGGAGATCTAGGAGTCTGTAATGGATCTTAAGTCATTTAAGGCTTTATAAGACAACGCTAAAACATTGAACTAGGTCTTGGTAGTGTAGAGTACACCTATTGTGAATGAAATTCAGCTCAACATGTGTTGTTGTGTACCAGTCAAAAAGCCACAATTCTACAATGCAACAGGTGCTGCAGTATGAAAGCATCATTATGAAATGGAACAGAAATTCAGACATTATAATAAAGAAAACTAATGCAATATTCCCCACATTTGCACTCATTCCATGCAACCCCATCCAATTCTGAGATACAGGAACTTTACCCACAAAACCTCTGTCTTCCCAGGATTCAATTTGAGTTTGTTAGCCCTCATTCAGTCCAGTATTTGTATGTCCAGACATTATTTCTGTGTCTAATGTGGCATCGTGATGGGAAAGACGGTGAGCAATTGAACTGGGACATACCTGTCTGCCTGCATTTAAAAGTCCTCAAAGTACAGTGGGGTAGACAGGCTATTGAAACCAGTTCCATTATTTGTCCCAGACGTCCCAAGCTTTGCCTTCATTTTCAGAACTACCTTTACATCTTAGAACAAACTGTTTCAACAGTGCTGTGGAAATGCTTAGATCTCTTAAATACAAAGTTGCTAATTTGGATGGATCACTTGGAGGCCTAGCTTTGATAATGGCAGAGGTTTCATCAGAGCAATTTCTTGTCTGGTTGGAACAGGTTCATTAAGCTAAAAACACACTCAAATCAGGCATCTGCTTAACAAATGCTCATGGCAAAACTAATTAGATTTGCCAGGTTAGTGCGAATCAACAGAAGTCCTGTGAGATTCAAGCAATATTATTTCTTCTGAAATAAGGCAGGCTAGTTTTGCAGGCAAATTAACATGTATTCATTGTTAGATGGGTTCAGAAAAAATATTTTTGAATAATTTGTTTATGTATCTTCAACAATTAGGCACGTCTTATAAGAAGAAGTGTTGAAACCTTCTGCAGGTGTAATATGCTCCACTCTTTTAGAATTACTCTAATTTCTGACTTTCAGAATTAGCTTTCAAATTTGCACTGTCTCTATAGTGGCAAGGTATCCTTTCTGAGTGGAGCATCGATTTGAACCCAAATACCAATCTGAACACTCTAGATAATATCATGCTTAAGTCCAATTGTGGCCAGAGCTGGCTCAAAATATTTTTCTGCCTGAGGCAAAAGACAAGAGCTCCCCCTCCACAATTCCACTTGGAGAAGTCCTCTGCCACCTCTGAAGGAAGCAGGTGGTACAAGACAGGTTGTGTGACATGCACAGTTCTATCCTCCAATAGAAGAATGCCTGGCGAACTCAGGAAGAATGTCCAGCAGGTCACTGCTGCCTGCCACCCAGCACCTGCTGCTTGAGGCAATCACCTCACTCTATTGGTAGGGCTGGGCTTGATCATGAGGCTTATACCAAGCACAAGCAACTTGTTCTACTGATGTCAATGGGACTTAGTCAATTTTCTCTGGGTTGAAGCCTTTGCCTACATCAAGGATGAGGAACCTCTGGCTCGCCAGATGTTGCTGGACTTCCACTTCCAGCAACCCAAAGCAGCATGACCAGTGTTCAGGGATGATTGAAGTTGTAGTCCAGCAACATTTGGAGGGCCAAAGGTTCCTCATCCCTGATCTACATCATACTGGCTCTGCAGTGACAGGAAGTTGGTATTGTATGTTAACCAGCTGTGGACACAATTGGTTGTTACTCTCTTACAAATGGGACTTTAAAATTTGTTGAATTACAGAAAGGAATACACTTCTATTTTATGCTCTGCAAATATTTTATGCAAATCTTTCGTTCTCCCCCTCTTGTTCCATGCTGTCCAGTTTTGGTGAGCCTTCCTAGTCTTTTGTGATTATTCTCACATGAATACTTCCGCACCCCTTAACTCATACTTGTTCTATATTTTGCGGTATGACAGGATTTTTTTTTGCATTCATTAGGACAGTACTTTGTTTGTTTCTGTCCTTTGTGGATGTATTTTACTTTTGTTTACTGCTCTGTCCTTTGATTTTCATGTCATCTTTATTGTAGCTCCCCTTTTTTGCTGCTGATCTTTTCCCTACTGATTTATCCTTCCATTATAATGGTTTTTCTTCATGTTCTCTCCCATCTATCTACTGTAGTCAGCCAGAGAGCACATCTTTCTACCACAGTGTTTTATTCTTCTGATCAGCAGATCGCCTTTGTGCTCTGCCTCACTGCTGATTTACACTCTTCTGTTACGAGCCAGGTTATGTAGTAGCCACCCTTCTCTTTATAGGTTAGACAATTTTTGTGGTGGCCAATGGTTCTATTTACTCTTCGTTTAAAGATTGCAACCAGAAGACAAGCTTTTTGAAAAAATAAAAGCAGCAACAACCAATGTTGAAATAAGATCCTAATTATCAGTTTCATTCAATATTATTTTAACTTGGAAGGTTGTTGGCATAGAAATACTTCTCAAACTGATATGAAATGATTTAGAAAACAAGGATGTCTACATCCTTTGATTGATTAGCTGTCTGGCCTTTAATTCAATCATTAGAAACAAAGGTAAATACCACAGAATGCCACCGTTGGTGAAAGTCTGAAAATATTTGATTAAAAAAGTAATTGACCTAAACATATACGGAATTTATTTAGGGGATGGGGATAATTTTAAGCAACTCACCTACTCTAGGGATGTACTCATCCTAGATGTTTGACAAAGGATGTGGTTACATCCTAAGGAAGGTGCTACTAGTTGTAAAGAGAATTAAGACTTCCAACATCTTCTTGCGTTTGCTGTTCCTGGGTAGAGATTACCTTTATGTCACAAGCACTTTGAGCCTTCAGTGGCAACCCACAGAATGTCTGTAAGAGATACTGTCTGCATACACACCATACCCTGAAGGCAAATTTAAAGCACATGGCTTTCCTCAAAGAATAATGGGAATGGCAGTTGGGTGCTGGGAATTGGAGGTCTGTGCAAAGCCAGATCTGGCCAAAGGTTGGAGCAGCAGGAAGACCAGCAAGAAAAGCCTGGAAACCTCCTTGCACTAACAGACCAGAGAGGGTCCACTAGTATACCCCTCCCCCTCCCCCTACACAGATCAGGCAGCTCTGGGCACCAGGGAGACTATGCTTTTGTCATTTCTTGTTGGCCATGAACAAATTCATCTTGCTTCCTGGTTCTCAGCCTTTGTTTTGCCCTGTCCTGGACACAGTTTATCAGGAGCTGAGTGTGACATGGTCATGATGCTTCTCTCACTTTTAAGGATAACATAAATGAGGCTGGAGATGCCACTTATTTTATTGGCAGTGCTGCAAAATATATTTCTCATTGATTTCATCTGTTTCTCCCCAAAGTACACATTTCCTCTCAAAATAGGCATTTTCAAATGTGTTTTGATATACTTTTTTGTCAAGAACTGCTCCGGAACAGTTGGGAAATGTGAAGGCTGCTAGATCACCACGTTCCAGTATGCACACTAGTCCAAGAGATACAGATCAGGTCAATTTGTACTGGGATTTGCAAAGATTGAATTCCTCAAGCATCTTTAACTGTAACTCATTTTGGTGGAGAGAGCTCAGCTTTTCAATTGCAACCTATGCCCCTAGGCTTTCCTTTTCCCTTTTCTGATTGTTTGAAGTTCTCCATTGGTTGGCAACTGCCACAAGCAGAGGACCAGTGGTTGCCTTAAGCAGAGCAGTTCAATGGATCATCCTATATTCTGATATCGCTAATAAGCATCCATCTAGAATGGACAACTCCAATTAAAAGCTGGTTGTTTCAAAACTACAATTTGCAGTTTATGAGTCAATTACCTTTTCGTAAATCAAATGAATGCCTTTAACCATATTAAAAAAATATTCTGAAAAGGTGTTCCAGTCTTGTTTACGCTTTCATTTTAGATTGAAAGATGTTCTGAAATAAACTACCTACCAGGAATAAATTCACAAGGGCAGCTGATAGCATGTTTCCACAAGTTTCTTAAAAAAAATAAACTAAACCAATCAACCAAAAAAGAAACATTTAAGGAAGGCTGTAATTAACCACATTTTATTATACGTTTTATTTTATTTTTATTTGAGAGTGGCATTCGTGAAAGGTATATGATTATTATACTGTGGTTATAAATGCTTAGCTGACAAAGTTAACTGGGATGATAAGCTCATATAAAATGATAAGGGAGGAAATGATTGAATGGAATACATCTATTTATCTATGAACTAGGTATAACAGATTTAAGGTTAGACTGTTCATTGCTATAAAGGAAATTAATCTAAATTTTTTATAAGCAAACACAATTATTTAAATATTTGATATAAGATTTTAGAGGTAATTCCTATCTGTAATGGATTTACCTCTAATAGATAATAGATTTACATTTACATTTTAAAGAGAAAATGAAATATAATCTTAAAGGTCTTGTATTATCATAGGAACATTGAATAGTTTATATAATAGGATGTATTGCACTAAACAATATGCTTAATAATGTTCGTATATAATCATTTAGAGTTTGTATGGCACATGTATTGCCTATATTCATTAAATAAATAAAAATGTTTAGCTTAGGTTTAGCTCATTATTGGGCATAAAATAAAAGGTAAGCTTGGACACAATAGGAGACAACAGAGAAAGCTGTATAATTGATATGACAGCTAGAAACTACTGACCACATACTCATTTGTAATGATTATCATAATGAAGGAATAACTATTATAACTAAAAGTATCAGAAAATGAAATCACCCTTGTTCAACCATATTTGACAGTTTGGAAATTTGTTTTTAGGGAAAAGGATAATGAAGTCCTTATATTTGATGGTGAGTTTGCTAGAGAATGCACTGACCATCCAAAAGTTAAGGGAAGAGTAAAAGGATGTTTAGATATTTATCATCATGAGGGTGATGGATGACATCTTTCAGCCACTAGTAATGGGATTTTAAAAATTCAGATAGGAGGGAATTCATACTTATTTTAGATAAACTATCATTCATCCAAAAAAGGAGTGGGTGATTTATTCTGCATAAATATATGAGCTGGATGGACTCAGTTTACATATATTATTTACATATAAATGGCATAATTTGCATGAATTTGGAAACATGTTTGCATTTGGTGGGCAGGCCTTTCTTCTCTGTTTCTCAGGGAGATTAGAAGCAACAGTTCTGAGAAAGTTCTGGAAATCAGAGTTAATAAATATATTTATTTGTACTTAATGTATAGGAACTTACAATGTTTGCTCACAAAACATGCAGTGCTGGATTACCAGATAGGCAGAATAGGCACGGGCCTATGGGCCTTACACTTTTTAGGGGCCCTGTGACAATATTGATTTGATCTTGAAAGAAAATTACAATCAAGCTTTCTTAGTTCAATGTTATCTGACTAGAGCGCACACATGAGCTCCCCCCTCCGAGATTTTGACTGCTTAAGGGCCTCCACAAGATTTAATTCAGCACTCGAAACATGTCCCAACAGAACCAAAGAGAATTTGTTGCACCAAATTTGGAAACATCATATAAAGCTTCACCAACAAATCTTTTTCTGTTGCAGACCCTGGCATCTCAAATTTCAGTGGTGCCCTGTGCGACGCCAAAATCCATCACCCTCTTGCCTCCTGTTGGATGTCATAGTTGCGGTGCCTGCTGTGGAGCCCCAAAAGCTCCATGCCTGGTACGACCAAACCAGTCATGCTCCCACAGATCCACCTTTGTCTTTTGGTTAGCATGGCTGGCCAACCCACTTCCTTTGTAATTACAGTTCAACAGCCACATGTTGTAATGACCCTGGAGTAAACTTGTTATTGTGTGTGAGAGAGAGAGTGAGTGAGAGAGAGAGAGTGGGTTAACCTGTAAAGCTTGCAGTCCACTCCTCTTCAGGTAACAAACTAGAGGAGCTTTCTGTAACTTGGTGCCCTCTAGATCCGAGATTGCCAAAGTCTCTCCCCCTCTAACCACTTGAAAATTGTTGAGTGTTTTGATGGGCTTAATGGTTTATCTGCCTGTTGTTTGGTAATCGTAAAGTGTTTTTTTAATTACATGGAATTCAAATGTTAATACAAGAAAACACAATAAGAAATAATAGAAGCATTAAAGAATAATAGAATCATAGTATTATAGAGCTGGAAGGGACCGCAAGGGTTATCTACTTTCTTGTAACTTGAAGCCGTTGGTTTGGCTTCTACCCTCCAGAGCAGGAGAAAACAAGCTTGCTCCATCTAGCATGTGATAGCCCTTTAGATATTTGAAGATGGTTATCACATCTCCTCTCAGTCTCCTCTTTTCCAGGCTAAGCAAACCCAACTCCCTCAACCATTTCTCATAAAGTTTGGTTTCCAGCCCCTTGATTATCTTGGTCACTTTCCTCTGCCCAGCATTCCAGCTTGTCAATATCCTTCTTAAACTGTGGTGCCCAGAACTGGACACAGTACTCCAAGTGTCCTCTGACCAAGGCAAAATATAGTGGGACTATTACTTCCCTTGATCAGGACACTATACTTCTGTTGATACAGCCTAGATGTACTACTGGCAAGTCAGATATCCACCGTCTTATATTTGTGCAGCTGTTTCTTCCTGCCTAAGTGTTGAACCTTACATTTGTCCTTATTGAAATTCATTTTGTTAGTTTTGGCCCAGTTCTCCAATCTGTTAAGGTCATCTTGAATCCCAACTCTGTCTTCTGCGGCATTAGTTACCCCTTCTGTGTTACCTGAAAATTTGATGAGTGTGCCCTCAGTTCCTTCATCCAAGTAGTTTATAAAGACATTGATCAACAATGGGCCCAGGACAGGACTCTGCCACAGTCCACTTGTCACTTTTTTCCAGGATGATGGCAAAGAAATATAAGTGAGCACTCATTGGGTATGGTTATTCAATCCCCAAAATTACAGCTTCCGTGAAATCTTCAACAGCAACCCCAAGGAGAGTGCACTGCTATAATCCAATCAGGTTACCAGTATATGGACTACTGCAACCATGCTATTCCTGCCCAGGAGTGGTCATAGCTGGATGGCCAACTAAAGCTGGCCAAAAACACTCCAGGCCACCAATAGTAATTGAGTCTCAAGTGGCAGTGTTTAAGAGCACTCCCAGATTATTTATCTGCTCCTTCAAGGGAAAGACAATCCTATCCAGGGTTTCTGGATCAGGCCCTATGCTGGCTAGCACCAGTTGTGAGAGCAGTTTGGGATCCAAGAGAATCCACGACAACTCAGCCCTGACTGTCCATACATTTGTTTGCCGGCAGGGAGGATAGGCAATCCCAGATTGCACTGATAGTAGGCTTTGGTAAAAGAGGGCAGAGAGATGCCTCAGTTCAATCCAACCTCTTGCCCATCAACCCATTTGGATTGTCATGTGCAGTTTGGCTCATAATGACATTCAGTTTTGTTGCATTGTCAGCATCGTTCAAATATTTAAAAATATGTTACCCACCACTGAATCCAAGGAAAATCCCCTTTTAATCACAAAATACCTTTGCCCAATAAATTATTTTAAGAAAGGACTTACAGGCTCCCATTAAAATTGATAGCAAACCTACACATTTATTTCATCCCCATTTTTCTGGCTAGTGACTATTGTGTGCTTTGCATATAGCTTTCTATACTAGAGGGCATACTTTCATTGTAGAGCGCTGAAGGATGAATTAATAGAAAAAAAAGAAAAGAAAAGAGAGAGATGCTAAATATGGAAGTTTAATACAACAAAATGCTTTTCTCAAAATTGCTATCCCTGGGTGCCATTTGGGAACAGTTCAACAGAAGAGCTGTTCCATTTGTCTGCTGCTTTTGAATTGTGTGTTAACTTGTGTGGAATGCAGGGAAATAATTCATTCTCTTTTCAGTTTGGTGGGGAGAAAACCTGAATAGGGAATGATCTCAATGAGGTTAAGTAGAGCTGGCTGGTGCCCATTGGGTATGTTGAGGGAGAGGGCAGGCCAGCTAAAGTATACACACAGAGACACACCCACACACCTTTATCATCCACACCCACACAACTACAGAGACACACTCAACACAAACTGTCACACATGAACAGGGAAGAGCAGGGTGTGGCATCTCCCGTTCAGCACTTGAGGGCTTCTGCCACCTGAGGCAGTGTCAAGGAGCTGTCAGGTAAGTACAGATCATTCATGGGGCAGGAAAGAACTTGAGACACAAAATGTAATTAGCTTTTATTAAAAGAAAGTGACAACACAGCAGAGTTCCTCTGGCTCATCTCCTCTACTTGGAGATGTTGCTGAAACTGACCACTGCCTGATGTACATCTGATGAGAGTAGCATTCCCACTGTAGTGTATGCACTCCCCCCCCCCATTATCTCTAGTAAAGCAAGAGCATAATGTTCCTTAATGTCTGAAATACGTTTTGACCCTGAGTGATACTTTCCCACCATGTGCTGCTTTCTTTTCCTTTCTCTCCCCCCACCCCCAATGTTTTCTTTTTATAAATAGTGGCTAAAGGGAATGCTACAGTGTTTTAAAAGCCTTTTAAAGTTTGATGTTGGCCAAACGTATCATTTCTTCCCCCCGTTAGTGGTGTATCTTAACATTGATCGGGTTAATATTTTATGGACCAAACCTCCAGTTACATAAAAGCCTCTGAATGGGGAATTCTGACTCATTTAGGTTTCTTTAGCTATAAAAGATACCTCTTTATTTCACCCCAAGGTACCCTGTGATCTGCGCATCTCTCTCTTTCAAGATAGCTGTGTCTGGTAGGGTGAGGGGAGCCATTAGCTATATGCTCACCAGGCTAAGTCCTGCTCCATTGACTGCTCTGTTCTCTCATCGGTGGAGTTGTGATCTGATAGAAGAATTCCCTCTAAGCCCTTATCCAAGCCATTCAGGCTCTGAAGAAGTCAGCATGCAGTCCAGCTTCTTTTCTCCTTCTTGGCTTGGCTGGTTCAGTCTCCTGGGGGTGATAGCTGTCTTTCCATCTAGTCTTTCTTTTTAAAGGGTTTCCTGGTCAGAAGCATTACTTCAGGGCCATAAATAGGTATGCCCTCCCAGTACTGTCCTTCCGGTCATTTGATTTGTGGCATCCACCACAAACATGCCACCTTGGGATGAACTTTTGGCTTCTGTAAGGCTGCTCACCGGTGGCAAGTGCTGACCTGCCGTACCTTTCTCCAGGTTGGATTATTAAGACTTCCTGACTGGCAACTTGTAAATAAATCAGGGTGACCAAATCCTGATAAAGATGTAAAAATGAAAGACATTTACAGGCACTCCAATCCACCAGGTTTGGGGTATACACTCTGTTGGGGTTCTTGCATCTCTGTACTTGCCATCGAGACTGACCAACCAAAATGTCTCTGTATAGAAGGTATGGTGTAAATCAGCTGACAACCAATCATCTTGTGACCATGTTTGCATCTTCACAATCCATAAAGTGTACAACTTCACTCCAGCTGTCGGCACTTTTAGAAAATGCGGCTTTGCATGGCTGCAATTAGGGCGCAGTTACAAAAATATCTCTCTCAAGAAAATAATGAAAACAAAATACTCCTGTGACTGACTACGTTGAAGAAATTTGCAATACTGCTCAGTTTAACAGAATATGGACAGGCATGAGTTTGAGGATCATCTTGTCTGTCTCTTAGTGCTGACCCATTTCATTGAGCTTGAGCTTCCGCAGCCGCTGGCTGCCATGGGCAAGACGGGCAGTACCAGCAGCAGATACGTTCTATGTTTATGATAAAATTTTATTCTCTTGTTAATTGTGCTGTTTTAAATGTGCATTTTATATATGATTTCCTTTAATAATGTTCTCTCTCGAAATGTTGACTTTACTGCATCAAATGTGCACTCTGTTGCTGACCTCCTTTGTCATGTTTTCTTTTGAAGTCTTTAAGATAATATTTTAGCGCAGAATCACCATGGTTTGTGCACATTCTCCATTGATCTCACAAGTGCCACAGCATATGCACAATACAGCTTTAAGATAATATGAGTCAGAGGTAATTGTTAAATACTAGGAAGGAAAGTGTTAACCAAAGAGTTTGCCAAGTTTCCACTGCTCTTGTCTTAGGTTAATTGGATTTTCATTTTGTGGATTTCATTTTCATTTTCTGTGGGTTCTTCTTAAACAACAACGTAATTATGATATAACAAGTCTAAGGTAGCTGGCTCTAACTGATCTTCCAATAAATTCAATGACAGATGAGGTGATTAGACAGCACACAATTACTTTAAAATGATATTTCTAATGTAGCTTTACTGTGTATAGAAGGGGGGGGGGAGTAAACAAAACTAATGTACTTTGAAGGAATCCTAATTGTGACTTGTCAATTTTATTTCCCAGGGGGTATTTTTTAAATACAGTGGTGCCTCGCAAGACGAAATTAATCCGTTCCGCAAGAGTCTTCGTCTAGCGGTTTTTTCGTCTTGCGAAGCAAGCCCATTGACGGATTAGCGCTATTAGCGCTATCAGCTGTTTAGCGGCTATTAAAGGCTTAAAGGCTTAGGGGATTAGCTGCTAAAAGGCTATTAAAGGCTATTAAAGGCTTAGCAGATTAGATAAAGGGGGAAAAGCGAAAAAATCTCTAGACTCGCAAGGTATTTTCGTCTTGCGAAGCAAGCCCATAGGGGAATTCGTCCTGCGAAGCAACTTCAAAACGGAAAACCCTTTCGTCTAGCGGTTTTTCCGTCTTGCGAGGCATTCGTCTTGCGGGGCACCACTGTAATACATTTAGATGCCAGTCTTTTAAATGTAGACTTCTGTTTTCCTATCATGAAACAATTACGCTGAAGTAAGACTGGAGAACATAATTGCAGTAGGTTGTTCATCACTACTTTTGTGATTGTAGAGTGATATGCTTAAAATCTGCTTGTTTGAGTAACAAACTGAATTTTTTTATCAGTTTAATTGTGTAATTGTAATGAGTTATGCAGCACAGTAACATTGAAATGAAAGTGCTGCAGTCAATTCTGCTAGACTTTAGGAGGGCTTCTGTTGGCATTGGGAGTCAGAGTTCAATGTATTTGCCTTAGATATTATACAGTATATGATCAAGCCAGTGCTATTTTCTAGGAAAAGAGATACTGAAACTCACCATGAATGTGTCCCTTGTTCCCTTATAATGGCAAAGGGGCCCACCTGCAAGGTGCCAGAACTGAGTTCCAGTGAGTTCTGGATGAAAAAAGCCCTGGAATGAGCACTATATACATTTTTACAAATAAATTAATTATGTGTCTTAATTATTATTAATTTTTACTGATTGTGCCCAGTATGTTCCACATACATTACTTATTCTTAAAGTGAATAATCTGATATAATGGACAACAACATCCCACATTAAAACTTTCCCTTTTCCTAATGAGTAGCCTGTATATAATTCCAATGAGCAGGCAGTCATTAAAGAGCTCAGTCTGCGGCTTATTGCAACTAATTATTCAGACTTTAGCACATAATTAACATCTTTTTATAGCCTCTAACTCTCCTATTCTCTCTCTCTCTCTCATTCTCTCTGTAAATAACTTCAGCAATCCCGAGTGTTCACTTGTGTGGAGCTGGAGAGTTCTCTAGGAATGTCAGGACAAGAGGAGACTCCATAGATTTGAAAAGCAAAAGGGACAATAAGCTGCCTGTTGGATGGAAAAGGAAGATATTGTTGCACAAACCTCTGATCTCTGAGCAGTGTGAGATTCCATGGGTTCCAGGCACTTACCCAGTGTTTGGTTTCCTTGGAATGAGGGAGACTGTGGAGACTGTGGTGTCTTTATGATATATGGCTCATTTCAGGGAATATTTTCAGCCAGAACTTGATGGAACTCAGTTCTAGCACCCCTCAGATGGGCACCATTGCCTTTCTAGGAGAACAAGGGAGGTGTTCATGGTGACTTCTGCAACCTCTTTTTCTATAAAAATAGCACTTGTTCATTTGCACATATACACAACCTGAGCCTGTGATGGAGGGACTCACAGTGTTAACACCCCAAGAAGGTCTTGCTTCTCCTATGACCACAGCCTTGGATTCCAGCCGAAATCAAGCATGACTTTCCCTCACAAGCTTCAGGCTGCTACCTGTTTCTAGCTCTCTCTCTCTCTCTCTCTCTCTCTCTCTGACACACACACACACACACACACACACACACCTCAACCCTGGCTTTTGCCCTTCTAACAACCAGCCAGCTGAGTGGAGTCACCCATTTGTCCGGTGGCACAAAGCCACTTCCTTTGTTACTGTAACAACCCATACTTAATGGGCCATTACCAAGAACCTGGCCTTGCTATTCCAAAAACCGAATCTTTTCTGAATCCAGGAATTAGGAGGGACTCAGGCACACTGCCTACCCAACCCTACCCTAACTTACGACAGTATTAAAATGCTGGAGAAGCTTTAAAAAATATTGGCACCTCTCATCTGGCTGACATGGTTGGAGGTTTAAAAGGCACCCCCCAGATTATGGAGACCTGTGTTTTAGAGGAGAGTTGTATTTCACATTTTAAAGCCCTTTGCTCATCAAAGTAAGGTTTGACAATACACTATTTCTCTGGCTGGTGTTGGTGACGGGTTTTTAATTTGTCACCTTCTAGCTCTAACAGCCAGACAAGGGCCTGAAGAAATAGTTTTACATTCTTCATTTCTTCAGTAAACTTTTAAAAGATTGGCATAATGTAATACAAGGTTGCTGAGAATGATCCAAATGCTTGAACTTTTAAAAGAAAACCACACACACAACTTAACTTATATCCCTAAACACCTATTTTGGTATGTGGAGTTAAGAGAACTAAGCTATAAGGTTGAAATTCCCCATTTTAAATCTTACCTCAACCACAAAAAACCTTGTGGCCTTAGATAACTTTCATCTCAGCTTCATTGCCCCCTCAATCTGTAATCTATTAATAATATCAGCCTACCATACCAGGTTGTTGTAGCAGATGGGGATTTCCGCTATAGCTTAACCCCCTACAATAGCAAATATCAGAGGGTTAAACTGAACAGTAAATAGTTTATTTCAGTTTATTAAAATAAAGAAAAAGGAGGGGGGAAGAATTATTAAACAATTCAGGTTGTATTCAACACTAGTTCTACTCAGTATTTAGAAATAGAGTGCAACAAGAACATTTCAATCTAAACCAGATGCGAAGAATGTTTGGCCCTCTAGTTTTTGCTGAATGACAATGTCCATCAACTCTATTCAGCATGTCCAATGGCCAGAGATGATGAACATTGTAGTTAGTAACATCTGGTTGGCCAAAGGTCCTCTATATCTGGTCTACACAACACCACCTTCACTGAAAATTCCTGTTCATATCTGGAAGAGGCTAAGTGGTTCATATGTGTATCTACCATTTTGGGTGTCAAATATTTTCATTCTCACATCCACATGCAAAATCAATATATCCTTGAGGTGATCTGTAACCTAGGTGGTTAAGTTTGTTTGACATAAAATTGTTTTCATGACACAGCTTCCCCCTTCCAGCCCCACCGTTGTTACCATTTTTGGCTTGTGGTCTTTTTTGTATAGCAAGATTTAGGTTATGGACTGTAGTAATGGAACTGCATTTCAAATTTAGCAAAATACCATTAAGAATTAATTTAAGAGTCTGGCTGCGTTCATGAATCACAGCTGTGTGGTCATGTAACACTTTGGATAGACTTTCTCAGCAAAGCTCTGATGATAATTTTTTGAGTGCAGACAGTTCTTCCTTTCATTGTGGTGAGATTCATAGGTATGATTTAAGGGAGGTGCTTTAGCAGAAATGCTGAGAGAGTAGAAAGCAAAGTTATGGATAATATTCGGGAGGTAGGGAAACAATAGATGGCTGGCCTGAGTCTACGTCTGCAAATGATATAAACAGTTGTTATCTTCAGTTCATGCAATTTGTAGAACGTTACATTTGAAAAGGAATAAATGAAATACATATTAAGGAAGAATCATTGCAATGATTTACTTGAGATCACCCACTGGACTACATTTAAAATTCACCTGGAGGGTACACACAAATCTCTGGATGTTCGTGGTTGTCTCACATGCCTCGCTAGGGGATGATCATCTTCTGGTGGCAGTAGATCAAGACATTTCTTTAGCCTTGATCACATCACATGATGTGATGTGAGGTCTGGGCTTTTCAGTTGGGGTTTTGCCTGCATGGAGGAATGTGCATGATGGAGGGGGGGGGGGCAGCTGTGCCAGCTGCTCTACCACGGGTTGGCTACATGCACAAGCCATTTCTCAGATGTCTGCTTGAATAGGAATAAATAAGTAACTAACAGTATATTGGCAGGGGGACATATTAGACCAGCTAAAGTCATACCCTTAGAAATGCTTTTCAGCCCACAACAAACATGGGGGTTACATTCCATGGGGATCGTACCTAAAGCCAAAATCACACATAGTCAAAACACATTGGGTGACATGATGCAAGGGATCAAAAGTCTTTTTTCCTGGATGCCCATCTCCTTTTAAATTTTAATGTGTCTCTTTTTTTGTCAAGCTCGTGAAGCTGAATGCGCACAAGTTAAATGTGTGTATGTTGCAGGCTTCCTGTACTTTCCCCAGAATAGCTGGCTTGGGTGGGCTGGCTCAGGAAAACTCCGCCGAGCTAAACACGGTGTGTGAGCCCTATGCTGTTTATCTCTGCTCTACATGAAATTGGATTTTAATGAATTTCCCCAAGTTCTTATATTTCCCAAATGTCAGATGCATAACATTTGTGAGAATTATCAGTGTGCACCTTTTAAGCCAAGGTGGGCTTTACTTTTAATCTTTTCCCATCACACTGAGCAGTTCACCTCTGGTTGTTCTTGATTTCTGCCTCCTTTCTGATGTCACTCTCATGTCAAGAAAACATCCCAGCCATCAGCCATGCACTTTCATACAGCTGGTACTGGCAACAATACACCCACCAGTACTCCTAGAATGGAAAGGTAGCAGCCAGATATCTTCCCCTCTCCCCACTCAATGGTTGGTGGGTTTGACTAGCAAAGTGCCTTGCCATGCAATTTTTTTTTGCAATATTTAGCCTAAACTCTGTGAACCTTGAATTTCAAAACAGAAAGGAACACTCATTCTGACACTCATTTTGGCTGTGCTTCAGTGTGCTTCCATGTCTTCAGTGCTAAGATTAGATTTAAACACCCCAAACTGCAAATTGTAACAGAAAATACCCAGGAGCAACCTTAGCTGCAACATTCAGAGGGTTAAAAAAAAGTAAATTAGTAAAGAGTTTTGTAACAGGTTCTATATGCTGTAAATTCTATGTGTTTATTATTCCCTAATGTACAAATTGGAGTGTGCTCAAGAGGCTCATAAAATCAAGAAAGTGGATATATGCACAACGTGGCTTGACCTCTTTTGCAACAGGCATCATCATGCCTCGAATTTTCAATGCTGTTTTCCAGGAAAGCAATGGATCAAACAAATTGCGGGAGAGGTCTATTATATATCAGGTTATCTTCCTAATGTATGCTCTTTATCAAAAGGTGCTTTCACATGTCCCTCAGTTGGCCTAATGCAAGAGGTTTTCTGGGTTGATTTGTGATACAGAAAGGCATTTTCCCATGTGTAAATAAGGAGCAGCTTGGTATGTGGAATGGCTGCGGAAAATTGAATAATGTCACAGTGGTTTTCAAGCTTATCCCTATTCCATTGGTCTAGTTTTGTGTGGTGCATAAGTCCACACTGCTAATAAAGAAATATGGATAGAGATTTTAAAGACCTAGGAAACGATGCATGTGTTCCTGAACCTCCACTTTAAGTTAAAAGTGTGCATTAAGCATAATCAGAGGATAGTGGGAAAAGATTGCACAATAAGTAAGGGTAAAGTGTCATATGTTGCATTTGATTACAGAAACAAACCCTTTCTTTACTAGATGAGAACTTTGCCTGGTATAAATCAAGTGTTGCATTCCTGGAACAATATAGATTTATAGAGAGAAGCCTGCCTTAGTCTCTATTCTGCTCCATATAATACATTGTTTGCAAATGTATCTAACTCAAAGGTTCGCTAGCAAAAGTCTGGCAGCCTCTCACACCCATTAGACAAAGAGGCATAAATTTGTCATTTGAGTTCTGCTGAGACGATAAGAATCTGGACTTTATTCAAGGATTGGTTAAGCGTTATATCTGAAAAGGCCTAATATTTGAGCTTCTTTTATACACTTAGGTGGAGAGAGGATATTTTTTCTGATACCTCTGATATTGGTGACATTTTTGACAAAGGTAAACTGAGGAGAAGGCATAGCTGTGTTACATTTCTTTCTGGGGGTACCTGCAGATGACCTGTTTATTGAGCACTCATCCTGATTTGATTGCAAGGAGATTAGATGAGGTTGGCATTCATTCTGGTTTATTTCCGGTGAGGTTCGATGATGTGCCAAAGCAAATGTTATCCCACACTTTCCAGTAGGTTTGTTGTGCAAGAACTCCCAATCAAATATAATTGTGCCTCCTGAATTTGCCAGTATGGGATTGAATCCCACTCAAAAATGGTGAGCCTGGAAGCACATCCCCTGCGTTTCTACTGTATCCACGTTCAATATTTCTGAATGTGAGTTATTACTTTAGTAATTGCACCTGATAAACCAGCCATAATGGCTGTACTCTGCCTCCACAGTTGGAGGCAGCAATGCTTCTGAATACCAGTTGTTGGAAAACGCATGTTGGCTCTTGTGCTTGAATCCTGCTTGTGGTTTGGCCACTGTGAGAACAGGATGCTGGACTAGATAGGCCACTGGCCTGTTCCAGTAGGCTCTTATGTTCTTATAATAGTACAGTGGTACCTCGGGTTACATACGCTTCAGGTTATAGACACTTCAGGTTACAGACTCCGCTAACCCAGAAATAATACCTCGGGTTAAGAACTTTACCTCAGGATGAGAACAGAAATCATGCGGTGGCGGAGCAGCAGCGGCAGCAACAGGAGGCCCCATTAGCTAAAGTGGTCCCTCAGGTTAAGAACAGTTTCAGGTTAAGAACGGACCTCCGGAACGAATTAAGTTCTTAACCCGAGGTACCACTGTAATGCCCATGAATGCAATCCAGAGTACTTAGGCATGCTTGTCACTTATATTCCAGTGCAGCTAACTCCTTCTAGATTCTGCTCCATGCTTATATTAAAGATGTTAAAGGACACTGCTGTAGAGATAGCCGGCCTGGTCACCATTTCTCCCTACATGTTTAGTTCAACTGTTCATTTGTCTAAAACAAATCACCTCTGATATTCTGGTGCTGATCCCAGGCCGCCTGCATTTCCTTCACCATGGTGCAGCTGCAGAGAATCCCCACACAGAGGCAGATTTAGGTGAGCACAAGAAGTTCAGTCATACTGGGTGCAGAGCCTCAGGGATGCCTCGGCCCAGTATACCTGAAGGAGCACCTCCACCCCCATCGTTCTGCCCAGACGCTGAGGTCCAGTGCCGAGGGCCTTCTGGCGGTTCCCTCAGTGCGAGAAGCAAAGCTACAGGGAACCAGGCAGAGGGCCTTCTCAGTAGTGGCGCCCACCCTGTGGAACGCCCTCCCATCAGATGTCAAAGAGATAAACAACTACCTGACATTCAGAAGACATCTTAAGGCAGCCCTGTTCAGGGAAGTTTTTAATGTATGACATATTAGTGTATTTTTGGTCTTTGTGGAAGCCACCCACAGTGGCTGGGGAAACCAGCCAGATGGGCGGGGTACAAATAATAAATTATTGTTATTATTATTATTGATTTAGAATGGAGTGTGAGAGGTGGAGGGTTGCTGAATTTTAGTGCCACAGAGGGTGCCTCTGAAATTTGAGGCCCCAAGGTCCGCCACTGCTCCGCACAATAGGGTTTAGGAGAAAGGTATTTGGGATCAGAATTTCCATATGGATTTTCACTCTCTTCTACCCATAATTAAACATTGAATCCTGGATTTAAAAAAAAGGAGCAGTCTTAGATCAATTAATGCCTTCATATAGAAATGAAAGCCACAGAAGATATAGATAGCTTAGCAACAACTGTTTATTTATGTAGAAAGAGCTTACAATTTGCATTAATCAAACAAAAATGAAAGAGGTAAATATAGAAAGGGGGGGAATATGGAGCTTAGCTACCAACCCACTTTTCCTTTTCTAATATATACTTTGTGCCATTTGGTTTCCAAGGAGAAATTGGCTGTAACTGTTTTCAGCTATATGTGTTGCAGAATAGATATAACGCAGTTACATTCTGATGAGATGAGGTTTTATTATAAAAAAGGCAGAAATTAAGTTGATAGTTCATTCGCGTAAGGTAGCCTTAGGCAAACTACACTGCCTGCACAGCCAAGATAACAAGAGACTTCAAAATCTTTGCTCACTTAAAAAGCGGTGTGGTCAGCCATAAAGGAAAACTACTTGCTAACCTCCAAAATGCATATCTTAAAACATTTTTCTTTTTCCAGATTTTATTCTTTAGTGTTTATTTTAAGGGAGGCAATAGGCAGATGCCAAGAAGCCAATTGCAATTACTGGATGTATTGGGACTGGCATTTCTAGAAGAGATATGAAAGAATTCACCCTAGAGTACAAAGGCCTGGTCTGATCACCTGCATTCAAGCAGGAAGCATTCAGTCAACAGTATAGGGAAGGAAGTGAAACGCTTGTAAGATTGGAAAATATGAATTGATTTACATGTACAGTGGTACCTCAGGTTACATACGCTTCAGGTTACATACGCTTCAGGTTACAGACTCCGCTAACCCAGAAATAGTACCTCTGGTTAAGAACTTTGCTTCAGGATGAGAACATAAATCGTGCGGCGGCAGCGAGAGGCCCCATTAGCTAAACTGGTACCTCAGGTTAAGAACAGTTTCAGGTTAAAATGGACCTCTGGAACGAATTAAGTTCTTAACCCGAGGTACCACTGTAACTCAATGTGAACATAAAAACATAGCAAGTGAACATAAAAATTAAGAGCTCTTCTGGATTAATTGCAAACCCCATCTAGTCCAGAAGCCACTCACGAGGTGCGACAGAGCCACTATGCTATCTTCCTGGCATGTGGGTCACAGTTGCTTACTGGGAGGAAGAGGGGTGTGGGTTGGCCAGTGCAGTTCAAGCACAAACTAGGAAGCTAATGTAGCATTTCCACCCTACCCAACTGGTTGGAGAAACATCCAGAATGTAAGGGGGGGGATCTCTTGCACAGCTTACAGTCATGGAACTGCTTAGTTGATTTCCCTTGTTCTTGTGCAGAAATCCCTGTGGGAGACTTGCCCTTATTGCATGGAAGATCGCCACAATCTGTCCTCCAGTTTCTCAAAAGCTTTCCTCCCCCGTGAAAGATGCTTTTGTTTTTCTGCTTGTCAGGTCATTCTAAAAATTCATGGTCAAAGGTAGTATGGATGTTTTGCTTTCTGCTAAACATACTCCAGCACCTTGCAGTCTCCCTGTCTGTTCATCCTCCTTGAACTGGGAATGCCCCATTGGAGGAAACACTTCATAATGTATTCCCCTGGGCTTTAATTGAATTGCAGGTGTTCAGGAATGATGCAGAGTGCAGACCACTTGTGATACAATTGTAGAATGAAAGGACCATTCAATCATTCCTCATCCTCCTGAAAATTAAGTAAGCATGGTGGAAACCCTGTATAAGAACTGATGCACTTAACAACCCCTCCCCTAGAAGAACTGGCACATATTGATAGCAAGTGAGACTGGAAAATAAACTGTGTGGAAATAAAAATATTAACTAAAGGCTTTGTTTTGCGGAAGATCTGGAAACGAAACGAAAGGCTTTTGGGTGACGCAGTTCTAATCGGGATCCGCCATTATGAGACAGACTTTGTTGCGATATTTACAGTCAAAGGGGGAGGCGAGCCACTGTTCTGTTATCATGTTTGAATTCTATGTCTGATCTGGCAAGAACTCCCCTGGAAAGGCTGATTTATGGAGCAACTGGTCTGGGAAAATTAATGAGCAGACGCTTAGACTTTATTTCATCGGAACTGTCGAAATGGCGCCTGCTGCCCGAATAGGACTTTTGGATCAGTGTGAAATTTCACACAGGAACATAATAATGTTTGCTTCAACTCGCTTGTGGAAACAACTCAGAGGTTATTAAGAAGAAAAACGATAACAACAAGAAGATTGGAAGATGGGACTTGTGAACATCAAAGCAGCAGAAATATGAGATGATTGGACCCTTACTGAGCTCGAAGCATGGGTACCCCCAACAAAAATTTTAAAAATTCGGCAAAATATTTGGATTTTATGATTTTATGATATGTGTTGGTATAATTCGGATTAATTAATGTGATATGATTGGATTGTTAAATGGAAAACTTAATAAAAATTATTTTTTTTAAAAAGAATTTCAGTGAAATTTCTTTCTCCTTTGATAACTTTTGAATGCAGTTTCCATTTCTCATTAATTAATGGAATACAATAGAAAGGAACACGAGAATTTTTTGGAACAACTACACAGTTTCCTCTGCTCTTCTCTGCTTGGAAAGAATGAAGTAAACCTCTATGGCTGTTTCAAGATAAATCCTTGATGGCAATTTGTGTTCTTAACATCTGGGGCATGTTGTGGTATTCACAGTGCTTAGCTAAACAAGCACTGAGACAACAGGAGTGTCCCATTTACATCTGGTTACTTCTTGGACTGCAGCTTATCTTTGGTTTAACTGGTAGATTCATCAACTAAACTTTAGTTGATGATTGGTACAGACCACTTTTAATCAAGAATGGCAAATTTTAAACAGTGCTGCTGTGGGTTAAGGAACATTTAATTAATTGCTTAGGATATTTTGGCCCTGATATGTTCTTATAACAGTGAATGAAAAAGGAAAAAAATAAAGATAGTTTCATATTCTTTTAAAAATTAATTCATCCCACTATTTCTTACAATGCCACATTGAAACATAATGCAATCAATTAACCAAGTTAAGCAATGCAAAGTATCACATTGATGACAAATCAAAATAAAATGACTTAAAGCACACTGCTCTCACTTTCTGAAAAGGGTATTTATACTGATGTCTGTTTAAATGTAATCCATTAATTGACAAAAGGGAAGAACATTAGTAAGCTAAAAATTGCTCAGTCATTTGGCAGCTCTCGTTATAATTATGTATGACCATCTGTATATATTCAGAATATATTCTGAAAACACGTTCTTTTCTTATCTTTTGGGTGTAGGAGGCATCATGTTTTAAGGCACAATAATCCATATACCTGACCACATAGCTTTTACATTTATCAGAATTTACCTAGCGTGCCTCCTTGTTTGGAGATGGGAATAAATATGAAAAGTGGCCCAATAAATGAATCACTTATTTTGCTATTTATTTATTACATTTCTAATCCACACCCCCTCCCAAGTGAGCCGGGGGGTTTTATGTAAGGATCAAAGAGCTGCAGATGGCTTGCAATTTTCTAAGAACTCATGTTTCTGGAACCATGGGGCTTGCTGCTGAAATTGACATTTCTGTGCTCTGCTTTCGCATGACTTTCTGTAAGATATTCCAACAGGGACCTAATGCCATGACATGCTTACATTGTATTTCCTGTTGCTGCGCCATATAATTCACTGCTGCTAGGGATGCTTGATTAATTATTATTTTTCCAAATTCTGATTATGAACTGACCTGTACTTCCTGGAATAATGTGCAGGTAACAATGTAGTTATCCTTCAGATTTCACACTTCTTAGCTAAAAATAACATAAAATGCCCTGAAAATGTGTATTTTGAGATTGAATATATTTAGAAATGCTTATTTTGAGAGCTATTTTGTTTTTTTTTAAAAGTATTTAAATTTGTATTTACATGCATGTTTTTATTTTAAATCACAGATTAGGCAGGAAGAAGATGGAATGAACTAAAGAATGAACAGAGGTGAAAGGGACATGTACTGGAAACTGACTACAGTATTCCGTTCATCCCTGGCTGTCACTGGTGGGACTGGAGAAATGCACAAAGCGAAAACCATATTGCTGGGTAAGTGTTTCTTTTTTAATAATATTTTTATTTGATTTTCAAGAATAAAGAAAAGAAAGAAAAAGAACAAAAGAGAGAAGAAATAAAGTTACATCAAAATATCATAAAAATTCCACATACAGTGGTGCCTCGGGTTAAGTACTTAATTCGTTCCGGAGGTCCGTTCTTAACCTGAAACTGTTCTTAACCTGAAGCACTACTTTAGCTAATGGGGCCTCCTGTTGCTGCCGTGCTGCCGGAGCACGATTTCTGTTCTCATCCTGAAGCAAAGTTGTTAACCCGAGGTAATATTTCTGGGTTAGCAGAGTCTGTAACCTGAAGTGTATGTAACTTGAAGCGTATGTAACCTGAGGTACCACTGTATCAAGATTACTCTTTATCTCCTGACTTCCCCCCATCCCATCCATGGGTCCTATTAATTCTGTTTTCAACTGCATATCAATACTCCTCCAATTTTTCATATTCCCAAATTATCCATACTTTCTGTTACATTACAAGTGCATTTAGAATCCTGCTAATGTTTTGACCTGTTTTCAATTATTTTGGCTGGGTAAGTGTTTCTATATGTTACAAGAGAGAAGGATTTGACAATGGGAAAAGAATTTCATTGGCACCCCCATGTTTCTGATAAACTGGTATTTAACTATAAAGGTATCGTGCATCATAGACCAAATCCCCTGCATTGCAGGAATACACACCCCTATGGGGATCAAACCCATTATCAGTACCATGTTGTAACCGAGGTAACCTACAAGGCTATAGTTTCTGAATGATAAAAATAATAAACTACATACTGATCTGGTCTTGAAATTTATTATTAGAAGTAAAGGGAGAAGGGAACAAGCTGTCTATTTGGAATCCATATCAGGTGACAGATTCAAATGAGTGAATATTTTTATATTCAGTAATTGACTTCTGTTTCTAATCAGTAGGGTGTGCTTGTGTGAAGTATCTATCTTATTACAGTGGTACCTCGGGTTACATACGCTTCAGGTTACATACGCTTCAGGTTACAGACTCCGCTAACCCAGAAATAGTACCTCGGGTTAAGAACTTTGCTTCAGGATGAGAACAGAAATTGGGTGGCAGAGGCGTGGCAGCAGCGGAAGGCCCCATTAGCTAAAGTGGTGCTTCAGGTTAAGAACAGTTTCAGGTTAAGAACGGACCTCCAGAATGAATTAAGTTCTTAACCCGAGGTACCACAGTACAACCTCTCTGCAAGGACATCAGAGTGGCATACATGGGATTCCCTAATGAATGTCTCCTACCCAAATACTAACCAGGTTTAAGGCTTGTTCAGTTACACAGAGAGAGATTTATGAGATGCCTCATTCTCTGGACCATTTATTTGTTTTAATACACACTTTCTAGGGAGTGAGAGCCATTCTTCTTGATGGTGCACAATTCTGAGTAGGCATACATCAGGTTCCACTGTGGATTATCAGAACAGGTTCATTCAATTTAGCTTAGAACACATTGGGTCCATAAGCAGCAAAACAAAAAGCATAAAAATAAACTTTTTGTGTAATGACCCCAGTATCTATTCTACTGTATTCCAGATTTAATCCAAGTACTAAAATGAAGCAAACTGAACAGGACCACAGTTGCAATTAAATTGTAAGCTGTGGCTTGGAAAGCTGCTTATAAAACGAAATTATTATCAAATAATGTGATATATACATTAGCTTATCCATGATGGATGAGAATGGCACATAGCAATAACCATTGCTCCTGAACTCATAAATATTGAAGGCTATGGCTCGAAGGTTTATGGGCAGGGAAAGCTTTTACTGCCTCACACATCCTTCACTGTGTAATTGCGGTGGGTCTTTTTCAGATAGTCATTGTTATAGCAAGCCATATTATTTTTCCTTTCCGTTCTGGCTTAGGTTTCAGTTTTGTTTAGGACATATTTAGAATGACACAAAGTAGACTGAGAGGTTTTTGGGTTTTTTTTAAAGTCTTCCACCATATATGGTGATGATTTGCAACGCAGTGGCTGCCATTTGTCCCCTTTATGCACAGAAACCTTTTTGTGTCCTTCCTTTCTTTTATAAAATCTGTAGTTTGGGTACTCTTATACGTAGGGTCTAAGGATGCATCTCGCTAATTCATTGTTTCGATATTAAGTCACTGACATAGCTCAAAAGATTTGTGCATTTTGCTGCTCATTCCATGCCCTGTCACTGCTTGTCTCTGCTCAATATCCCACTTCTCATATTAAACAGAAACAACCTAACCTCTCGTGAAATTAATCCAGCTGTGCTGCTGCCATTTTGGAAACAAAGTGGGAGGAGGGACTTTTCATACATAAAGGAACACATGGAAGAGGGGAGCAAAATCTGTCCCCTTCTGTCATGGTATTGCCAGAGAATGAAGGGGAGGAGCAGAGACAGGCAGAGGAAGGGAGGCAGGAAGTGGTGATTGAGGAAAGAAGGGAAAGCCAGGAGGCGGAACGGCTCACAGATGTTGAACCAGAGCCTCAACACCGCACAGGAAGTTCTGGCACAGACAGTGAAACAATGCCTATTCCGTCTGCCAAAGAAAAGAGAGTGTTGACAGAGGCATCACGTGAAACTTTCCGCCTTTTCTGTTGGAGAAGGGGCAGGCATAAGGCACTCCCAGAATCTGAGCCGGAGAATTCGGATGCATGATTGTAACGTGCTGCTTGTACATATGTAAAATAAAGACTGTATATATGTATCTCTGAGTGAGCCATTCACAAGCCATCACACCTTTGCTGCCTTATCTTGCCTGCTTTAAGCTGCTTCTCTTCCAGCCAATCTCTTGTAAGTTAGCAAGGCTAAATTGCTCATAGCAGCTGAGTGTAGTGAGGTAAAGCAAGGAAGAGGGAGTTCCTGACTGCAAGGAGACTTCTAAGGGTGTTCAAGTGAATTTGCTTCCAACCCCCCTTCTGAACTTCCCATACATATTGGGACATTCGTGGCAAGGGTGGCACCTCCCTCCCCCCCAAAAAAAACCTTCCACATGAATCTCCTCTCGCGTGTTCAGGCTGGAAGAAAGAAAGGCAACCTCGGCCACCAAGTATTAAGAAGGCCCCATGATAAAATATTTGTTAACAGTAACTCTAAACCAGGGGTCAGCAAACTTTTTCAGCAGGGGGCCGCTCCACTGTTCCTCAGACCTTTTGGGGGGCCGGACTATGTTTTGAAGGGGGAAAATGAACGAATTCCTATGCCCCACAAACAACCGAGAGATGTGTTTTAAATAAAAGGACACTTTCTACTCATGTAAAAACACATTGATTCCTGGACCATCCACGGGCCGGATTTAGAAGGCGATTGGGTCGGATCCGGCCCCCGGACCTTAGTTTGCCTACCCATGCTCTAAACAGATACACACACACACACAGAGCTGGGTTCACAACTGAGGATTTTCATTCATTTAAAACTAGAAGATAACAATAGAACAGTAGGTTCAACACAACCAGATATTAAGTGCAGATTCGCTTAGATTACCCTTCCTTCAAGATTAAACACTAGAAACAAAATTGTATCTGAAAGTATTGATGAATAACCACAGAGGTGCAGGAGCACAAATCAAGTCTCCCAGCTTGCATGCATTTTTGTTCTGGATAGTGCTGCTTATCTTCCTGCACACTGCTTTGTAGTCTGCCAGGGTCTGCGCAGTCCTCTAGCTGTGGCACATTAGAGGAAACTGGGTGTTCAACAAAACCACTTTGTGGTCCATGGTGGTGTCAGCTTCTCGATGGAGATAACACAGACTGTTCTGGATGTTATTTCAGCAGCCTTTCTTAGTGTCAACTCTGAGTTTGCAGCTGATCAATGCAGTGGCCCCACATCATATCAGGAGATGCCTGGACAGTATATGACAAGGAACCTGCCTGATTATGGACAGGATTGCTTAGACAGATAAAGCTATCCAACACCTCACTGAAGGTCATGGTATCCCCCCAACTTTTTGTGCAGGATGAGTGCTCCCATGAACCAGAGGGAGGAACCACTTAGCAAATCCTGATCCATTTTGTAGGTGTTCACAGAGAATCATGAATTAAGTTTTACTAATTTAATTTCACAGAAAACTACCCTAACAGAACGAATAAACACTGAAGAAATCTTATGTCATTACTTTTCACTCTCAGAAGTCTTTTTGACAGACACAGAAACAGAAACCTTGCCACAGGCTGACAGCGCTCTCAGCCATCTCCCAGCAGGAAGACTGCTTCTTCCCCTTCAAACTTCACACAGCATTTTCTATGTGTGCTGGTGTGTTTTTTTTTGTTTTTTTCTTTTTACTTTTCCCCCGCTAACTGTCCTGTAGAGTTAGAAGCAAACACTCTACATGTGGTATGCATGAATGTAGTAGTGACACAAGTACAGGTTGCCAGTTAAAACAGTTTTGATCCGGCAGTCCTGGCAGGTATTGAGAGCAGACATATCAGTGCCTTAAGAGAATCTACTTTGATCACCTAAGCCATCTGCTACGAGGAAGAAACCTCTTGCCAAGATTGGAAGTCAACTCTTTCTGTCATGTAGGCCTGCAGCTGGGCAAAAAAATGGTTTGAATGAGTAGCTTATTAAGGACAAAAGGAGAAGCAAAGCTAAAGATGCACAATCAAGATCACTCACATTTCGAAAAATAATAATAGCAGCCCTGTGGGGAGGGGAATCAGATCAGGGCTGTAGTGCTGTGGGGAAAGACTTTAACTCTCCCTCTTGTCTGTTTGCCCACTATAAATCCCCTGAAGCTATACTCTAATCAGAAACAGACAGCTGTTCAGCTCCCAGGACTTTTAATTTGCTTTTAAGAATATGAAATCTTTGTTATGGTACCTGGTGGTTGTGATGGGCACAAAGGATAATGGCTGTCTAGGGGCAGCATCAGAATTGGAAGCAAATGGATTGCATAAGACCTCCCCCCCCCCCCCAAGTGTGGACATGAACAGTTCCTGACAAAATTATGTGAGCAGATGCCTATGCTCCAGTAAAGCTGGTAATGAAATACTCATCTATTTTAATGAAAGTTCTAGAAATAGTTGCCTATTTCTAGTTATTTCTAGTTCTGTGCTGATAGCTGCACTACAATTTCTTGAAAACTTACCCTATAAAAAGGCCTCAATTTTTCTTTCTCCTTCTCAGGGCCCTTAACAATTTCTTTAGAGTTGGGGGGAAATGATGATTGAGCTTGTCTTATTTTTGTGAGATGGCCGAGGGTGGTGTGGAAACTTTTCTTCCCCATTCTACATTCCCCAGTCCTCTGATGGAAGGCTGTCATGGACTGGCTGGATGCAGAGGAGTGGTGGGAATGTAATTGACTTAAGTAATTACGTTGCCAATATATTATTCCCTCACCTGTGCCTCCTCAAATCTGTCAGAATATGACAGTGGCCACACCCTAGGAATGGTTTTCTGGCTGGCTGGCTGAACCAGGTGAGGGTAGCCAATGGGTGTCAGCCCTCGGGGAGGTAGAGATTTCCCCTGCACGCAAAGTCAGACTCCGGCGATTGAGCAGACATGACCAATAGTGGGTCCAACTGCATGTGCTGTAGAGGAAAGTGAGGGGCAGATGGGCTCATCAACCTGGGAAAGTGGCCCATCTAGGAGAAGGAAAACTTTGGTCCCAAACCTCCAGTGCCTTGCAGAACATCTTCTGGAGAAGAAAAAGCTAAGGAGTGAACCTTAGACAAATCCAGAGTGGAGTCCCTAGGACAGTTGAATGGTGCCTTGTATACCTTCTTCCGGCAACTCCTGCAGCCAAGCTGGTGCCAAGCATATTACTCTACTTTGCTTTGGGCTGCATCAGCAAGGCCAAGAGGGGGGTGGTCTTGTCATCTGGGCAGCCCAGGACCTCCATACACACTACCCAGGCTTGCATCCCAGGGGGGTCAATTTGGTGCTGCTAACTCAGCAGTTGGACTTCAGCCCTGGAGGCACACTCCGTTGCCTTTCGAGACAGACAAATGCCAACAATGTCATTCCAGCACATTTATTTCAGTGTACAAGAAAAGACACTGAAAATTGGTCAAGAAAAATGTATCATTTGTGGACTGAATGCAACAATGGCAGTTTTATTTATACTGACTGTATTCAATGGATTTATTTCCCTTTGAGGCATGGGACAAATAAGTGATCGTCAACTCCCATTTTTGTTTTCGTCAGAACTCTCTGATCTTCCTCTTAAGGGAGTCCTTCCTTTTACCTCTGAAAAGTCTTTCCAGAAAGATCTATTTAAAAGTAGAGAGATTTTACTTTTAAAAAGTAACAACGAGGAGCTGTCAGGTGCAGAGTCTGCCGTGTCCCTGCATTCCTACGCTTACAAGCAAGGGCAGCAAAGGATACCATGGAGTTTTCAAGAACCATGGGCATGCAGGGAGGCTGCAGAATGCAACCCACTGGGGAGGTGATTTGTAGAACGAAAGGAAGGACAAAATCCTCCAGTCACCTCAAAAGTAAGGTAAGCACAAAACCTCACCACCACCCACCCAGGAGAATTTTGCATAAAAAATAAATCATTTCCCCTTTGCTCGTTTTCTGATGCAATTTCTTTTCTTCTTAATTGATGGGAAATAGTCGGCCTGAGTGGGGGAGCAGAAGAAATTTTTGATCACAGCACTAATTACTTCTCTTCAGGTTCAATTCTTGCTAAATGTGTTGTTCTCATTCCTGACTATAATGTGTAAATTGGGCTATTTACAGTTTTTTGTTTTAAAAAAGCAAAACAAAACAAAAACAAATCACAAGTGGAATAAGGCAAAAATGAGGATTTATGAGAAGCAGAGAAAGTTTCTTTCTTCATTGTGAGTCTCCCGGGAGAGCTCTCATTCAAATAACGTGCAAAATTATGTCAGCAAGCTTCTGGAAAATTCAGACTGTTGTGAAGGCGAATACCAAGGGAGCATCTGAAATTTAAAGCATCAGCTACACTGTAATCCTCTGACAAGCCTGGTATTCTGTGAAGAATGTTGCTCAAATGCAAGTCTTTGCCATCTCTCCTTGGGGCAAGCAATTGTATAACTCTTTGAGTGGAGATTTAAAATACTTTTCATGTACAGGTACCTGGGCTAACTCTCAGGCTTCAGGAAGCAATTGGATGTAGTTCAGAAATGGTCACAGAATTGTATCTGGAAATGTGTTTCTGCATGTGCGTAGTGACAGAAAGGGTATGAAAACAAAGGCTTACCTTTAAATTCTGAGCACATATTCCTCAAGTTTCCCCTCCATGAATTAATTTCATTTAAATAGTAGCTTGAAATCAGTCAGCATTTCAGGCGCTCTGTTGACTGTGACTTCTCCAGTCTTTTGAAGGTAGTTTTCATATGAGAAAGGAGAAAAAAACATTATGAGGTTCACAGAAAGTGCAGTTGGGGGCAAAAAGGAGGCGGTCGGATTTTCTGCAAATGCTAGAAAGAGGAATAATGGCAACACTCTCACCCGAAACATTGTTTTGTTAGTTGAGATACAAAATTGTAGTGGGGAACTGTCGTTTAACCCTCACAGAGCTACAATTCCCAGCAGCTCGTGATCAGAGTTCAAGGAGACATTCCCACCAGGGGAAAACACTCAAGAAGGATGTAAAGTAAAGCTGGTGAGGGGTGTGGCCTGGACCAGAAAGAGAGGACTAGATAGACAGCCTCCCTCTCTCAGCTCCAGGTCCATCTTCTTGGGTGTTGACCTTGTGACTGGAGAAAATGCAGCCAGAGTTCCATGCACCCTCTGTGTAATGGTGGATCCAAGCACAGACAGTTGTTCAGACAGCTAGCCATGCCAGCTTCTTGGTTTATAAACAGCTACTCTGGTAATATAAGTATTCAAGCATAGTTTATGGTAAGCAAGGAAATGAAAGGAAAGGAATTAGAGCTGAATGTGCTTTATAAGGGATAAGGGAAAGGGGGGCAAAAAGCGTTTGCCATCATGACATCACAGTGGAGAATCCACAAGGGCAGTCAATAATTACAATATTATTATTTTTTAATGACAAATTTTGAATGGGATATTGGGAGACACCCATCCACAAAAAACCCCCTTTTAGGGCCTGCCATGGGTCACAGGTTAGCAGCTCTATTATAAACAATAATCTCTGTTCAGATGCAAATAGTTTAAAGATGATTGAAGTATGTAGGATGGTAGAAAGTGTCAAATTTCCCTGGACCAGAGAAATGAGTGACAGAGTACAGCTACTCTTGTCATTTTAAAACTTAGATGTAGATGGCATATGGACTCAGATTTGGTGGATTCGTCATTAGTTCTGTGCAGTTTGAAGATCTGAGGCAATTTTCTGATTTTGCCTCAAGAAAGGAAGAGTGATAGCCAAGTTTCAAGATCAAGGCTAGTTCGGCAGCTGCCTGTCAAGATTGCCCAGGGCTAGTTGATACCCTGCTGCGTGCGCGCGCACACACACACATTATATATATATATATATATATATATGTGTGTGTGTGTGTGTGTGTGTGTGTGTGTATGTGTATATATATATATATAATCCTGCACTGTGGAAACTTTCTGGATAATTTTGAGATGGGTTTTTTCCTCACCAACTCTTATATTTCCATGAATATAAAACTGAATATTAGCGCACAGTTTTGAAGCCATATTTATATTCTAATCAATTCACTTCCAATTTAATCCCAGCATGTGCTCAGGGCATCTTTGAAATAAATATTATCCAAGGAAGATTTTATCACTTGCTCCTCCTTGCTTGTAGCACAAAATGTATTGCTTTTTTGTCATTGTCAGGATGACACCACAACATGGGGGGGGGGAGAGATGTATGTGTGTACACACACACACACACACACACACACACAGAGAGAGAGAGAGAGAGAGAGAGAATTTTTTAGCCTTTAATGCTTAATACAGAAAAAAAAGAAGCACCTGAGGATTTAATCTCCCAAATATCACAGTAATTTTACACACACACCCCTATAAAATGATTGGCAGTGTCTTTAGTCTCCCTACTACCCATATCAATAAGATTGTATCAGAAATTATGGCAGCATGGCTCACTCCATTACACTTAACAGTTGTGTCAGCATTTCCCCAGTAAACTCATATTTTCAGGACTCTAAAGCTTGGCTATAAAAATTTTCATTGAGCTAAAACTCATTGCATATGTACTATATATCTCGGCAGGATAGGGTTTTTCAATTATTGTAAAAGGAGAACAAAAAATACCCATTCATTTCTTTTAAATTTAAAGTGCAGGGGAAAAGAACAGAGGTTAATTGACTTCAGTTGCTATGAGAATACCTACTATAATTTTAAAACACACGTGGTGTTATCTGTTGGCATACTTACCCTTTCCAAGATCTTAAAAGATCCTTGAATATCTGACTCGCCATTTATACGATGCCAAACACTGTAATATCTTAGCACCAGCTGTGCTTGCTGCTCCATTTTTAAAAGCTGTTAATCAATTTCACTGGCTCTAATCCCAAGTTATTGAATATTAATAGTATGACTTTTCCCCCCACCCACAAAACAGCCTCTGTGTTCCCTCTCCTTATACTTCAGCATCAACACTTAGTCTTTGTGCTAAGGATCCAATTTGGTTTCAATATGCTCCAAGGCGCAATGGGGTCATTGATTGTAGGGGAGTCAATATAATTTTTCATTTTGAGAGAAAATGGACTGGACTCATTAGATGTGCACTGCATATACGTAATGAACATAATAGATTGAATAATACAAAATGGCAAACTTAATGAAATAAGGAAGGGTCATTGCCGTGCTTGGTGCATTGCTCCAAGCCATGGTGATTCTTGCTAAGATATCTGATATGTATTCTTATGTATTATGGCAACATGTACGATTTCCATGCTTTCCAGGGCAGTACTGTGAGCACAGTGCATTTTCTGTACTGTATAGTTAGTGAATCTTTCAGTTAATGTGGATGTAAACGATGAATCAGATAATTGCTATAAGCAATGATATTAAGATTGTATAGTGAAAATTGCACACAATTTGCAATGACCATTGATGGCAATTGGCTTCTTGTGCTTTCACTCCTTTGGTTACATGGGCAGGCTGAACAGAGACAAGGCTAGTAGGGAATACCATATGCACATTCAACAGGAAAAGTCCAATCCCAGACTCTGCCTAGTAACTCTTCCCCCCCCCCGGACTTTGCCACCAACTGCAATAGAGGATGGTATTCACTAGGAGAATTCTGTCCATTTGTAAGGGGGGCAGGGAGAGAGACATCTGTTCCTTCCTCTGAATCAGATATTCTGTAATAGCTACAGTGATCTTTGCTCCAGTGCGCACCCCAAGGCCAGCCCAAGACATTTTGGCACCTAAGGTGAACCACAAAATGGTGTCCTCCCCTGGCCTAGAAAGATGGGGTGGGGAACAAGAGGGAAATAAAGATCTGTATCAGGAACAAGGGGTGCGTGAAAAATCTACATTGGGAACAAGGTGAGGAATCAAAGGCTGCTGTGGGGTGGGGAATCACATTGGGCAGGTTCAGAGCCCAGGAGGCCCCAGAGGGCAGCTCCCGCCATTTTCTCCCTAGTGGTGGGAGGACACCACCACCAGCACTTCCTATTTGCCGAGAGGCTACTGTAGAGGAGGCTGAGGGGAGAGATCTGTGTATGGAGGATACGCTTCTGTGCTAATTGCCCAACAACAGAAACTGGTACACAGGATGATAAAATAGATAATTATAGTGATTAAAGTATGGACCAAAGACTATAGGCAATGAGAAGAGACGATGAAATGGTAATGAGCGCCCCTGCATTCTCTGTGAGCCGAACAAAGCCCCCACTGAGTACTCCTAAAGATAAAGCCTCTTCGATTAATCTTTCTGTCTACACTCAGCTACTTGAAAACATCACCTTGTTGCTCTGGCAATTTCTGGTGAAACAGCATGGACAAATTCGCACAAAGTAAGAACAGATGTGAGCCCTTTCCTAAATTCACCTCCACAAGAGCTTTATTTAAGGGCCTTCTCCTGTCTATGCCAAAAGCTCTTCAGTTTCCCTTGCCACAAATCAGAATGAGCAGCTGCTGCTTTTATAGCTAATCTAATACATCAAATATGGCTCTGCTGGCAGAAGGCTGACTGGATTAGGGATAACACTATCTGTCGCCTACCCAATTTACATGAAGAAGGAGCTGCACTGATAAGTTTGGGAAGCAGGCACTTATTTCGAGGTTTAAATCCTCCTTTCTTTTAAATATGAGAGTAAGCTGCTTGGCTGCTATTTAGATCTTACATCAAGGCAGTCTTGGGTGCCCTTATTTATTTGGTTTTTGTTTGGATGATGGTTGATTTATACAGGGCTTTTTCTGGGGGTAGACAGGGGTACGCATACCCCTAAACATTTTGTGAATCTAAGTTTAGCCTCATTGAGGGGCAGTATTTCAATGTGAGTAGGAAAATGAGAGTACCCCAAACATTTTTTAAGGAAAAAAGTACTGGATATATATCATAGGAGCCAGCTCTTAGGGGCTGTGGGGGCTTTGGCCCCCACAATAAAATATTTGCGGGGGCTGGGCCCCCACAAAGTTGATAGGCATTCCCACTGAAATGGTATGTGTGTACTGCATCATGTGATCGATTATGCGTGGCAGGGCTTACGTGGGCCCCACAGTATTTTATTCAAGTTGGCACCCCTGATACACACACACACACACACACACACACACACACAGTGTGTGTGTGTGTGTGTGTGTGTAACAAGCAGCTCAGGAGTTGGAGGACCCCAGTATTCACAACCAGAGAACCTCCTTCCCTGTGGCAGCCCCATGCCTCACAGCAGCCAAACAGCCAGGGTTTATTTATTTATAAGAGGATTTCATTTCAGGGTTGCTTTTTATGGCAGTGTACAGTAAAATCCTTAAAACATCATAAAATTATAAAATCGTGAAAGCCGGAACAAATTACCAACACTGAATCAAATTAATTCTCTAAAAATATTTGGCTAAACAGAAAGAAAGAAAGAAATTCACCCAGTTGTAAGAAGAAGCGGAGTAGAAAAAAAGCACCAACAAGTTATGCCCAGTGTCACTTGCCACAAAAACTGTCTGTTGAGAGACATAGTTATTCATTTCATGAGTTCCACTGATGCTTAATATAACACCCTTAGCCTGGTAATAATGGTTAAATTAATAGTAATCATCAATACCTTTTTGCTCAGAAATATGGAGAGTTGGTGTAGGTAAAATTGAGCTGAAACCAGGGTAAACTCCTAAGGTCAGAATGGGAGGAAAGCATTTAGGCTGAAGGAGATGCACAACAGGTGAGACTGTCAACAAAGAGCAAGTTAAAGGAGTTCAGAACAATTTGATAAATACTGGACAAAGCTAAGATGTTCTACCTTGTGCTTAGAGAACGTAGGCAGCAGCAGTGCAGCATTATGACACGTAAGTGATGGAAGAATGATGACATAGTTCTGATGCTGCCCAGAGTGACCATACCTGGTCTTGACTTTGAGGTGTTAACAAAAGCAGCTTAGTTTAACTTCTCTCAGAGGTAAGCGTAAACAAGAGATACTTTCTTCTGAATTGCAAGTCAGTGGCATGTTGTCATGTAATGTCCGTGGGCTAGTCATGCCAGAGTTTCACTGTTGGGTCTGAGTTTCAGGCTTGCGCTTTCCATCCCCACCCCCATATTCTGAGTCCTTCTCTAATTTCAAAGTTCAAACAAACCATAGTTTGCCATTACATCTGAAGCTGCAAGTTATGGTTTGTGCTTGCTATGCAAGGGGCTGGTGCCAGGCCGCAGCAAGCCCTAGCAGGCAGATATATATTGTCAGGATCCACCCTTTATCTGTAGACTTCTCACTCTAGCGGGTCCATGAATTAAATTCATTACAAGGAAATGTTATTGCTTATACTTTTCCCACAACAGGAGGCACAGCCATGTCTTTGAAAATGGTTAGATTTACTAATGCTTTGTTTACTCAGCTACTCATCTGTGAATTTGTTTCTCCTTTCCTCTCTTGTTGAAATTCTCTCTTCAATGTAATGGCTTTGGGGGAAAGACATTGAAAGACTCTCTCCAACATCTCCTGGTGGAAAAGGAGAGCAGTTCATTACAAAAAACCCATTCTGCTGGAGTAGTGACATCTGCAAGTGCAGAGTGTTGTATTATCCACGATTACACATCTGACCCTCTGGAACCAGAAAATTAATAGCGCCGGCGAAGCTGATTCTGTGTCACCATTCTAACTGGTATCAAAACAAATAGCATCCAATATGGTATGTGAGTTGCCTTGGCTGTCTACGGTGCTTTAATTATACTGAGTCTGCGTCTGGACCTTATTTTGGGGGTCCCTAGACCATTTAGTTTAGCAACTAATCTATCACCAGCATGCTCTAGTTAACTCTGATTTGTTGTTATTTGAAAGACCCAGGGAGAGCAGGGCCAGACAAGGACTGGCTTTCATTATTATCAGGCTCAAGGTGCACTGGTGCCAAGGTAATCTTGGCACAAGAAGGGATGTAATTTAGAAAGACCATTTGCATCCCAAAAATCAGATCCAAACCAACACCAAACTCGTAGGCTGCCTCCTTGTACTCCTGCCTGCTGTTGCTATAGGATTTCCCTCTTCCCCTTTGATTCTCTTCCCTGTTCTCCTACCAGCTTCCAGCTGATGATTTATGCCACCATTAACCCTATGAATAGGAATCCCACGGTGATGACATTTTTACATTCTGTGTAATTGAATGAAAATGGAGGCGCTCTCATGTTTCATCGAGACCTCATATTTGTGCTGAGCTCACTTCATATAGGAATCTTAATTTGAAATGTGTTTTATGTCCTGGAGGAGATCCAGACACATTAAAAGGTAATCACAAGCTTCATTATGATGTGGCTGGAGCAGATTCAAAGGGCAGCTACCGAAAATGATAACAGAACCAAAAAAGTAGATTTCTGTGAGAGGTAAGATGAAGAAACTGGATTTCTTTATCCTGGGAATTAAGATGCAGGAGAAATATGACAACTTTCAGCTACCTCCAAGGGATTAGAATGTAGGAGCATAGGAAGTTGGGTCAGGTCACTGGTATATCTAGCTTAGTATTGTCTATAATGACTGGCAGTGACCAGCGTTTGAAACTCCCATTGTTCTAGGTGCGTTTTGCGACAGAGAATTTCATTAATGTGAGCAGTTTCTGAGCTCTGGGTGCAGTACTGAGCCTAAGGTTTCAGATTAAAACTGCCACTGCTGGAAGGAAAGGACCTTTTTCTGCCTCCCTACTTCCAGCCACTCTCTGAAGACTGGAGAAGGGACCCTCATAAGAATATTAGAGGGGAGGGCAGGGGGGGTATGGCTTTGTTTTTTGCAGTCTTCAGATGAGGACTAGACCATGTGAAAAGTGAACATAAGATTTTAGCTGCAGTTCATTCATTTTCAGCTTTGTATCCTTGTTATAAAGAAAGCACACCTAGAAACTCCATTGCGGTGCCCATAACTCAGGTTTAATGTGCCATTTAGCTCCTAGCTTTCATATCTCAGTTTCTAACACTGCCAGTGACTCTCCAGGATTTCTTGATGGTACTCACCTAGGAGTAAACACATCGAATACAGTGGGGCATCCAAGTAAACATGGCTAGAAATGTGCTGTAAGGTAAGGTTACCAGATTTTTTTCAATGCATCTGGGGACACTTTTCAATTTCCTACTAAATAGATGGATTTTGTCAAGGGACTGGTTTGTAAATCTGGGGCCTGTCCCCAGAAAACGGGGACATCTTACTGTAAGGCTGCTATCCTGTACATGTTTAGCTGGGAGGAAGCTCCATTAGGAGAGGGCTGCAGAGTCATAACCTGGGGCATAAAAGGTTTTAGGGTTCCCCTCCTGCACACCCACCCCTATTTTGTCAGTAGGGAACATAGTGCATTTAAGTACATGGAATATGACAAAACAGATGTGTACTTTGGTACAGAGTATTTAATGAAGATACATTGACTAATAACCATGAATACTAATTCACTAAATAGACAAGCCATTTGCCTATCTGGTGAATCAGCATTCATGTTTATTAATCAATTAATCTTTTCCATCTAACCTATTTTGCTGAATGCAGAATAAATATATTACAATCTCTGGTAATTACAAATCTCCACAGTATCTATAAATGTGATTTATAATCTCTAAAATTAAGACCAGAAATTATCAGGCATTTGCGCAATTCAACCAAATTGTTCCTTATTACTATAATTAATTAATAATCTAATACTTAAACAGGTAGCCCTGCTTGAGCGACTTCTTCCTTGTTTGTATTTGGGGAACCTATCATTTAATTTGTTAAAAGATGTTTGCCAGCAAGCATACTTTCTGCTGAGAGCATAATAAAGTGCTTAAGGCTTACTTGTCCTTTGGCAGACCTTTCACAATACTTCCCTGGGGGACATGCATAGACAAAGAAAGCTGGCCTGCCTTTGCTGCCCTTTGTAGCTGTGGTTGGTAGGAGATGGCAGAGATGCTTCATTTGATCCCTGACCTCGTGCTGAATTTCAAAGATGAAGCATGAGGTCATGCTGGGGTTTGGAGCTGGGACATGTCCTGGTAACTACAAGAGGGCATGGGCTCTATCAGTTTTGGCTCTGGTTCTGGCTGCACACTGTTAGCTCCACCCTAATTCATGCATCCCATGAATTCTCACTAGAAAATGGCTTCTCTGCCTCAGCTGTACCAGTTTCTGTTTGTTCAAGGGATGCCTACCTGATGTAACCAAGCTAAACATTCATAGAGTAATGCATATTTACAGAAATACATTTAGTTCAAGGCAATGTATATATATTTTCTATTGTTACACAGTCTTCTTGACTCTTTAAAATTTGAAGCTCTTTACACATTACTGCATAGTCCAGATTTGTTGGGTACATTCTGCTGAATAAGTGAGTGCATATTACAATGGTTTATTCATCTGCATCAGATGGCTGAACTAATACTCTCAACTCTGTAGGCCCAAAGTTTTTTCCCTTTGTCCCCATCTTGGCCCCCTTGTATTGGGACTCATGTGTATAGGTTGGACTGCCAGTATTGCTTGCAGATGGCCAAGAGATGTTTAAGAGTTAGCTTGACTGGGTTCCCAAGGCCTTGCTGAGTATGGACCTGACAAGTGTATTCTCGAGCCAAGTGGTTTGACATCATGGACTGGAGGCTCATGTGTAAGAGGCAGACCCAGCAAGGTCAGATGGCAGGATCCTATAGCAGGCCTGGCCTATCCCGAAATGTCATACATTTCCCAACTGAAGATGGTTGTGAGCCTTCAGCCCACAGGGTGCCATTTTGTTCATTAACATGCATATTAGTAGAGTTGCCAAGTCACCAAAAAGAAACTGCCTTGCCCTGCTGTTGTTCTTTTAACAGCTTTTTAAGCTGCAGAAATCAGCAGGTGAAGCTTTTCACGGTGTAGTGATAAACTTTAGTATCTGCTAATGTCTGCACATCAAGCTTCTCTAAAAGGCACTGCTGCTTAAACAGGAACGAAAGAAGTTGCCTTATAATGAATCAGACCATTGTTCCTCCTAGTTTTGTATTTTCTACTCACTGACAGGCAGCCTCTCTCTAAGGTTTCAGGCAGGAGCCTTTGGCATGCAAAACATGTCCTCTGCCACTGAGATATGTGCCTCTGACAGCTTGAGATGCCAGTCTGAAGGCATGTGATTACTTGTTCAAGCCCTGAAGTCCCTGGTATATGCCAGCAAATACTATGAGTAGTTTTTGTAGTTTGCGCTCAAGCCTATCCTGATTAAAGGTAAAGGGACCCCTGACCATTAGGTCCAGTCGCGGACGACCCAGAAGCTGTATGCCGGCTCCCTCGGCCAATAAAGCGAGATGAGCGCCGCAACCCCAGAATCGTCCTATCCTGATTAGTGCCCTTCTAATTAGGGCTGCATATGAGCAGTGCTGGATCAGGGCTCTGTGCATTGTATGCTCTTAAAATGTGAACCAGATGGCAAATGTTGAGGAAGAGGCTGTGGTCCTAAGGATGCATTTGAGAATAATGGTAGCATTTGGGGGTCCATTTACTCTGCCACTCAGAGAGTTTGCTGCTAGAGGATCCAATAGTGCTTATGATCCATTTATATTGATCATGACTGAGTGTTTCACTCGCATGTCCAAGGACCTGTAAGTTTAAAGATCATTTAAAAGGGAGGTGGAGTCTTTATAAGAATGTCATCCAGTAAACATTACCTTATTTCTCTCCCCCTCCCCCTGTATGGGTTCTGTTCTGCATGCATTTGAGAATAAGGAGAGGTTTTGGAAATGCCTGCTCAGTACTTATGCTCAAATGACTACTGCCTCAACTTAAATTCAAGTGACTTGGCTTTCTGAGTATATAGCTCTTGTATATGGCTAGCTGTTCATCATCCTGTCATCAGACTACAGAGTTCTATATTTTATTGTATAGTGGCCTGGTGCATGATTATTCTTGTGATTGTTTACAATTTGAACGGCAATATTTTGCCAATTTCGAGTAAGCATTATAGTGTTGCCTTATTTCACATGGCTCAATACCTGACCCTTTAAAAAAAATAATTGAAATAATAGCTAAGAAGTACTGCATTTGCTTTTTGAGAACCAATAAATAAAAGTCACACACACACACATAACCCACCCCAATATTTAGGGGCTTATTCTGAAAAAGGTTTGTAAAAAGATTATCCATAATCATCAAACGAGTCCATATAAATGAGAGAGGTGGCCAGTACTTTAGTTTTGCCTTCACACTTCCCATTTAATTTACATTTATCTCTCTCCAAACATGTACACCCATCAAAGCAAGATATACATATACTGCTAGAGAAATATGCCTGTGGCTATAGAAGAGCTTTATTGATCTGTGTTACCCTTTACAGCAGGAATGGCTCACCTTTTGGCCCAAGGCCTCATTCATCCTTGGACATTTTTCTTGGGACTGCATGCCAGTGACTAGTAGTTGAGGCCCATAGTGCTTGTGGCCACCTCTCTCTCTCTCTCTCTCTCTCTCTCACACACACACACACACACACACACACACACACACAAACAAACAAACACACAAACACTTGTGCATGCATGCACCACACATACATTTATTATTGTATGAACAATAACACACACAGGTCACAGGTGCAAATATACAGAACACAACATGACGCACACACTGTCACACCCACACAGCCTCCACCCCGCATCTGATCCATGCAGATCAACTGAGAGCAGGGTGATTCAGCCATTCCTGCTCCTCAGATGACTGAACTGACAAGCGGAGAAAGTCCCCTTCTGATCACAGCATATCAGAAACAGGAAGGAGCAATCCAATCTGTTATGATGTTTCCTGAGTGTCCAGTAACATCGGAGCAGATCAGAGCACTCCTTTCTTTTGCGGATCTGCTCAGTTCAGGGTGGGAGTTCTGGAAGAATGGGGTCATTTGCCCTTGGAACTGTGCCAGACAGTGACATGTGACTTGCATAATAAATGCAGGCTACATCAGCAAGATTAACAAGAGCTGGTTTTATCTCTTGGTCTCTCTTACACAACTTTTAACCTCGCATCCATCTTGGAACCACTCCCAAGAACACAGGCCTCGAGTACGCTCAGTTTCAACTTCTGTATTTTTGTTGTTGTGGTGGTGGTACCATAGATGCCACCATTGCTAAAACTGGGGTGATACTGAAGTCAAAAATAAGAGGTTGGGGGACTGGACCTAGGCTGGTAGTACAGGATCTAGCCCACTCATTTTGAGTTTTTGTGAGTGATGAAAGTATACCACCTAGGGGAAAACTCTTATATCTGTATAGAATGCATGTCTTTTGAAAAACTGTTTTAACCAAAGGGCATCTACATGATGAAAAAGAGAGGGAGATGAAAGCCAAAGTTTTTCTCAGTAGTGGTTTTGCCTTTCCAGGAAAATGAAAGAAGGAATCAAGGAATATAAATTAAAATATATTAAGGAGTAATCAACGGTTAATTAAAGATTAATCAAGGGGACAAGCATTAGGAAGCATTCTGATTTCTTTCCTCGCCATATATAATGACTGCCCGAAGGAGGAAACAATAGGCTGGCTTGGTCTGTTGATTAGAAGCATATTTCATAATTCTGGCTAGGTGAATATGGCAATTGCCAAATACCTTTTGGCACAAGAGGGCTCATTTGGTGAATAATTCCTTCAGCAGGTATCATATCAGGACCGTAATGCTATTCAGTGATTTATATCTTCTAGTGCCGTGCCAAAACCTGCCAACTAATTTCTTGAAAATGTTCTTCCTCTGCAAAAGAGGCTCCTGTTTTTCTACTTCATTCACAGGGCATTTTAGAATTTATAAAATGTACGTGGTTGAGGTTGGCTGGGTGTTGCAGGGTGACCAAGGGTGATGTGTTTTCTTCCTTTTTATGAAATATTTCTCCAGTGCTCTGCAGGGCTGCCTGATCTGAAAAACCTCTGTGGGAGGAGTTACCTCACAACATCTTCTAGTTTGCTTTAATTGAAGTGTGCGAAGTCAGTGAAGCTGCCTACTCAGCACTTGAGAATACTGTGCTCAGTGACCTTTTGAAAAAGCAAAGCCCTTCCTTTTCCTCTTAAATGTCTTAAAAAATAAAAGGACTTTATTGTAAAATCTAACAATGAACAGCTGTCAGGCACACCGCACGTACGTTCCCTGGCTTCTTGCACCTACAGGAAAGCAAACTGGGGGAGGGCATCATGAGATTGTCAGGAAGTGTGGACCACTGAAAAGGCAACTTATAGAATGGAAGGAAGGAAGGACACAGAAACCTTGCCAACATAAACATTAAAGTCCGCACATAAACACTCCGCACACACTCCACGAGAATGTCACTGAAATTTCCTCTACATTTTGTTAATTTCCTAATGCATTTTCTTTTCTCATTAATGGATGAAGAATGGTAAAATTAGCAATGACTTTCTTTTCAGTCATCTTCCTTCTCATTAAGATATACCACTACACCAGTTGCTTAGCTGGATGGTTGGGATTGTACTGTTAGTAAGTATGTCTATGGAGAACTAAGTCCTATTGAATTCAATGGGGCATACTCTCAGGTGGTGTTAAGATTAAACCACAAGTAGTATTTACAGTGGTACCTCTGGATGCAAACGGGATCCGTTCCAGAGCCCTGTTCGCATCCAGAAGCGAACGCAACCCATGTCCACGCGTCTGCGCATGCGCAGGTCGTGATTCACTGCTTCCGTGCATGCACGTGACATTTTGACCGTCTGCGCATGCACAAGTGGCAAAACCCAGAAGTAATGTGCTCCATTACGTCCAGGTTGCCACAGCACGCAACCTGAAAATACTTATCCCGAAGCTACTTCAACCTGAGGTATGGCTGCATTTCAATAGCCATTCTCACATCATCTTTAAACTTTACATCAATTCTATTTTCAAGCGCTTGCACAGTTTCCCTACATGATATATTGTTTGAACATATCCCAATTCCCATTTCAAGAATCTTGATGTAGAAACATACAGTTAGAAGGTTAGAAGGTCATCTAGTCCAACTCCCTGCAATGCAGAAATTTCATGTTTCAAGCCTATGTTTATGTTTTACTATGGTTACATAAATGAAAGTTCCATTACCATCAACAGTCATATTCTAGCCCAGGACTGGTCCCAACATTAGACAAACTTGAAGCAACTGCCTCAGGTGGCAGGTGCTATGTGTTGGCAGCAATCACAGCAGCCACCTGGCTGTCCTTCCCAAGGCCTCTGGCTGGTCCCTTGTATTGGAAGATAGAGCTCTCTCTGCCATGTGGCCTGCCATACACTCTGTGTAGCATCTTACTCCCCTTATGTGTGATGGAGGATGCGATCCTGTCACTAGTGTTGAATGCAGTCAGTTCAGCTTCTGTACATGAAATAGGAGCATCATCTTGCCCTTTGCCTCAGGCAGCAAAATGTCTTGAGCTGGACTTGATCTAGCTGAAGTCCCATTGGGCTGGATCCAGAGTTTCCTTGCAGATGGAACGGCATAGAACACCTGTGGTACAAATTGGAGCTGTGATGATCTAAGAGCTTGGCAAAGAAGCTTTTCAGCAGCCACTGTAGAAACTAATTTTATAACGGAGCTGTTAGGAACGCATTTTTTGACTAATGGGGGAAATGAGGAGTACAGAAATTTCAAAAGCAGCTGTGGAAGTGGCAATATCAACAAACGGAAAGCTACACTGCAGTTGTGTATAACAAACCTCCCCAGTGTATTTTCTTCCTCACAGTGCCTCAAGAATAGAGGAGTGATAGATAGGGGTGCTTAACCCTTCCCCTTCCAGTCACATTCTCCCAGCTGCCTTTACCCCTGTGGGATTCCAGGACTGTGTTTCTGTAATGTCCTTAACTCTAGTAAGGGTCAAAGCAATGTGAAGGGGTAACTTTCAAAGGAAATACTAAGCTGTTTCTTCTCTGAGGCAAATTACCCGCTCCTGAAAATGGATTGCCAGGGCTTCATTAAATGCAGCTGCTGGGTAACATGTTGTTTGCTCATTAGGGGATGTGAAAACTTTTTTAAAAAATAGGCGGGGGGAGGGCGGACGACATTTCAAACATTTTGAGAACTTGTAGAGGGCTGTGTATCTGAAATGAATATGTGCAAACTTGGATGTGCTGTATATTTACAGTGTTCTAATCCCAGTAGAACAGGAGGAATTTAGAAGCAAGGTGTATCATTTTAAAGAGCATTTATTTAAATGCAAAGAAAATTAATGCAGCATCATGTTGACTTTGAAATAAAGCTTTCAGCATGGAAATGTTAACAAGCTTCCACTGATGAGCACTGATTAAACCTAATCCTGAGTCGACATAATCCTTTGGTGTTTGGCTAGGATTGCATGTGAGTTTTCATATAATTCCAAGCCTCCCTTGTCTTTTATCACTGCAGCTCATGTGGATTGGCACTGGTCAGGTATGTGAGAGCAAACTCACTTTGTCTTGTGGCAGGGCTTCCCTTGGGAATACTTTAGGGGTGAAATCCCACATTCCCTTTTGTCTGCTACAGGGTGATTTTCTTTAACCACGTCTTACAGTTTAAAGGAAGAAGACGATGTTCAGGGCTGTACAAGCGAAGGAAATCTGTGGTGATTCTTACAGTCCTGGCATGTTTTACAAAAGGACAACCCCTTCCTTATCCCAGCATCAACTGAAAATAAGCTTGCTCACATGAGATAATAAATCGCAATGGCAGTGGAGTATTTATGAGTGCTGCTTCAGCAGGCCTGGCATTTTATAGGAGGGCCCATTAAGCGTTTTTGCTTTCACCAGGTTTATAGGGTTGGCTTATAAGGCAGCTGCATATGCAACAAGGGGAATCCAACGTAACAACTGTAAAATAATATATATATTTAAAAGCCAAGGAGATATTTGCATAGAAAAGAGATGGGCACTATTTATTCCCAGTGTGTTTCGAGGATAGCTGTTTCTCAGAAATATCAATGTTTCTCAGATTCCTCATTACCCACATCAGTGAGCAAACCTGACCTGGAAGTCTTTATCCAGAGGTTCTCTGGGAGTCCCTTATGGCTGCTGCTGTGGCTTGACATTACTGTATGAAGAAGCTCCTTGGCTTTATTTGCTGCTGTCCTTTGTGCTGAACTGGATAGTGCAGCATACCAGTATGTATAATGCCCCCCTCAAGTCCCAGGTTTAGAATCTGCCTGCAGATTCAAATGCTGCCAACTTGACAGATACCCAACCTGTGCTGACAGGATGGCTGCAATGTTAATTTCGTCGTCTAAAGCTGTAGTATATTAAAGGAGGAAGTAGTCGTAGTCTACAAAAGATGCAGTTTTGCCCCATTCATCTGACTTGTTTTGTTTTGTTTTTTGTCTTTCATAAGCCAACTATCCTAATGCATGTCTCTCATCTGCTTTCCTTGAGGCACTGTTTTTGTTTATCCCCATTGCTTCAGCCATATAAGCCCTTGCCATCGTGCCTTTGGTGGTTGTTGTTAAAAATGTGCACTGCCTCTATGTAATCTCTTTTTCCTCTCTCTGTTTCTTAAGATTTCCTCCTAGTTACCTTGCAGAGCAAGAAAGAAAAAGTGGCTAGGCTGTGTGATTGCACAATAATAAGCAACCAGGAAGATTTTCAAAAAACAACATCACCCATGAGTGTCCTTGAAAGTCAGGATGAGACAGGCACCTAAGGAAACTTTTTGCCTTTGAACATTTATTCCAGATTTCCCAGAAAACAGCAAGCTAGTCTTTGCATAGAAAATCTGGGAGTGGGGGTGGGTGGGTTTCAAGTTCATAAACCTAAAGGCAATGAGCCTGATTGAAAAGGCAAATTTGTCATTCAAATCTTTAGCAGAAGATACTTCATGAGCCAGAATACTAATCGGGCCATCTGAACATGTGCATGACAGGCTGCCACCCAGACTAATGGAAGTGAGCTTCTTTTGCCTTTGTTTCTGGTTGAATAGTTTGGCCTTGGCTGGTTTTTATTCACTAAAGTATCCATAATCACCTGCCACGCTTTCTTTGTTAATGATCACTCACTATTCAATTAACCATCCATTAAACCACAAGTCTTCAATACCTTCATTCTTGCACAGGAGCTTTTAACCTTCTGCGTCTCCATAATAGCAGAGCCTGCTATTGCGTTGATTTCAGCTAAGTAAATCATATGAGGAAGTACAAGTTAATAAACCTCTGAAAGGATTGATTTGTGAAAGAGTAATCTATCAAGGGCATACATTGTTCGCACTTGTCAAAAGGAGAATCGCATGGAGCGGATGTTTCGTGTTCTGTTTATTTTTAATTTCCTATAGCACCTTTCCTGCTAAAGTGGTATGCAAAGTGGTATACATCATTAAGACAACAGCCACAGTGGGTTAGAAGCCCAAATAAAACCAAAAGAAGTCCACCATATAAGATTATGAAATGTCAGAAGGAAAGTAAATTGCTATTGGTTTATATATATTAGTAATTTCTTATTGATATAACATTTTTTATATGTAACTGTATTTTTGTAATACAGTGGTACCTTGGTTGTCAAACTTTATCTGTTTCGGGAGTCTGATTGACTCCTGGAACCATTCCAAAACCAAGACACAGCTTCCTATTGGCTTCAGGAGCTTCCTGCACTCAACTGGAAGCCGCAGAAGCCGCGTTGGGTGTTCAGCTTCCCAAAAACGTTCGCAAACCGGAACACTCACTTCCGGGTTTGTGGCCTTCGGGAGCCGATTTGTTCGGAAGCAAAGCCATTCGACAACCAAGATACCACTGTATTTGGTTTTAAGTTGTCTGTTATTGCTTCAGATTTCTGTGCACCCCTTAGATATATTTCTAATATATTAAGTGGTTTAGAAATTAAATAAACAAAAATCAAAGCAAATTCTGAGGGTTTATGGTTGCCGAAGGTTGTATAGAAAATAATGTTTTCCCATCAGCTCCTGAAGTTGCAGTGGCTTTTGGGGATTGGGGACACCTTATTTCCCAGCCTAGTGCATTGCAATACAGTCCACAAGACCTCAGAGGACACACTCCTTCTCTCAACCAGGCACCAAAAGTTGCTGCCTATTGATCCTTCTAATGTTAAGAAAGGCAACTTCAGGAGGTCTTAACCTTGGAGGTGGAGGGAAGTCTGGCAGGCAGGCAGGCTTGCAGTTTGGTACTACCACCAGATCTTACCAAACAAGGGAGCTACAGTGTAACTATCCAGACCTGCAAGGAAGCATCTTGAACAGATGTTCCTCTTGACAGTCAAGTGGGGTCATTCCTGACTCCTACAATAAGCTTCCAGATCAGAGTTGTCTGATCTGAGCAACAGGGGAGATTAGATTGCATGTCCTTTTTGTCTTGCTTCTCTTCCAATATTTTGCTCCCTCTCTCTGATGTGGCAAAAGCTGAGCCTGATAACCTTGGGAATGAAATCCAAAACTCTGGTGCCTCCACTGAAAGGGTTGTGTTCCAGGAAGTCACTGGTAAATTTTCCCATAAGGTGGAATTTAGAGCAGAACTTCATCTGAAAATCTAAATGGATGGAGAATGGCATACAGTTAAAACGAAACTCTTTAACATATACTCAACCTAGGAATGAAGGACTGTTCGTTATATCTGGCACATTGAATCATGCTTAGAAGTCAGCTGGAATCTGGAATAGATATAAGATGCTCCACATGCCCGGCGCCAAACAGAAGGCATGCAATGACATTCTACATCAGCTGCAGTTTTTGCAATGTCTTGAAGGGCAGCTATCACAAAAAGCATATTGTACTAATTAGTTTGTGAGGTTACCACTGAGAGTAGCAATTTTGCACTCTTCCACAATAGCACACAGTCAGTGAGGACCTAATGAAAAGTAGTCACAATTGCCAAATGGTTTACATTTATTCAGTGCAGCTACATTATGAGGCATATTGCAAAAGTTCTCATATGTTGTTAAGAGTTATACGTCCACAGAGAAGGCCCTCTATCTTGTCTACACTGTAGAACCTAACTGGAATTATAGTATAGGGACAGTACTATTTCTGTGGCTTAGTATGTCATCCGCATAGTTTTATCAAGGTTTTAGATGGTTTTCCACAGCTCCATAGGGCACTCAATGTATTATAGCCAGCAGAAATATGTAATAAATCCCTCCCACCCCACCAGTATGCCTAGAGGTGCGATAAACTTTATTGGATGGAGAAGATAAAAATCCCCTCCCCTGTTATAACAGATGTATGGACAAAAGCATAAAGCAATCAGGTGCTCCAACGACTTCTTTTTTTTACTGAGCGGGCAAACTTAGGAAAGTAGGGAGGGGGGAGGCGGATGGACAGACAGGACAATCAATCCAGTATTCTGGCTCAAAGAGCTTTTTACCAAGAACACAGGCAAGCGCATCACAATCCATCCCTAGAAGAACTGAGCATGTAAGTGGTACAGTAATGTAACTTGCAAGATTAAGGGGCAGCATAATGACTTATCTACCTACTCATTACCCAGTAAGGAATTAGATCAAGGCTAAGAAACCAACTCTTCTCAGATCTACCTCTGTCTTACTGCAGCTTTCAAGGCATTAGAATTGTGTAACTGTGTTTGGGGAAGCAGTGGCAAAATGGCTGCTCTTATTTGTACATGTGCTGCAAGTTCTACTTGACTCTTTTAAATTTGGGCAGAAATGTTACAGGGGAGGTGGGCCTGTCAGATACATAAGCAGAAGATCTGAGCTGAGCTCCATTACTGAGACACAGTCTAGGGCTGATAACTGCCAAATCCAATTGTAATGTTGATCAAAAGCATTTTGGGAATGTTTCAGCTTAATCACAGATTTAGCGGTGGGGGCTGGCTAGCACATATCGGAGTATCTGGATGGCTTGATTTCAATAGACGTAGATTAATCCATACCAATTTATAAAACGAAAACAAAGCCTGAAAGCTTAGCTTTTTGGCTTTAGCGGGCCACTTCCCCCAAAATGCTATCATTTGGTCAGGAAAAATGCCAAAGTTAATAAAGAGGTTGGGGTCGATAAGACCCTCATATATTCATGCTGAATGTTGGCTTTTCTCAGATAATCTGCACCTGTTTGATGTATTAAAGCATCCCAATATACACTGTGAAGAATAATGGCAAGCTTAAAATTATACAAGAAACACTGGAAATTGTTAAGAATATCCCACCATATGGACAGAAATCTCGATGAAGTGTTGCCTTTTGTTTCCAAATAACGAAAAAAATGAATCAAATGTGCAAAAAATATTTCAGAGAAATATTTATTGGAGAGGTGTGATTAACTTGTTTGCAGCATCTGCCTTTTCTCTCACTCTCTCAATAACCTAGATTTTTGTTTCTACTCTTTTAATTAATGAGGTCGAAGTGGCTAAAAACCAAAGTCAATTCATATTATGGCAAAGTTCTTGTATTAATGTGTTGTTTTATTTGCATAATGAATACAAGTGCCTTTAGAAAGCATGTTTTAACCTTGCTGTTTTAGTTTCAACAAAATAATTTGTGACACTGTCCATTATCATTAACCAAAAATTGTAAACATGGATATGCTAAAAGGTCATTTGGAAGTGATTGATCTAAAAATGAGAAAGCCAAAGGAGGTTACATAACTCTGGCCAATGTGAGCTGCTAAAGGAGAGCTACAATTACAAGCCTCATTTATTTCATATAGTAAACTATTCTGAAAATAAGTTAGACCATCAAAATTGGGATTTGCCATGGGCCAAATGTTCAGTACTTCTCAGTTGTCTTTTGGACACAAAGACGAATAAGCTAGATAAATGACGAGAATGCTGCTTGCTTTGATAGTCCTTGAGAATGGACCAAGGCTGAGATCCCACAGAGTTGTACATCCATAAATTGTATGGAAAACAGTGGGATGCATGTAGCTTTGTGCAGGATTCTGGCCATGGTGGGATGAGGTTTGCTTTGCATTGAGGAATGAGCTCCGAAGTGTTAAGGAAAGGCTGAATTTTGGTCCTACAGCCGGTCTGTGTGTTTTGTTTAGCTCATCTTGATGTTTTTGTAATCTTTGTCTTCAGCTATGTGAGCTGCTCTGTGGCTATTGAGACAGTATGGTGGAAAAGAGGCATAGAAATTAAACAATTTAATTAACATATAGTGTCCTTTTATTGTGACTATCTCCGCTGCATGTACCCCTATCGAGATCTGTTAACTAGGGCTGACTTTGCACAGTGAGTGAGTTGAGGCTTGGTTAGCTCTGTTCATAATTTGTCTTACATAGAAGGGAGAGTAGGTTCACACTCACAGAACCCATAAATTTGGAGGATTGTCTGAAAGAGCCTAAACACACAGAAATTGTATGCATGTATACATGCATGCAGGAGAACCTGACTGTGTGGATAGAGCTCGTGGACAGTTTGTACATATCCTATCACTCTTCCCAATCTGATTGTTGGAGGTGGAAATGGGAGAGATATCTAGTGGTATGGAGTTCCTCTTTGCTGGCCATCTGGAGGCTCCAGCCTTAACCCAGTGGACAGAAATCTTACGCTGGCAATTCTCTTTGTCCCCAGATGGAGCATTTCAGAGGAGGGCGGTGCACTGGTAGCTTTGGATCTGCTGGATCCAGATTCATGAAGGGGTGAGCCTATCTACTGTGCCAGCCCTGGGACCTGGCAATTGCACCTACACAAGCCAGCAAGGCCTGGGATGTGATGGAAGATCTGCCATATTGCTCCTCCCTGGATTCTCATTAGGATTGCTCTGTAAACACCCTGATGCCTTGAAGGTCAATACAAATTCAGATTTTCATTTAAAGAGTGTCAAGCTTTCTCACTTAGCTAGTATAGTTATGTCAAAAATTAATTAAATGTAACCAAAAAAAGGACTATTTTCTCATTCATTTCTATAAATCCCAGGGAGCAGAAGCCTGAGGGATTTTCATCCCTATTTTCAACTTGCCTTCTGCAGTCTTCTCTTGTGAAGGCAAGAAAATGAGCAGCATCAGTGATTTGTGAGGGGACTTGCATACTATTGTACAAAGATATGCAGTGTTTGTGGCACTGCTTATTCATTAATATTTGTGTCTGAGGCTTTTCATTTATTCTGATCTAGTACAACTAGTAAAATACTTTCCCTAAGCAATAAGAAAATTATATTTGCGGAAATTATCAATTTTAGTCAATACTAGCGATTTGCTTCAGTTGATAAATGGTGAGGAAGATGAATAATTTTTCAAATGTTACAAGTTTCAACAATCTGTCTTCTCTGCAAAGAAACAAGCTCAAAAATGCTAATTTCAACCTACAGGGACATTTGCTCAATACATATTCAAAGTTGATTTAAGAGTGCTGCATGAATGAAAAATAGTCTCTGCATGGTGCTGACCTAGATCACTGAAAAAATAATGTAGACTTGTTTTATTATGTATTTGAATTTACAACAGTCTCTGCTCTCCTCCTGGCCCAATCCCGCTCTTGAATAATTCCTAATTTTAATTGAGCTGTGCTTATGCTCAAAATAACAGCAATCCTACAGCATGCTCTAGGAATGAATTGGTGGAACAATAATTGCTTCCTAAGCCCTGCTGCTCACAGCCGCTGGCATGCAAGGTGTGATGCTGTTTCTTTTTGCTGTGCCACCTCTAGTCTGATGCAGATAGCTGCTTGAGGATTGGGCCCCGCAGGGGATTTGTTTGCAGTACTTTGGGAGAACTGCGGGTGCTGGCTTGCAGCCCTGATGAATGCAGGAGGGGCCCTCCTAGTGGTAGACAGTAGCAGATGACATGGTGCAGGCTTCCTCAAACTCGGCCCTCCAGCTGTTTTAAGACTACAATTCCCATCATCCCTGACCACTGGTCCTGCTAGCTAGGGATCATGGGAGTTGTAGGTCAAAAACATCTGGAGGACCGAGTTTGAGGAAGCGTGACGTGGTGGGAAGGAGGTGTTTATCTACTTCCTAGCAGGTCTTGCTGCTGTTTAAAGGTAAAGGGTAAAAGGACCCCTGACCATTAGGTCCAATTGTGGACGACTCTGGGGTTGCGGCGCTCATCTCGCTTTATTGGCCGAGGGAGCCAGCGTACAGCTTCTGGGTCATGTGGCCAGCATGACTAAGCTGCTTCTGGTGAACCAGAGCAGCGCACGGAAACACCGTTTACCTTCCCACCGGAGCAGTACCTATTTATCTACTTGCACTTTGATGTGCTTTCAAACTGCTAGGTTGGCAGGAGCAGGGACCGAGGAACGGGGGCTCACCCCGTCGCGGGGATTCGAACCGCCGACCTCCTGATCGGCAAGTTTTAGGCTCTGTGGTTTAACCAACAGCGCCACAGGCATCCCTATTTTGCTGTTTACCAGGAGAGAAAAATGGGAGGAAGCAGAGAGGGCTTCATGGTGCAAATGAACCAGCAGGAATACCAGATTGTCTCTGCTGCTGTACTTGCACCACACTGATCTCACCACTGGGCACCTCTTCCTCCTGGTAAGCAGCATCAACTCACCTGCCAGAAGGTCTGGTAAGCACCTCCGCCCCACTACTACACCATCTGCTGCAGCACTGTTCTCCCTGCTATGGATAGATCTGGGCATAGCTGTCAACTTACAGATTTGAAAATAAGGGACCAGCAGGCTTGAAAATAAGGGATCAGCAGCCAAAATAAGGGACCTGCAGCCTCACCTGTTCCAGGCACTCCAGTCTTCCTGTCCTCCTGCAGTCTGGTCAAACTCATGCTGGTAGCTTCGAGAACACTGTCCAACCAACTTTGTAACCAGAGGTTCAACTGAATAGAATCTGAATCACATGCACCACAAGCCTATGCAGCCTCAAGATGGCTCCCTGGCCTGGCTTTGCACTGCAAAGTTTGCAGCAGCACGTACAACAACATGGCGTCCAGCATTCAAAAACCCCCTCAGCTTGCATTAACTAGCCACACACACACAGCCTCCCCCCCCGCCACGAGATCGCCAGTCACCCACCATTTTAGTCAACCAGCTCCTTTCTTTCCCTCCATAAGTCAATCAAAGGAGCCTCCAAAACAAATTCAAAAGCCCCCCCTCCCACGAGATCTCCTTTCCTTTTCCCCCACCATGTGCCCCTGCTCCAGACAGACCTTATCGCAGCAAGGGTGAGTGGGTCATCGATGACATATCCATCCGATTCCGATCCGAGCACTCAGCACAGGTATGTTCAACTTCTGAGCCCCTCTGAGCCAAAGGCAGAAAGCCCAGCCAGCAACCAAACGAAGCCTCAAGGAAAACCACCGTCACCTCTCCGCTGGGAAGCGCTGAGCAAAGGCGAGTCCCCAGGTAATGCAGCTGATTTGATCAGCACAAGGCTTTCAAGCTCCATCCCCCAGTCGTTCTTAGACTTCTTATTGGGTGAACAACACAGCCAAGCAACACAGTTGGAACCTCCCTCCTCCCTGGCCGGCAGGGAGGGAGGGAGAGGAGCTGCTTCCTTTGAAATTTAAGGGACATCATTTAAGGGACATTTAAGGGACATCCATCAATAAGGGATAGCCACAGGACATGGCGCTGGAATAAGGGACTGTCCCCCCAAATAAGGGACGCTTGACAGCTATGGATCTGGGGTTAGGATTGCACTTAATGTATTCTATTTAAACTACAATACTTGCACCAATAAACCTACTCATACTGAGGTCATCCTATCTACATTACCTTCTGTTGAACTTGGTGGGGCTTACTTCTGAGTAAACATGTATGGGTTTAATTTGAATTGCATCCTGCTTTATCTGTGCATAATTCCATAACTATCCCATTATTTTGCCTAAAAGCAAAAGGGAGTACATTGGTACATACCTGGAAGGAAAATGGTTCCACCTCAAAATAAGATTATGTCTTCCTGCATCTGGAAGCAAGATTTGGCGAATGAACGATAAAGCAGATGCAGAAACTGCCTCATGACCTGGTTTCTCTGCTGTTGAAGGCATTTTCAAAATCAGGGCATGCACTCTTGCAACCCCGTTAAGCATCTCTTAAAGCAGCACAGGCTAAACAATAGCTTTACCTACAAATCCAGTGCACTTCATTGAACCATTAGGAATGTTTGGTTAACTGCAACATATTCAGAACAGTGCCAAAAATGGTATATTAATGAAGTACTAATAACCACTTTCAGATGCAAAGAGGAAGATTCAAAATAAGGTTTAATCAGCATGTGCATTGATACAATTTATATTTCTCTCTACTTCAAAGTGGGGAGCTTCCTAAATTAATTCAGAAAAGCACTGGCTTAGCTGGGTGTGGGTTGTGGCTGTGTTCACCTCTGTTTTGCATTACATCTTTATTCATAATGTTGACAGTAAAGCTATGTTTCTTTATTTCATTAACAGATTGAAGTTGCAGTGTCGGACAATAGACATATCTTGTGTTCGGAGACTTGGTTGTTGCTCCTAAAATTAATCCGCCTGATAATGAAATTGATTTTCTTGTTTCTCCTAAGTGGTTATCTATTTTCTTATGGTTTGGAGGGTGATATAAATACTCTTAGGCAAAGCCATCATCAACAACTGATGCCAATGGAATTTATTATTTTCCGTTGTATCTTAAATAGTTTCTGTTTTTAAGCAGATAAATTGAAAGGTTGCAAAGTGACCCACTATTTAAAATCAGGAGAAACATTTCTTTTTAAAATCTGATTTAAAGTAGTGATCTACTAACGAGAGTGTGTTTGTAACTTGCATATAGTTTAGCTATCCCATCCTTAGGTGTTGTTCATTCTTACAAAATATTTTTTCTTAAAAATAAAGGGGAAAGGGGGGAAATCATAAAAACCAAGAAACATAATACAATTTATCCAGCACCATTTCATGGATGATGTATACTACGTATAAGTGAACTACATTTTGAAATAATTACAATTTCATGTTTCTTTTTTCACTATTGATAACTTTTTCAGTGTCCTAGCCACAAAAGTATGTTGTTTCACACTGGGGTAAATACACTGAAGCCAGAGTAAATTACTTATTCCCATAAGTACCTGCTACTCAGACCTACCATCCATCAGGATCCATTTTTATATTTGAACATTGAAAGGAGGACATATTGGCTAAAATAATTGCCACATGTTCCCATGTGGAAGTACCTACTGCAGTATAAAGGTAAAGGGAACAGGGACCCCTGACAATTAGGTCCAGTTGTGGCCAACTCTGGGGTTGTGGTGCTCATCTTGCTTTATTGGCCGAGGGAGCCGGCGTACAGCTTCTGGGTCATGTGGCCAGCATGACTAAGCCACTTCTGGCGAACCAGAGCAGTGCACGGAAATGCCGTTTACCTTCCCACCGGAGCGGTACCTATTTATCTACTTGGACTTTGACGTGCTTTCGAACTGCTAGGTTGGCAGGATAATGTAGTATAATGCAGACCAAAATAGTAATATTTATGTACTTATCTTGGATATTAGTGTGATGGGTTTCCTGAAGAAATGCTGTTAGTGGTTTATATTTCCTAACGTATTCAGAGGCTCTTTGTCTTTTTGTAACCTCTCCCAGACTCCTAACATTTTGGCTGGTTATTCTGATGTCACTCATTACAACATAGGGAAATAAACCTTTATATTAGGTCAGTCAGTTACCGTTTCTTTAGTCAGGGAAGAATACATGAATCTTTGAGAACCAGATCCTGAATTAATCCTCTCATACAAAGGAGGATTGTGCTGCAAATATTTGGTAGATGGCACTCTCTTCCGTTCTGCCATTCCCATAGACTCTTCTGGATCCTTTTTGCAATGCAACTTGGTATGTCAAGTAATGTAAGGCTATGAGCTGCAGGTTTGTGTCTGTTAGCTCTGTGTTGCATATCATTCACCTCCACTAGCAGTGCAAAGGGAAAGATTCGTTTGTATTTAATTCCTGCTTCTAGGAAACATTAGCAGGCCATCACATTTTTCTTCTTTCCACACTAAGAGGTAGAAATAAAATAGCTCTTCTCTCACATTCCAATTGCCTCCTTTGCCCAAAAGGCTTCTCTCGAGGTATCTTTTGGTAGAATGCTATAATTATGTCCCAAGGAAAAGAATTATTGTTCAGCTTGTGCCCAAGGCTTCTGTGAGTATGCTAATGTATGTTGGTCCTGTGGTTATGTTTGGAAACAATTAAGCTCACCAGTTAAGCAAAAATCCAATTACTGGTAATTCTGACCTTAAGCCAAGTCTTTCAGATGCAAATGTACATCTGTAGCTGTGGTACTTGAGATCATCGGTCTTTATATGCTTTTACCATGCATTTTTAACCCCTCTCCAAAGCCTCTGAGCCTGAGTTAGCTACTTCAACTTTGCCTGTGAGTATATCAGTATTAGTTTCCAGGGGCTTAAAAACCTCCTGCTAATCTTTCCCTAAGTCTGCCCATTTGAGAAGTCACCTTTTTTATCAGGTTGGTAGCAAGGACCATTGCTTCCCCTCTTGTTGCCTTTTGAGAGTCTGGCCAGTATGTTGTTTACTTGTTAAATTTCTGTATTGCCCTTCATCAGAAGATCACAGGGTGGTTTACAATATAAAAACACAAAAATATATAACACTGTAACAAACAAAAACAATACCCTTCAGAGTTTAAAATACCATTTGTTATGTACTGAAGTTCTCACCCTGGGCCAGCAGGGGGATACTGTAGATAGTTTTCACTCAGGTCCACATATGCAAATAAGGGATTGAAAGTGACGTTCAGTGATTGGATAGTTACAGAAAGTGGTTACTGTTGTGTTCTAGTGGAGCTCTATATAAGCAGGCTGGCTGAACCCTTCAGTTCAGTTCTGTTCTGGCCTGTGAATAAACAAGAGCTGTTTGAAGAATCGCTGTGTTGTCTGATATGTTCACCCACAACTTAACTCCATTAATTGTTTAATTAACCAAAGGCCTGGGAGAAGAGAGGTTTTTTTCTCCTGGTGCCCGTTCTCATGTTGCCGCCCTCTAGACCTCTCATGGAGGAGACACACGAAGGGCTTCAGATGACTATTGCAGTGTCCGGGTCGGTTCATGTGGGGAGAGGCGGTCCTTGAGGTATTGTAGTCCTGAGCTTCTTTAAGGCTTTATAGGTCAAAACCAAGACTTTGAATTAGGCCTAGAACTAATTGGCAGCCAGTACAGTTTGGCCAGGATTGGCGGTATATGCCCCTTACTTGGCCTGCCCCACCTCCCACACCATCCCTTCCCCTACCCTGAACCACTGTGATTGCCTCCCCCCCCCCTCTTCTCCCTGGTGGACCACCTCATTAGCCAGCTATAAATGCAGTCTCGCTCTTTACCCAATTATGTGCTGGCAAGCATGACTTGCCAGCCAGCCGCCTACCAGCTGATTTGCAGCACAATGTCTGAGTCCGTGGTTGTTTTTTAAAGGCTATTTATGAAGTGATGGACCCAAGCATTGATCTCTTGTTGCCTGTCATTTGTTTTGGTAAAGGTTATTGTTATTTGACTTTAGTTGGGGATTCTGGTTTTAAATTGTGATTTGTTCATTTATTTAAAAATACTGTTATGTGTTGCCTGCTTCCCCAAACAGCAACAATAATAAGGCAATTCCTGTCTTTAGGCTTATAATCAAAATGCACAGGTATGTAAGTGGAGCATACGTAGGGACAATCTGGGACTTCTGCAAGGTAGCAGATTTGCTACTCCACATCAGAACCCCAGAAAGAGGCTTCACCTGTAGGGAAATCAGGTCTTTCTGTGCGATAGTTCTGCTAACTATTGTTTGTTACATATCCATTTGCCTGTCACTCATCTTACCCATTCAGTAAATCATCCAAAGCCATTAAAGAAACATTCAGGTTCTTTTGTCCAATCTCAGACTCTAACCAGGAGACGCTTTTAAGGCAAAGAAGCACAGTGATTGACCCATTCACAGTAATCAAACAGCAAACTCATGGTAAGACTCAATGTTGTGTCTCAGTGGTGCCCAAACTTTGACAAAAGTAGCACCAAGGTCCAAATTATTAAATGAGTGGTTCCCAAACTTCTGAGAGCTCAGCTAAGGCACTTTTCTCTGAGCTAGAATTGCAGGTACACTTCCAGATATTTTTGTATGGAAAACATTATTCTATTTCTTATGCATTCCTCAAATGTAGATGCCTCCCTACCCGGTTTGGAGGACTTTTAAAGTTGTTGCAGGAATATGTTTTTGCAGAAGTTTTTCAGGCTATTAATGGAAATAGCTGACTAACTAATCACTTAGAAAGGGAACAGAAGAAATTAAAGGGGTGAGTGGGTGCCTAATTAATTTACAGGCCTAATTACTGAGGACTATCAAAATGAGTCAGCATGTCACTGTTTTTGTTTGTGTGTGTGTGTGTGTGTGTGTAAGAGAGAGAGAGGGGGGAGGAGAGAGAGAGAGAGAGAGAGAGACTCACTTGCTTCTGTTTGGCAACTGAGGGGAGGGGACCTGGGGAGGAACCCTGTAAAGACTACAGTGGTACCTTGGGTTACAAATACCTCGGGTTGAAAACACTTCGGGTTACAAACTCCGCTAACCCAGAAATAGTACCTCAGGTTAATAACTTTGTCCCAGGATGAGAACAGAAATTGCATGGCGGCAGCGTGGCAGCAGTGGGATGCCCCATTAGCTAAAGTGGTACCTCAGGTTAAGAATGGTTTCAGGTTAAGAACAGACCTCCGGAATGAATTAAGTTTGTAACCCGAGGTACCACTGTATTTCCTTTAATCCTCTACTAGTATTGACTGAGTACCGTTCCAGCCTCTTCCTGCCCTCTACCCCCAGCATTTACCACCACTGGCTGGAAGCACATTTTAAAAAACCAGGACAAGGGGAAAATATTGAATGAACAAGTGAGTAGTTGGAGCAGGATCCTGTAAATTCAATTGCTCTTTCCTGAAGTTGACAATTGGAGCAGGCTTTGCCATAGGAAAGAATGCTGGAACAGGACTGTGCATAAAAGGAAGAAAGCTATTAGAGGGTTGAATTCTAGCTACATATGCAAATTGGAAAGTATTCAAATGCTTCAGAACAGAGGATGCACAATGAAGTGCTCATTTTAATGCATCCTGGGCATTCGTGGCTTGGAGTGATTAACAATCCAGCTAACACTCCATCTTCCCCTTGAAAGGCAGAGCTAAAAAAAGAAGCTCCTTGTGTTGAACAGTCCAGGGAATTTATGGAATGTGTCTCTTTCACAATCATTACTTTAAATGGAGTTCTGTTCTGGAGCATTCAGTGACTGTGGGAAGGTAAAAAGGCCTCTGAAATCATGACACTGTTGGGGTCAATAGGAAAACCTCTATGGACGTGATCAGTGCTCATTTTAAAGAGGCTGCAGATTTATCAAAAGAGAGATGTGGAAAGAAGGGGATATTTCCTTACTAACTCTATAATGACAAAACCCAACCTCCCACCAATGGTTCTTCTAAACATGTGCCATTGCCATTGTTCAGTCTTACATATTCCCTCTGAATTCTTAACTTGCCAAAAACAGGCCATGTGAGTTACAAGCATGGGACAAAGCTAGTCAGATACGAAAGTATTTACATTTATTTATTACAAAAATAAGAAGTGCACAAGCTTATCTGATTACTTTAAAATAGTACAGCATTTTTAAACGAGTGTACACATTGTTAATTTGTTACTGTCACTTTAAATGCCAACAGCATTTATTCAGCTATCAGTGATATACCAAGACAGCTTTAAGGAAGCAATTCATTAGACTATTAAAGCCCCTTAGGCAAATTGATGATTTATTATGTCCACTCCAGTTAAGTCTCACCAATAGAATAAGAAGCTGGAAGCCTCTTTTCCAAACCCTTTACTAACCTAGTGAAGTGCAGGTTTGTCTTGCTGTGGAACTCTTCCCTCTGGTAGTCCTACCAGTCAGTAGAGACCAACGTCCCAAGCATCTTCTCTCTTCTGCAGACAGGTTTTCCCCTTTTCTCCTCAGCCTAAGCCAAGTGATTCAGCTATACCCAACAAGTCTTTGGCCACCAAGCCACTCCACTTGCCTCTCGGGTCTTCTATCTTCTTCCCCAATCCTCTTCTTCTGACTCCATGAACACCAAACATGAGTAGCTCCAACTCTAACCAACCAATCCCCTGCTGACCAGCTGACCTGGCCATAGATTCACTTCTTTTGGGACCTCTATTCCAGTCACAGCCAATCCCATTGTCTAACTGAATTCTAAACTGCCACTCACCGCTTGGAATATGCATACAGTACTTCTATTCTTTTGCTTTCTGAGAATTCTAACTCACACCTGTCAGTTAAGGTCCCAGATGACAGTTAAACCAACGATCACCATGTCAGACAGAAAACACCCCACATCAAATACGATTCGGCGATGGAGTGAAAGCTGATTGGCTGGGGCTATCCCATAAGGGAAGAAACCCAGCAACAATGACGCAGCTGGCATGACACAGGGGAGAGGTGGCGTTCCTCCACCCCTTAGGCCGGTAAGCTGTTGTGACCGGTCACCCGGTTGCAACGCCACCTACTGGGAAAAGGTGAGTGGGCTTTCCAATGTACATTACAATACAAATGTCAAAATGCACACAATACCCATTAGCACTGAATTCAAGTAAACAGGATTTCTTCACAGGACGTAAACTGGTGAGCCCACTCCTTGTATGGTCACAGCTTTTAGTGTTCCATGTTGCAACTCCAAACTCAGAGACAATTGTCTGACTGTTAACACGGCGCTACACATTGGGAAACTGTTCCTGTGAATATCACAGGGAAGCAGGCAGTGGGGAACAATACACAAGGCCTGGTAGTATCTTTTTGATACTTAATGGGGATGTGTAGCTGCACCCAGGGCCATTAGTTGTTACTCGTGATGCCTCTTACTACAACGGCATCAAAATAAATGTCTGCTTCAAACAAAAGAGAGACAGCACCGTTTCTGGATTATTATTTTTTTAAAAAAAATTCATCACCATATCCTGATTTTTCATCTACTAAAAGGCTTGAGGGCCAGAGAATAAGGGTTATTTTCCACCCAGCATTTTAGCAGTCTGCAGTCATGCTAAAGGGACACCTGTCCAGGAAAGCAGGAAGCACAACATGGATGAAATGATCTCATACATTCTCTGTGTAATACTGGCTCTCCAGGCAGTTAGTGGAAGCTACCGCATGGAAACAAGTCATAAGGCCTTTTAGTAGCAGATTTGATGGAAAGAACTACTGTATGTTAATTTGAAGGCGGGGGACACACACACAATATTGAGAACTTAAATAGTGACAAAGTTCAAACATCTGGCATAGACCTTTTCTCTACAGCTGTTAAATTCCAACTAGCACATTCTTTTTACCAGCATTTTTCTTTCTAGCAAAGAAATCTAGTACAGAGATGAGGCTTATTACGTGTCTGACATTAATTTCTCATTGTTAAACTTATCTACAAAAGGCAGTTATAAAATTGCTCACGGCAATCAAGATCCTGGTTTCATGCCAGTTTTTCAACAGATAAGCACTTTCAAAAATAATTATTTTTCAATAGTGTTATTGAAGTTGAGAACAGTTTTTCCCCTTCAATCTTTTCAGTTTTCCTCTTAATTAAATCTATTTTCTAGAATTGCATCATGCACTACAAATACAAAAAGCTATCTTCTGAATTCAACAGAATCCAACATGCCTTTGACTATGGCATGGTCTTGTTGCGGTATTTGTAACATGTTCAAAATTTGTTATCCCATGCTCATATGATGCTAGTTTTTATTTTTAATTATTGGCTGCCTGGGAATAAATCTCATCCACATTGGGGGCAGAGGCAGGTTAAACCAAACAAAAGAGCTTATGACCCATGACTGACTAATACTAATAGGGGCTAATCTCATTAATGCACTCTTCTTAAAAGACATCTAGTAATGGAAAATGTGCCTTGTAATAGTTTCTTCCCATTGGAGTAAGTTTGCATCATTTAATTCCACTGGGTTTAAAGGTGGTTAGACTGATGATGAGTCACAGACACTGTGTTTTCATGCAAATATATGGACACTACAAATTAAGTAGTTTAGTAACGCAGTAGTACTAAAAATGTGAAGTTTATTTTTACTTGGGTTTGTGACCATTGTTATGGCAAATGTGTTTCATTTATTTTCAATCTTTCTCACCCTACGCTAAATCTTAAGTTGCTTTAAAAACTCATTTAAAGGAAGTAGTAATAGGCTTGTAGGAAGATTTAAGGAGCCCCCACCCCCACCCCACAATCAGGCATCTCACTCCAGGTCCAATGCCAGTTCTCAGTAGCCCTGGCTGCCATTGTCGCTGCAGAATAAACAGTGTCTGCATTGTGGAGAAAATGGGGCTTCCTCTCCTGCCCCATCTGTTATTCTGTCTCTGCATTTCCCTTTCCTGCAACCATTAGCATGTGGTTAGGAGGAGCTGGGTCTTAGGACACATTAATGGACTCATTTGGAATCTGCTGGAATTAAATTGCCTTTCTTTGGCTATTAGCAAGGCCAGCCTAAGAGATGCATCTGAGGCTGAAAACACCACAAACACCTCTCCCTCTTCCCCGACAGTAAAAATGCAATAATCATAAATTAAATAGATAGCAGTTGGCTACATTTTTATGAGACCAAACATCAGCTGCCTGGACTGGCTGCCTCACTCTACTGGCTGGTAGGGCTGTCTCTGTGATATGGGTAGAACAATTTCTGCAAAGGATTACTTTGGTTTAAAAGTAATTCAACATTCATTCCCAAAGGCTTGTGCCCGACAGCAATGCTCTGAGCTTCTGCAAATGCCCAGTGCATCCTAAGGAAAGAATAAGCATTTTCTTTTACCTTTTGAACTTTTGCGATGCAAAATTGCACACCTTTCCCTAGATAATTAGGGCATCACGACATGCTTTGATGGCAGAGTACATTTTCTGCCTCTTGTTGAATGCTATCCTACCCAGCTTTGTTGCTTAAAGCCATTTTCCAATTAGTATAAATGATGTGCCCATTGGTTTAAAAGCACAGCTAATGGAAAATGCACTACAGATATTAAAAATATTATTCTGTCAGTTGAATTAACTAGTATATGTATTAACACATTTACTTGGGTTGGGTTTTGCTATTTCTATTTCTGAGCCCAATTTTTGTGGCGGGGGGAGGGACTGTTGTAGTTATCAAAATGCTGAATGAAGGTTGTTGGTTTAAAGACAAGTGTATTTCAGGAACATCTGCAAGTAATCACTGGTAACCCAAAATAATTAAAAGAGGTAACTACAAAATGGTTGGAGTAAACCTAATCAGAACAAATTTAGCCAGGTTTAAAAATTATTCTAGTTTAATAGTGGATAAGTATGGAAATTTCTTTCTAAGTCGCTCGTGTTCACCCTGCCCCTTTATTTTATCTGGGGAAAGCATGCATGAAACATGTATGATCAGTGCAAATGAAGTGATTGTGTTCTTGAAATATACTCAGAGTCGAGAGTGGATTTCATGCTCTTTATTCAGCTCATAGGGGTGAGGAGGAATAGAAGTTCCCCCAGAATGTCTGCTTTATATACGTTATTTACACAAGGGGCCCCATGTGATTGGCTAATTCCGGGATTCTCCTGTAGGCCAATCAGCTTGCGGATTCACTTCCACCTGGAGCTGGATTGGGTAGCTCCTGTGGACCAATCAGACTGCTGCATTCTGAATCCTATTGTTCTAGGACCAACCAGACTGCTGCATTTAGGATCCTATTCAACTCAGTACATAACAGTTCTCTTTACTAGAACTGCTTGTCCAATAAAGCATAACAAAACATTGATGCAGAGATGCCAACAACTTTCTTTGCCACATTCTTTTTCATTATGGAACTCTCAGGAATCTCCAGTGCAGTCACTAACCAGCCTCTAGCTTTAGCAAGGTTGTTGCACTACACACTGTGGGATTATTTTTGTTACCCTTAGAAGTCAAACAGGATTTTTCAAGGCACCACTAGAGGCAGAGAGAGAAGACCTGACTTGAGTGTGCCACACATTTCTTTCAGAGAGTGCTCAACTGAGAGTGCTCCGCCCACATGGAAATCACAAATTCTTACTTAGAATCATAGAATTGTTGAACAGGACCTCAGTGGTAATCTAGTCCAATCACCTCACCCTCCACTTGTATTTCTCTACTTAAATTCCCTCCACCATAAGTGGCTAAACTTTTTCTTTTAAGATGCTGTTATACATGCTGTAATGTATTGTGTAGTTTGTTTTGAATGGAGGCATTGACCAACTCCGACACAGAACAGCACTGACCAGGTGGCTGGGTGGAAGGAGGCAAAACCTAGGGATGGTGCTGCTGGCTTTTATGCCTTGCTGGCCATGAGGGCATGCGTACAGCCAATGTCCTCTTGGCCTGTGACACACACACACACACACACACACGGAGAAGCCACTGATTGGCCCATTTGAGATGCAGAAGCCGGCGGGAACTTGAGTCAGATTTCCAGGCAGCCACGGGAATTCTCCTAATAGCTGCCTGGCCATGTGCGCTCCATTTTCACTGCCCAGAGATGGCTGCTGAATGTGAGAGGCCACAATAGGCGCCCACCCAGGAAGGGGTAAGTGTCCATTTTGGGGTATCGGTGCTACTTTGCGCCTGAATATTTACCTCAGTGGTGCAAACAAAAATGATGGTCACAATAACGCATCTTGTTTCAATTTCTAAGCAAAGGAAATGATTAAAATGGGAATATATCTGCATTCTTAGATCTAGTTGGATGGGGCTACTTGACACAAGGCTTCAGTTTCTGATTGGAACACGGGCGTAAAAGCTTACGAACACACGCGTACATATGTAATTGTGTTGTGTGTGTGTGTATGTATAAATTTTCCCTTGACGCTTGTTATTACCTATAAAGTGTTGTAATTATCAGATTGCAGAAAACTGTTATTCATTATTTATTAACATTGATTCTTTACATAAAAGTCACTCAATTCATAACCACAGATTACCTCAGAAAATGCTGTTTACTGCAGTTCTTCTGTGTTAAGGAAATGAAGTACTTAATTATTAAAGAATTGTACTGGTGTTTTCTGTTAATAAATTCTGAAGGAGGCATGAAATAGAGAAGAGAATTAGCCACAGAGTAAAAACCCACAAACGTTTAGGCTGCTAATACTGATTTGGCAGGCCAAAGGAAACTGGCCCCTTGAACCAGTGCTCTCTATAAGCTTTAAAATAAACAATGTTTGCCTTTGAACTCTTTTCACTGATGTGTGACTCAAGAAAGATTCAAATAAGTATGGAAATGATTAGAAGGACCCAAAATGTTTTGGAAGAACCCAAAGTGTGTTGTGAATACAAGTCTACTTTATACAGCAGTTTCTGAGGCTGAGTTCTTCCAAGTAGCACATGGGGAGGGAAATCTGTTTCTGGACTGTAATAATAATAATACCGTATTTTTCGCTCCATAGGACGCACTTTTTCCCCTCCAAAAATGAAGGGGAAATGTGTGTGCGTCCTATGGAGCGATTGCAGGCTTCGCTGACGCCTGGAGAGCGAGAGGCATCGGTGCGCACCGACCCCTCTCGCTCTCCAGGCTTCAGGAAGCTATCCGCAAGCCTTGCAAGCCCGGTGGGAGTTCCCGCGGGCTCACAAGGCTTGCAGGCAGCAGCCTGCAGCCCCGGCGAGTGTCCGCAAGCCTTGCGCGCCCGGCAGGAGGTCCCGCCCGGCGCGCGAGGCTTGGGGCTGCAGCTTGTCGCCCGAAGCACGGGAGCCCTCCGGAGGGCTCCCCGTGCTTCGGGCGAGTGTCTGCAAGCCTTGCGCGCCCGGCAGGAGGTCCCGCCCGGCGCGCGAGGCTTGGGGCTGCAGCTTGTCGCCCGAAGCACGGGGAGCCCTCCGGAGGGCTCCCGTGCTTGGGCGAGTGTCCGCAGCCTTGCGCGCCCGGCAGGAGGTCCCGCCCGGCGCGCGAGGCTTGGGGCTGCAGCAGTCGCCCGAAGCACGGGAGCCCTCCGGAGGGCTCCCGTGCTCGGGCGAGTGTCCGCAAGCGGTGCGCACCCGGCAGGAGGTCCCACCGAGTGTGCGAGGCTCGGGGCGGCAGCCTGTCGCCCGAAAGCCTTGCGCGCCCGGCAGGAGGTCCCGCCCGCGCGCAAGGCTTGGGGCTGCAGCATGTCGCCCGAAGCACGGGAGCCCTCCGGAGGGCTCCCGTGCTTCGGGCGAGTGTCTGCAAGCCTTGCGCGCCCGGCAGGAGGTCCCGCCGAGCGCGCAAGGCTTGAGGCGGCAGCCGCGGCGGGGGGGGGATTTTTTTTATTCAATTACCCCCCCCAAAAACGAGGTGCGTCCTATGGACCGGTGCGTCCTATAGAACGAAAAATACGGTAATAATAATAATAATAATAATAATAATAATAATAATAATAATAAATTTTATTTATATCCCGCCCTCCCCAGCCGAAGCCGGGCTCAGGGCGGCTAACAACAATAAAACAGTACAAAAGTACAGCACAAACAACACTCTAAAATCATTCATTATAAAATTAATTAATTCAAGCCACTGGCAACCATTGGGCCAGAGCTCCGCGAAGATTGCCGAGGGAGGGAGTCAGGCTGTGCCCTGGCCAAAGGCCTGGTGGAACAGCTCTGTCTTGCAGGCCCTGCGGAAAGATGTCAAGTCCCGCAGGGCCCTGGTCTCTTGTGACAGAGTGTTCCACCAGATTGGAGCCACAGCCGAAAAAGCCCTGGCTCTAGTTGAGGCCAGCCTAACCTCTCTGAGGCCTGGGACCTTCAGGATGTTTTTATTTGCAGACCGTAGGTTCCTCTGTGGGGCATACCAGGAGAGGCGGTCCCGTAGGTACGAGGGTCCTAGGCCGTATAGGGCTTTAAAGGTTAAAACCAGCACCTTAAACCTGATCCTGTACTCCACCGGGAGCCAGTGCAGCTGGTATAGCACCGGGTGAATGTGATCTCGCAGCGAAGACCCCGTAAGGAGTCTCGCTGCAGCATTCTGCACCCGCTGGAGTTTCTGGGTCAGTCTCAAGGGCAGCCCCACGTAGAGCGAGTTACAATAATCCAGTCTGGAGGTGACCGTCGCATGGATCACAGTGGCTAGGTCAGGGCGAGAGAGGTAAGGAGTCAACTGCTTAGCTTGGCGGAGATGTACCACTTCTGAGTGTGAGCGAGTCAAACAAGACGGTGCAATCTACTCAGAAGTCAACTCCCTTACTTTCAATGAGATTTACTACTGTGTAGAGGGATGTAAGGAGGGAGCAGTTTGTGTCCCTTACTGTGATTGTTGCAAACAGCACTGTTACCACTCTACTATAGTTTAGCATTTGCTAAAACCTATGTTAGTCATCTCATTACCTGCTAAGATTGAAATTAACTTAATTGTGTCATTAATTTCAGTGCATTTCAGTGGAAAGGAACCCTCAAAAACAATGCAGAAAATGATAACCACTTGTATAATATTTGTAGATTTAAAAACCAACAAAAGTATGGTTACCAGATGTCCCCGTTTCCCAGGGACAGTCCCCAGATTTACAAATCAGTTCCCAGACAAAATCCGTCCCCAGAATGTCCCCGGTTTTCATTTAATGTTCCTGGATTTATATTTTAGGTGTTATAGATTTATTAGTAGGGAATGAATGTTGGTTGATAGGTTCAATGGCACAAGACACATCATATGGGGACTTCTGGTGAGGCAAAATGGCGGGCACCATGGCAGCGAGCAGCTCCTGAAGCCAGCCAGAGCCAACTGCGCTACCAGGCTGGCTCCGGGCTGCTGAGATTTCCACTGCTGCTGCCACTGCTGAGGGGGAACCAGGGACGCCCAGTGCGTCAACTGGGGGAACCGCTGACACACACATCCCATGACCCAAATCGAGCTGGGAGCAAGAGTGCTCGGCTACCCGGCCAACTGCCCAGCGGCTCTCTGGGGCCAGGAAAACCCTGGAGCCGATGCAGGGAGAAAGGGGAGAGGAGAAGGAGAAGGAAGAGAGAGAAAGAGGAAGAAGAAAAAAGAGGGGAGCCCAGACCTTGCTGTGCCACTGCCGTCGCCGCTGAGGAGAAGTAGGAAAGCACTGGGAGGGCAAGGACACGTGGCAGAGCCCAGGCCTGACCCAAACCTACTCCACAGCGGCTAGCACTCCAAGAGAGCAAGCCGGGGCCCAGAGGAAGGCCATGCGAGAGAGGAGACCACAGAAGAGAATATATTACTTCTTCTTCTTCTTCTTCTTCTTCTTCTTCTTCTTCTTCTTCTTTTTAAAAAAAACTTTTTAAAATAACTTTTCCCCCCTCTTTTCAAAAAAAAAAAAGGGTCCCCGGATACTTTGAAAAAAATCTGATAACCTTAAACAAAAGTCAATACCGCCTGTGCAATTTCCATTTCTGACCTCAGAAGAAACATGCAGATTGCTCCAATTTCCACTTCCATTTCTGTTTCTGATGAAATTCTCAGACATCCCTACTCCCAAGTAAGTGGCTGTAAGATTGCTGTCCGAATGCTCCTTTGTACGAAAGAAAGTTTCCTGGGCCTAGAAAACGAGGTGTTGGGGAGAATTCTAGACTAGCTTTTCCCCAACACACAAATTTTCAGGGGTCAGGAATGAGGAGGGAGGGCTATAGAAGAAGATGCACTCATGTACTTGGAGCCTAAAGTGATACAAACCAGAATAAATTCAGCACAGACTGCAAGTTTGGTCAGAAATGTGAAGGTTTTTCAAAATGATCTTCAATGACCAGTGTATGAATATGTATTCTCTGCAGGAAGGTAAATGGTTTACAGGGTGAGGGGCAGTGGGAGGGGTTGACTGAAAGGCAATAATGAAGAAGTTTCTTTTTCTGGCCATCAACTTGCATATTGCCGATTTTGTAGCATGAATGTGCACCATATTCTTATCATAGTCTTGCAAAGCTGGCTTGCAAATAAAGTGAAGAAAATTGCAACAGCAGAAGCAAATGCTCTTTCTGTGGTTTTTCTGTCATCGTCCATTTCCCCAGTCATTTGCAAAGTGAGCAAAGGATGCCCTTTCCTCACACCATTACACAGTGCTATCAGTCTTCACTACTGCATTGTCTACATTTGTGGAAGCTTAGGGCAAATTGCATAGCAATTGAGATGAACATTATAATAAACCTTCACTTATAAAACAGCTTTTCTGGGAATTGATTTATTTATCCCAACTCTATATATGGGCAAATTTGTGGATCAGCTGTTCTTACTGATTTTCCTCTGATAACAATAATACTAAGGCTGCATTCCTATGGGAATTTGCTTGAGTTTATCCTTTATTTCTGGGGTTTATTTCTGAATAAGGAGACATGTGATTCGGCTGCATAGCTCTCTTAGATCAGATCAGATCAAATCAACTCAGACAAAAGAAAGATTATTTAAACTTTGGTAGAATGTTGAAGCGTGACAAGCTCTTTCATGCATAAATAGAATTAAGGCATGAGCCAGTAGGAAGTTCTTTTATACAAGCTGCACCACGGGAGTGGTGCAAGAATGCACATTCATTTAAATGGTTCTTGGGCACGAGAACTCTGCCACTGCTTAGACTTTCCTCACCAAAACTAATACCATACATTTAGCACACATGATTTTTCCTCAAATAGTCAGAGAACCGTAATTTATTGAGAATGCTGAGAATCATAGGTGCCAACTACCTGGGGCTCTGGGTGCCTGAGCACCCACAAAATTCCCCATGAAGGGGCCAGGCAGCCACAAATTTCAGTGCCAGTACCATGCATGCTGCGTGACACCCACGGCCCCAGGCACCCACAGTCATGGGGCCAAGTTGGTACTCCTGCTGAGAATTATAGCACTGTTGATGGGTAAACTATAGATTCCATGATTCTTTAGGGGTAAGTTATGTGTTTTAAAGGTGCTTCAGATTAGCTACTGTGTGTGTGTACAAATTGTAGAACACCCTGTTTTTAAAAAAATATAAGATCACTTCCCGGGGGTGGGGGGGGTGGGAATCATGACTTACAGAGGAGGGGGAAAACATATTTGTGACTTTCTCTTAGTACATTCTGATCAATAACAAAGGCATCTGAGGGTCTTGTAGTCCAGAAAAAGATTTGCCATGCAGCTGCAGAAAATACCACCCAGAGACTAATGGAGTGTCAGAGAGTTTAATTAGATACTGAGGTAGGAGTTATAGGCATCATTATGTACAACAGCACAGCCTGCAACTTAGAAAATCCTCATATTGTTAAAGAGTTGGTTAATATTGAACAAGCACTTCTGTGTTTCCTCTGCTAAAGAAACCAGATCATTGTTTTCGTGCAATTGGAAGGGCAACATTCATTTATATCTAGTAGGAAAGACTGTATCTTGCTGAAGCTCAGCCAGATTTCAAACCCTTTGGCCCCATTCCAATTCTTAAATCCCACTGAAATCATTACTTATGAGTCATGACTAATTGGGCTTAAGTGCAACTAATCTAAATTGGATTGGGGCCATTGGCTTGAATCCTAATGTTTAGCTATGTGAATAGAAAGAAATTCTGTTCATGGAAGAAATGTTGCACTTATGGAAAGACACCTTCCATTTGTCTCTTTTTCTGTTCATGGAGGAAAAAGTTAGAATCCAAGCTGTCGAGGGAACCCAGGTTGGGGCTAAAAGGTGGTGTGTAATAAAAATAAAACAATAAGTATATAGGAGCATAAACAAGAATCAGTGGAAACAATGGCAGCAGTTCAACTGAAGTTAGTTGCACTTAACGCCCAATTTATTGTGATGAAGTATTTCAGCAGAAGTTAATATCTGAATTAAGGCCAGTAGGTTTGAAATCTAGTTCAAGTTCGGCAAGCTATCTGGAGAAAGGTCTTTCCTACATTGTATAGGTAAAAGGTACCTTTCCAATTTCATGAAATGATCTGATCTCTGGACTTTCTTTAGCAGAGGTAAAAAAAGTTTTTTAAAAACAAAACCTTATACAACAGCAAAGGCACTCCATAAAACAGCAGAAATGAACATTTTCCATTTACAGATGGAAGAGGAATCAATTTTAAATGGATTTATATATGGCAAATGAGAGCTTTGTTCCCATCAGACCACCTCTCACATTGAGTACCTGCTTACGTCTGAGCCACTCATGCAGTGTCAGGGATTTTGTTTTAAAGCCCAAATAATTATATACAAACAATACATATCTGTGCAATACATATAAAAGAGTCAAGCCCTATGTTGTACCATATTTCTGTAGCATCAATATATATTAATACATACATATTTTATACACTTAAATGCATTACTATGCATCTCTTTGTGTGCTGGTTACTTTAGCAAACCTGGAATATATGTATTTATAATATACATTTAATATTATAAGTATAATGTATTTAATATAAGAGAATTGTACACTTTCTTAGCGTATTTAAAGTGGCAGGGAATTTTTTAAAAAAATCATACAGCTAGGCTGCTATGGGTGAATGATTCAACCAGCATGTTGCTGTGCTCCCTGGTTAGCTGCTCTGCTGTACACTTCTTTCATGTTTAAAAAATCCTGCATATAGTGATCTAGCACTTTAGGAATAAATGCTCTCTTCCTGCACCCAAATTTTCTATGGAGGTGTTTTTTTTTTGTGGTGGGATGTTCAAACATGCAGTCCCCTCAAGTGATACTTGCCAAGCAAGACTGTGCTGTGACAATTCTGAAAGTATTCTCAGGACATGTCACTTACCATTCGAGTGGCCTTTTAAAACTCTTCCATACCCTCCAGCATTTCTCCAATGAAAATAGGGACGTCCTATTCTATTATTTATTATTATTATTATTATTATTATTACCCCACCCATCTGACTGGGTTGCCCCAGACACTCTTGCCATCTTCCAACATACATAAAAACATAATAAAACATTAAACATTTAAAAACTCCCCTATACAGGGCTGCCTTCAGATGTCTTCTAAAGGTTGTGCTGTACAGTGGTACCTCGGGTTACATACACTTCAGGTTACAGACTCCGCCAACCCAGAAATAGTGCTTCAGGTTAAGAACTTTGCTTCAGGATGAGAACAGAAATCGTGCAGCAGCGGTGCAGCAGCAGCAGGAGGCCCCATTAGCCAAAGTGATGCTTCAGGTTAAGAACAGTTTCAGGTTAAGTACGAACCTCAGGAATGAATTAAGTACTTAACCTGAGGTAGCACTGCATAGTTATCTCCTTGGCTTGTGGGTCATATAACTCCGTACTCGCCAACATTTCTCCAATGAAAGTAGGGATGTCCTAAGAAAAAGCAGGATATTCCAGGATCAAATCAGAAACCAGGACAGCTTCTGTAAATCCAGGACAGTCCTTGGAATATAGTGACAAGTGGAGGCTCTGCTCTTCCTTCCAGATCCTCGAGCCTCTTTATCTGTCAGAAGTCACACTTTGGATTCAGGAGTAATCATGTACAGACCCAGTAATTAATAATGTCCTGAATTCAGTTTTGCAAACTGAAATGAAGCACTGTGTATGAATGATTGTTACTAAACATGGAAGTAATATTTTATTAATCAACATTAATGTTTCAGCTCTTATGGACCAACTAAATTTGGAATTAAATGGCATTTCCATGAAAAAGAAATATCTGTGCGGTTGGAGTATGCATTCTTAGTAGGAAGTTTAAGAGAGTTGCTTCTGTCCTGTTAGACAATTGGAAATAAATATTTCCATGTGATTTATGTAACTAAACAACACATTCTGGGCAGCATCAAGCTAGAGAATAAACAGTTTACATTAACATTTGAATAATGAATTAATCTGACAAAATCAATGTTTGTGGACATTCTGGGAAGAAAGAGAGGCGATTAAATTAATCCTATAAATTTTTCATGATGAAATATACTCAGCATTATGACGTTCAGTATTTGCTGGGTTTCTGAGTAGTAGAACCAAAATATTGACCTAAGCATGCATGGCTGGGAAACTCATAAATAGTAGCAGCTCAAGAAGGAATTAAATGAGAGAAAGTGAAAGAAGAAATAGTGCACAGTTTAAAAATGGAACTTGAATCAAGTGGATGTTGAATCTCAATCCTTCACTGCCTCTGATGCACATTTAAAATTTCACAGAGGCTAGAAAGTAAATGGAGAAATTTGCTTTTGATGCAAGATCTTTCCTGAACAAGAGTACAATACAAGCCTTTCTATTTTGTTCTAACCCCCTCTCTCTGTTTATAGTGGTTCATCAGGGCTTTTATCCATAGCGCTAATCCAGTTTTGCAACCCGGTTCATAAAACCACACACCCTGTTAAATGCTAGTTCAGTTATTAGTCTTGTCTCTCCATGCTTCAAGCAGGTTATTTTGACTCGGAAAAAAACATCCTGCAAATTATATATATATATATATATATATATATATATATATATATATATATAATTTTCAAGTTACCCCACTGCTGCTGGGAATGAAGGTTAGACTGAAAATTGTCAGTAGTTGCTCTCCATAGCAAGCTATCCCCTAATTCAAACTAAAGCATATTGCAGGTCAGGGTTTTTTTCACAGCTCATCTCAGAAATGAAAAAGGTTCCTTCAAGGAACTTCCTTGTAACAATATAATTTTAAAATTGCCACTGCTGCTCCCTCTGCTGTAAGGGGGATGCTGACAAAGATGCTTAGAAAGTTGAGGTAATTTTATCTGTTTCAGTGTTTTAGCTTTTGGATGTTGCAAATTTTTCTTGATTTTACTGTTTAATCTTTTATAAACCACTGAGTTGTTTTTTGTTTTGTTTTTTACAATCAAGCCGTGAAATAAATAATAAATAAATAAAATTTTCTCCCATAGGCCCCCTCTGACATCAGAATCCTACCCCCACCTGATGGGGGGGGCGGTTTACAGCTGTAGCACCACCACAGTCTTACACACAGGAGATTGCAAGCCACCCAAAATCACTTTGTGGGCAATATTAAACTGGCAGCTTCCCACTTGCCTGCCGCTGCTGCCTAATAAAGGCAGAGTTCTGGACAAAGGGTAGGAGGATGAGTCCACTCCAGGGGTCGTGCTGGTGGATAGGGCCCATGGCCTTGTCAAATCCCAGAGGATGCCAGTGTATTATTGCTGTACCAGCTGTCTGCTCTTATATATTGTTTTTGTCCTGCCATATGATTCGCAACACTTTGCAAAGTTTCTGATTTGGAATACACTTTGAACTCCTGCACAGCAACAAACCATTTCAATATGGATTTTCTTTCGTCTAATCTTACTTTTCCACTGAAACAGATTGCTTCTTTGATTTAAGTAAAAACATTGGACTAAACTTATCTGTTTTATTTGGATAGCTTTCCCTAGTACATTTTCCTATTTTATTTCCCCTGGAGAATTAAATCTGATAAAGATAGCTATAGGTATAGGCATCCATAATTATTTTCTACTTGTGGCTGAAAACTGAGAAACAGATTCCTAGGCTGCAACCCTATGCACGTCTACAAGTCCCACTGAGCACAGGTGTACTCAGTACTATTTTTATAGAAAAAAAGGTGCTGGAACTCATCGTGAACATCTCCCTTGTTCTCTTATAATGGCATTGGCACCTGCCTGAGAGGTGCTGGAATTCAGTTCCGCAGAGTTCCCACGAAAAGAAAAGTCTTGGGTGTACTTAATTCTGAATAAGCATGTATAGGATTGCATAGGGATGGAAGGGCTTACGGAAGGGACCAATTCTCATTTTCTCAATCTTAAATTCAGTTTGGGTGGACTTGAAGTTGTTGGCTTTCGATATTCAAGAGTTCCATCTCCTGATCAGTACAGACAATTCGTGAAGACCTACGTGACCAGACAGGGTCTCTGCTAAAAGGCTCTGGCTGATTCAAATGGGCCTATCAGGCGAGGTTTTAGATGCTTTCAGACCCTCCAAGTGTCCATATTTTCCAGGGCTATCCTGGTTTCTGATTTGATCCTGGAATGTCCCACTTTTCCTTAAGATGTCCCTATTTTCATTGGAGAAATGTTGGAGGGTACGTAGTTATCCGACCCCTGAACCATCTGAATGAAATCCTGTATAGGGAAGGGTATTTAAAAAAAAGAGTTTAATGTTTTATTATGTTTTTATGTATGTTAGAGGCTGCCCAGAGTGGCTGGGGCAACCCAGTAAGATGTGTGGGGTATAAATCGTAAAATTATCATTATGGAATGGGACGTCCCTATTTTCATCAGATAAATGTTGGAGGGTATGCACTTTGCTTCCCTCAAAGTGGGCTTCTGCCAACTTGGTACACAACATCACTTGGTGGAGTTACTTTTTTAAAAAGTTAATGACATCCATGGGGTTTTCTCCAAGAGAGGTGAATAGGAGAATGAGTTGCAGCACCATTAAAATACCAGCTGCCATTTTAAGCAGTATTCTAGATAGCTTGGGTGGCTCAAATTTGTCTCCCACATTGTCTCTTCATGAAAGGTGTGCCCTTGGCTTCTATCCAGGTGCTGCACATTTCTCTCTTTTTTAAAAATGATATTTATTGAGATTTCAAAAACAAAAAATTACATAAAAGACAATGAAAAATATAGAGAAAAAAGAGAAAAAACATACAAAATGCAAAGTATATATAAAAAAAAGTATAGAAAGAACACTTAGAAACAAATTTATCCTTTCGTATCTTACATTTCATTTCCTTGCTTTCCTGACCTCCTCTCACCTCCCTTTTTTGTATTCCGGTTCAATTGGTTAATTCAGCAATTCCTTTCCCTCTTTGTTTTTGTCTTAGTCCTTTAACTTAATATATTATAGCTTTAAATTCTCACCTATTAACCAATCATTTTTTCATACACCTTTATGACATTGCTGCTAGAACCACTTAATTTCATTCTGACATCATTCTAACATTCATTAATTTTACAATTTTTCTGTAAATAGTATTTAAATTTCTTCCAATCTTCTTCCACCGACTCTTCACCCTGGTCTCGGATTCTGCCCGTCATTTCCACCAATTCCATGTAGTCCATCACCTTCATCTGCCATTCTTCCAGAGTGGGTAGATCTTGTGTCTTCCAATACTTTGCAATAAGTATTCTTGCTGCTGTTGTAGCATACATAAAGAAAGTTCTGTCCTTCTTTGGCACCATTTGGCTGACCATGCCCAGGAGAAAGGCCTCTGGTTTCTTCAGAAAGGTATATTTAAATACCCTTTTCATTTCATTATAAATCATCTCCCAGAAAGCCTTAATCCTTGGGCACGTCCACCAAAGGTGAAAGAATGTACCTTCAGTTTCTTTACATTTCCAACATTTATTGTCGGGCAAATGATAGATTTTTGCAAGCTTGACTGGTGTCATGTACCACCTGTATATCATTTTCATAATATTCTCTCTTAAGGCATTACATGCCGTGGTTCCTGTTCTGTAGGTGGTATCACCTTCTCCAGGCGGTCTCTTAATTCAAAAGGTAGTTTTGGTATGTCTAAAGTTCCTCTTTCTAGTATTCCTGGCTCTTCTCCAGCTTCTTTCTGCAGGTCTTCACCGTGGTCTCTCAAAAATCTTGCTTTGTCGTCCTCTGATCTTATTTTTATCTTTCTTCCTTTGAAGCTAAAAGAAAGGCCTTGGGGACTTCCCACCTAAAGATGATTTTGTTGTTTCTCAGCAGGGCAACCAAATCTCTATAATTGGACCTAAGGTCTAGAAGATATTTCGGAATGTCCTTAAATATCTCCACTTTTGACTGATGTATTACCAAAGTCTTCTGGAAGTGCAGACTCAAGATTTTATCTCTCTCCTCTTTTGTTCGGAGGGTGATCAAACAGTCTCTCACCCTGTTCTTCTTCCCTCCTCTTCCAAGCCTAAAAGCACTCACTATCTTGAAGTTATCCTTCTCCAAATCTGGGTTCCAAAAGTCTGCAAGTTCCTGCGTAAGAAAATCAATCAAGTTGTCTTTCTCAAGTTCAGGTACAGCCCTGATTCTTAAATTCGTTTGCTTCTCTTTCAATTCAATCATAGACAGTATTGACCTATGGTCTTCCAATTGCTTGTGTATCGGTGGTAACTTCTCTTCTACAGCAACTGCTATTTCCTTTGCTTCTTCAGCTGTCTTTCGGGTCAAAGTAGATTCCTGTAGTAATTTCTCAATAGTTTCTGTGTTAGTATTTACCTTCTGTCCCAAATTGTTAATGCTTGTGGTATTTTGATCAATTTTATTTGATGCTTCAGCTACTTGTTTACTTAATTTTTCCAAAGATTCATTAATTTTGCCAAGTGCCTGAGCTAAAACATCTTCGGATGCCATTCCTTTGGGTTTAGATTGTGCCAATGCAGCTCCTGTTGGTAAACCAGGAGGGCCAGATGTTGAAGCTCTTCGCTGCAGCCCAACATCTGTGTGTAACACTCTACCAGACCTCGTTGCTTTTTCCTGAAGCAAATCTATCTTCTCTTTTCCATTTGCCATAACAGTCTAGATAATACTCAAGGTCAGTCCCACGATCAGAGTTTGTTATGAAGTGGAAAATTCCCCTGGCCCAGTTGTTATTGTAGCAATCTCAAGCTTCCTCTAGGGGGACACAATAACAGGCAACAGTTGTTACTTTAAAATAAATGTCCTTTTTCTTTTAATCCCCCAGCTCACAAAATAGACAACAGTTTTAAATTCAGTTATTTTCCAGTTACTTTGAAACCAGGGGAAACCAGCCAGAAATATTGTATCTCACTTGTATCAGACTTGCGGAGTTAGCTGTCAAAAAGTACTTTCACCAACAGCGCATTTCACAGTACGGCATTCTATTTTTCATTGGCAGTCCGTTCCCAGGTTTAAGCGGTGGATTCTTAGCTTCCTTTTCTCTCTTTTTACAGGAAAATACAGTTCAAACCTTTCCCCCCTCCTCTCCTGCAATCAAGGGGGGAAATCGCTTGTTTTAGATGATAGAATTATAGTCTTTTTCAAGCGTCTTTCAAGGTTTTAGCTTACAAGTTCATTGCTTTCCTCTATTTACAAAGAACGGAAGGCAGACTTCCTGTTTATGCCTCTCCGCTTCGGTATCCAATTACTTCTTTTTTCTCTCTCCTTTATTTCCCGAATTAACCTACTCACGGATTGTTGTTTTGTAGTCCAATTGTCACAGGAAAAAGGTAGCACTCTCCGGTAACGGCTATGCGGCTTCGCTCCATGGAAGAAGCAGTTGACTCACAGCACCGCGCCGCTTCCCCGCTTCATTCCGGAACCCGTAATCGGGCTCCTTTGCAAGTTGGGGGGGGCGCAAAAGGTGCCCGCCGAGTCCCACGGTCACAGGCTTCACCCGCCTGTGATTTTTGAAGGGTCCCCACTTCACCGTAGCGGTGCAGACCCGATTCCCGCAGAGCCAGTCCCCTCCGAGTCAGAGGGAATCCGCCATTACCGATGGCGCCACCCTGGAAGTCAGGTGCTGCACATTTCTCAGATGGATCTTGAATTGGGTCCTCACCACACTCTGCTTGCATTTGAGTGGGAATTTCTCCTAATAAATACAGGATATGCTCAACTCTTTCCCACTGAAATAACTGTGATTTAAAGGCGATAAACTTTGGCTGAATCAGGCCCAAGTGTCTTTAAATACTAAGAACAAAGGATTGTATTCACAGAATAGTAAAATTGTAGAGTTGGAAGGGACCCTGATGATCATCTAGTCCAACCCCCTGCAATGCAGGAATCTCAGCTAATGCATCCATGACAGATGGCCATCTGACCTCAGTTTAAAAATCTCCAAGGGTGGAGAGTCCACCACCTCCAAGGAAGTATGTTCCACTGTTGAACAGCTCTTACTGTCAGAAAGTTTTTCCTGATGTTTATTTGGACTCTCAGTCTCCTCTTATCCCGGGGCTATACATACCCAGCTCCCTCAGCTGTTCCTCATAAGGCTTGATCCTTGATCATCTTGGTCACCTTCTTCTGCACACATTCCTGCTTGTCAATATCCTTCTTAAAGTGTGGTCCCCAGAACTGGACACAGTACTCCAGGTGTGGCCTGACCAAGGTAGAATAGAGTTGGACAACAACAAATTACTTCCTTAGATCTGGACACTATACTTCAGTTGATGCACCCTAGAATAACATTAGCTCCCCCCCCCCCCGCTGCATCACACTGTTGACTCGTGTTAAGCTTGTGGTCTACTGAGATCCCTCAATCATTTTCACATTTACTACTGTCGAGTCAGATGTCCCCCATCTTATATTTCTGCAGCTGGTTCTTTCTACCTAAGTGTAGAACCTGCTATTTGTCCTTATTGAATTCATTATGTTAGTTTGTGCCCAATTCTCCAATCTGTTAAGGTCATCTTGAATCCTGATTCTGTCTTCGGCATTATCTACCACTCCCAACTTGGTGTGATCTGCATATTTGATGAGCATCCTCTCAATTTCTTCATCCAAGATGTTTATAAAGATGTTGAACAACAACAGGCCAAGGACAGAACTTTGTGGTACCCCATTTGTCACTTTTTTCCAGGGTGACCAAGAACCATTAGTGAGCACTCTTTTGGTTCAGTCGGTTAACCAACTACAAATCCCCCTGTTATCTCATCCAACCCACATATTACCAGCTTCTCTGCAAGCATATCATGGGGGATTTTGTCAAATTCCTTGCTGAAATCAAGATATACTATGTCCACAGCATTCCCCTGATCCACCAAGCTTGTAACGCTACCAAACTCTAGTCACTTAAATCCTACTCAGAATAGACCCACAGTAATTAATCAACCTAAACTAGTCATGTCCATTAATGTCAACGGATCTACTCTGCGTGGGACAAGCATTGACTACCACCCCAAAGTACTTATAATCCCTATTTCTGATGTATTTTGGTGCAGGCATTTGAAGTATTCCAACCTGAGTTTTGCTCAGTTTGGGCTAATATATTTAAGAAACATGACAACTCAAGATTTAACCATAGTTCATTCACAGAAGAATATGGTAGTGGCTTCTTGGCGGGGGGTGTCTCAGGATCCAGCCAAAGAAGGTTATGCTACTGCTCATGATAGATGCCTTTTCCTTAGTGTATGTTAGTTGCGGAAGTCTTAACATCACTCATACTGAGGAGGGCAACAGTACAGTACTAACTCCAGGCAACAGAAACAAACAAAAAAAAAATTTAAACTCAGGAAAGCTACTATCTCCAAGCTTTGCTCATATCTATTTAAGACCTATTACTGAGTATATGTTCAACTCAGCCCACTGTGATTTGATTGACATTTTCACAGTTCCTTCACTGGCAGTGAAAAACTAAAAGTAATTTCATGTTATAAGCAAGCCCTGTTTTCTCAAAATAACAATTTAATAAGAGAAGACCTACTCCTAATGTATATGACTGATATATACCATAATTGGAATACCTGGATTTTTTTTTAGAGAGAAAACTGCTGACATGGTAGGGGGAAAAGGACCATTAAGTAGTGATATAATTTATGATAATGGCTCATGTCATTTTTTGTGAATCATTGAGCCTATCCTGATTCACAGTTGTTTCTTTTTCCTAATTTTGATGCTCTTTCATCCCTACGTGTTTCACCTGCATAAGAGTTTGTAATCATTTTTGAAAAACTTGGATGTGTGTTTTGTCACATGAACTTTGGGCCATTTACTGATCACATTTTTATGCATGTAATTTTACATAATTTTATTATCACATGTGTCTGCAGAAAGGGGATTGTGGAAAGTGAAGCTAACGTAGCAGGATTTTTTTTTTAAAAAGGTTTTCAAACAAACATTTACTTGAACAAATACCATCCAGGTCACTGTAATCCCATGAATGCCCACAGAATCTTTTTCAGTGTGTGCTTGCTTGCTTTCATGAGGGCACAAAATATGTGATCCTTTGTGAACAGTTTGAAACACACAAATTTTGCGGACACCCCTAGTTAAGAGGCACGTCAAAAAACACCACCAATATTAATCAGAAAGGGCTGACCTCTGAGACCCCAGTCCAGCTCTAGCTCTGCTTAGTTAGACATGAGGGCATCTAGTGGCTCTGAAAACCATCCTCACCAAAGATGTATCAAGGCAAATCAAGAGGACCAGAGTGAGCTCCACAGTACTGCATGTAGGTACAAATCCATTTGTCCAACTTCGTTCACATAGGTTGGATATGTGGAAGCCTCGTTTTGCAGAAGGATATCTCTATGCCACAGTGAGAAAACTCTTTTTAGGGAGCAGTTTCTTGCTGTTTGTGTGGACCATGATAGCTGATACCTTCTAAAACCCATTGATCACAATTCCATGATTCCATGATAGCTCCTTACAACTTCAATTTGCTTGCCCAAGGCTGTGCTGAGGGTGGTAGGCTAGGTCACAAATAATGGCTAGTGACTCTAATTTGTACACACCATACTTCCCCGTTTCCTTGCACAGCAGAGCCAACTGTATCCAGCTATATCCAACTGCAACTTCTCCAGAGTGCTGATGTGGCAGTGCATTCATGAAGGCTGCAAAGCCAGGTCACAGTCACATGAAGAGGCATTGTTTTATCTTTGGGTTACCGTGTTGGTAACAAAACACATGTGGCACTGTGTAGTGGAGCAGAGGATTCACACTATTAGCGCTGGTATCATTTTGGCTGTGAAAGTTTGTATGGGTCTTCTGTAGGCTGACACTAATCCAAACGATTAGTAAAAAATAGCAAATTCACTCTTATTCATAATAGGTGTTGGAGAAAAGGTGTGCTGTTTTTTCCCTTGAAATGGTTTCAAGAGAGATAGAAAAGAGAAATCCAAGCTTGGATGAGGTTGCAATAGCCCATGGGGATAAATAATGCATGAGCCATGTGGGGGGGGGCAGATTTGGGCATTGCACAGGGTGCCACAAGATATTTGGGACACCAAGTTCTGCCGCAGATTTCAAATTCCAAATCTGAGTAGCAAGATAGGAAATCTGGGGAAATTTCAAATATTTGTGAATATTTGTCTCAGCCCTACTGTGTATCTGTACCTGACTTGCAAATAAATCCACAAAAGACACTAGCTCACATGCCTGCATATACCAATGTTTGTCATTTTGTATTTACCAGCCATGACTGGTATGCCAACTATGGCCATTCTTGGACAGGAATAGCCTCAAGCTTCAATTACTATGTGTGGGGCTGTCAAAATGCAATTTTATTTCACTTCAGTTTGGGCGATCTCTTAGTTAGATGGATACTATCAGCAATTTAAGAAAATGTTATCTAATTGGTTTCTGGCCACACACATTTGTTTAGTGTGTCTTAAAGAGAATATAGATAAATGCATATCTAATACTCCAGATCACTAAATGCAATGCTCAGTGCCTCTTGTATATGGCTGTCAATTCTGATGCCAATGTAGCATGATATTAAGCTCTTTCTAATCTTTGTCATCCCAGTCATGGGAAGTTTCATATGGCTTCTGTCACTTGTCAGAGGCCACATACAGGTCCTCATAACGGTGAGGATAAAGAGAGGCGTTATGCTCCAATAACCATCAGACTTGACAGTTATATACAGGAGACACGATTCCTGCAGTTTCTCATCTTTCATGAAAAGTATCTTGTCTCAAATGCTTCTGTGTCATACTGGCTTTACATTTGCTCATCAGTTTTTGGAGTGAGGTCTGTGATATCCAGTTTCAACATTAAGTTCAGCCCTCTTCACTTGTTAAAATTAGAGTAATGTAAACACATAAGAGGGAGCAGCAAGGATGGGGTCGCTAGTCGCCCAGAGTGGCTGAGGCAACCCAGTTAGATGGGCAGAGTACAAATAATAAAAATTGTTGTCATTGGTGTCATCTCCACCTTCCACTGTCACCATTTCTTTCACCTTCCAACTCACAGAAAGCAAAGGTTTGAAATGAGAAGCATTCTGCAGTTGTGCAGGCACCCTATGCCTTTTAGACTCTTGGGAAATTTGAAATGCATAGGAAGCCTCCCTGCTTCAAAACTTCAATTGCCACAAGCTGCGAGGTGACAAATGGAGGTGGAATGGGGCACTCACCACCCGTGTGTTTACTTCAACACCTGAAAAAGGCTTTTGAGTGAGAGTGCCTCAGGACATATGGTTAAAAGCCCACATGGTCACGCACATGAGAGCCTAGGTCAGCCTTTCACAACCTTGGGTCCCCAGATGTTGTTGAACTACAATTCCCACCATCCCTAGCTAGCAAGGCCAGAGCTCAGGGATGATGGGAGTTGTAGTCCAACAACATATGGAGATCCAAGGTTAAGAAACACTGGCCTAGGTGAAGGTAAGTCCAATAGCAATTGTGTGGCGGGGGACTTCCGGGTTGGTGCCTCCGGCAATGGCGGAGCTCCTCCGTTCGGGAGGAACTTGCTCCGTGAAAAACAGGGTCTGACCGCCACGGCGAAGGTGGAGACCCATTGAAATCATAAGCGGGAGAAGCTTGTGAACCTGGGATTCGGCTGGCACCTTTTGCGCCTCCCCTACTCGTGTGATAACCCTGTTTTGGGGATCCGGAGCGACGTGGGGTGAGTGGTGCGGTGCTTTGAATCGACTGCTTTTTTCACGGAGTGAAGCCGCATTGCTGTTGCCGGAGAGCGCTGACTTTTTCCTGTGGACAATTGGATTATAAACAACTACTCGTGAGTAAATCGGAAAATTGGATTTTTAAATACTTTAATTTGGCACTGAAGCGGGAGGTCATAAACAGGAAGTCCGCCTCCCGTTTTTGTAAATAGACTGAAGCAAAGACATTACAAGTTAAAGTCTTTAAAAGCTTTTGGCAAAGGATTAAATTTCCATCGGTTTAAAATACAAAACCCCCCTTGGAAGCAGGAGAAGAGGGGAAATTTTGGATCTAGTGAGCCTGCAGGAGAGAGTGAAAAATCAAATTACCACTGCTCTGAACCTGGGAACGGGCTGCCAGATGACGTTTGGAGAGAGTGCATTTGACAGAATGGATAAATAAGAGTAAGATACTGTTTCCATTGTCCTCCTCTGCGTTTAAAAAAGAGGAAAAGTAACTGAAAATTTATCTTTAATGCTTGAGTTGTGCTTGAAAGAATTGATACATGTGGAGACTGTTTCCCTCTAGAGGGAGCTTTTGAAACTGTTACAGGACTGTAACTGGGGGATTTCCAGCTGCAGATAAGGTTTCTGAGAACCAGAGAGTGACCTTGGACCATTTAAAAATGTTGACAGGAGAGGCCATTGTGACTGTTTTATGTAAGATAAGCTGTTCGCTGGGACAGCTTCACAAGAAGATGGATGACATGACTTTTAAAGTTGATAATTTGGAACAGAAAGTGACTAATTTGAGTCAAAAAGCGAACATCAACACAGAAATAATTCAGGACTTGGTACAGGAATCCATTTTGGCAGGACAAATGGTGGAGGAGAAGGAGAAGAAGGAGAATGCTGCTGTTGTTGAACATAAAGTTGAACATAAAGTAATACAAGTGAGATCTGTGGCTTTACAGAAGCAAATTGAGGACTATAAGTTGAGGCCTTTTATGATTGAATCTAGGAAAAGTCAGACTCTGAGGAATGGATCCCGGCTTGGACGAAAGAAGGAAAGTTGGAAAGATCCCTCTATGCAGGGATTAACTGACTTTTGGGACATGGACTCGGGCCTGGAGGAGATTGAAGTTTTGGGGGCCTTTGGACTTGGAGGAATCTTTAAATATGCCCTGAAATACTTTATGGACTGTAGCTTTAACTATGGAAATTTGGCTGATCTGTTCAGAAGGAAGAAAAGGATTGACAGGTTGGAGTTTCCCCGAGATTTGCTCTTTAGCATTAAAGAAAATGAAGAAGACCTGCAGAAGGGACTTGGAAAAGAGTTAAGAGCCTCGGACATAAGATCACCAGGTTGATGGACTTTATGGAGTTGACGGAAAGGACTGGCAGAATCCGAAACCAGGGAGAGGAGATGGTGGAAGAAGATTGGATAATTTATAGTTTATATATAGACTTACGGTAAAACTAATGAGTGATAGAAAAATGGTGGAATGATTTTTTATGGGCTTAGCAGAAATTTTATAAGGAGTTAAGTATATATAAGTATTTTAGTTTTAATGGAAAATAAGGTTAAAAATACGTTATTTACAATATGATAGAAAATGGAGAAAGATGGAAAGGATTTGCTGAAACAATTAAAAGAAGTGGAATACAAAAAGGGAGGTGAGAGGAGGTCGAGGAAACAAGGGAATGAAAGATAGAATACGGAAAAGAGATGATGTATGTTTTTAAATTGTTTTTGTTTTGTTTCATTTAGGGTTAAGGTTAGGGAGTGGGGTTTGTTTAGTTTAGTTTAATGTGTTTAGTTTTGAGTTTAGGTTGTGTTTTGCATTGTTTATATATTGTATTGTATTGTTTTTTTTCTTTTTGCTTTCCTTCTTTGTCTTTTTTCTGTTTTTTTTCTCTTCTTTTTTCTCTTTTTGTAATCTATAAAAGTAATAAACATTATTTTTTTTTTAAAAAAAGGAATTGTGTGGCGATGCCAATTATATGAACTGGTACTTATGCACTTGCATCTAGCATGACTGCAACTGGCTTTTTTTGGGGGGGGGAGCAGTCACAATTGTCCAAAAGAACAGTGTCCGTAGGTCATACCATTGCCTCCTTCAGTCTGTGTGATCCATGCTCTGACAAGTGATCAGCTGGGATATTGTGTCCTAGTTTTATGTATTTATTTGTATGTTGACAAATTTTTGTCACATATACTGCATTAATTCTGCCACCCAGTTCTTGTTATCTAAATTTGTTGTATTCCCTAGTGAGCTATAATTTTGGAGTACAAAAAACTAGCTCTGGTATATTGATGCGGAGCCCAAGAGAGTGGCAGTTGAAAGACCATTCTCTTGAGCCTACAAACATTCTGCAGTTGTTATTCTCTTCCTGTTTTTCAGATAATATGCATTTTAATATCAACTTCTAATCCTCTTCTCAGGTAAATGAATATAAAAAATATAAACAGAATGATAAATATTGTATGTCTCGTCTAAACTGTCAAATGTTACTGATAGTGAAACCTAGGCTACCAAATACTGAATATCAAATAATGTATTGATGTTCATTTTACTAATATGTATAGCCTTCTTTCCCTGAGAAATAAATCCAATAAATTAAAAAAAAATGTAGTATATAAAAAATAGACCTCCATCTGACACAGAGTGGCTGGACACTGCTGAAGTCCAAGATGAGAAGGTCAAAATGTTGGTTAGGCCAACAAAAAGGGCCTCTCTCCCATTCCATCTCCTCTAATAAGATGCATTGCTGATGGCCTTTCAGAGAGTCCAAGAGGAGAGGGGCTTGAATGAATAACATAGGCCAGGAATAGTCAACATGGTGCCCTCTACATGTTCTTGAATTCCAGCTCCCATCAGCCCCTTTCAGCTTGACCAGTGATCAGGAATGGCTGGAGTTGAAGACCACCAACATCGGAAGGCATAGACAGCCAAATATCAATCATTAGATATCAAATAGCATGGTTTACCAGGTATCACATGAGATGTGCAGATCAGAGTTACTGCCTCTACATGGATTTTACAGTGTTTACACAGGATTAATCATTTAAGTCGCTGGACAATTCCTGGGGTACTAATGAAGTGGCAATGGTTTTGTTTTTTAATCTTGCAAAGCCACCCTGTCATCAGCAAGGAATAGAGAATGAAGTTGATAATTTAGTATTCAGACCAAGCCTCTGGTGGACAGTAGATACTGATGGCGTTTAGCAGTACTTGTGCTTTTCAACAATGATTCGTCGTAAAACATTTGTCTCCTGACTCTGTTATCAAACATTCTTTGGCACTCTCTCTCACTCTCTCTCCTTCTCCCCACCCCCCGCATGTCGCTAATGCCAGTTGAGATTTGAAATAGTCTAAACAGCTGAATACTTAAACTACAAGGAGTCTGGGGCAAAGAATCTTGTATTTGTAAAAAGGGCAATATTTGCATTTTTAGAAGACAGTAGTAGCAGTGATTCCTGTAACTCCATAAGCCCCCTGACAAATAAGATTCCATTTATTTATATTGCTATATGGAAGAAAAGATCCAATATAATAATTTTGCTTTCTGTATCATTCCCCCTACCCCTCCATTTTTAAGTACCATTTGTTGCAAAGGTTTCAACAGAAAACTGGAAGGCCTTCACAAACAAAAATAATGGGGAATTACCACCAGATCATGAAGTGTAGAGCTAGCCAACTTGATGCCCTCCAGAGGTTGTTTAAAATCACTCCCATCATCTTTGACCATTGGTCAGGTACCTGGAGCTGATGGGTGTTGCATCCATGACATAGTGCAATCTTGTGCATGTTTACTCAGAAATAAACCCCACTGATTTTAATGGTGCTTACTCCAAAGTAAGTTTGTACAGGGTTGTAGCTTGAGTATGTGTGTTCCTAAGCAACTTTCCTAATGCCACTCTTTATTTTTAACCTGTTCAGCACTGGATATTTTTGTCATCCATCATCATCATCTCAAATTAATAGTGTGCACACAAATAATAAACATAACACTTAAAATTAATATGATGTTACAATTTTGTAATCCCTAAATCAGGGTTGCCAGTGCTGCACCTGCAGATGGCAGTTGCCACACGAGTACCTCTTAAGGTGCCCACAAAAGGTCTCAGAAAATATTTCCTCAGGTATCCACAATACATGAGAGTCTTTTGCTCTTCCTATTCAGTTCTTGTTTGCACTGGCAGCGGTTTTGTGACGGGTGCTCATCGCACTTCCTCAAAATTGCAAAAGTGTCCCCTGTCCAAAATGGGTTGGTGGCTCTTATCTTAAACCATTTTTTCACAAGTGGGATCCACTTCAAAATAAATTGCTTAACATTAGTGCCTCGGTTCTAGGCCCAGTGCAATGATTCCCAAACTCTGTGCTTCAAGAGGTTTTGAAGAATGCCTTGGAAAACAAAGCAGATAAGATGGATGAATCTACCACTCTATTCACTCGGAGTGGGTAGGCCCTGGGCAGCATTGGTCTCTCTCTGAGACCATGTGGTTGGTGACATCAGCCCAAAGTAAGAAGAAAGGAATCAGGATGCACTAAGAATCTTTGATGCAGCCTGCGTAGCAGAGTGAAAGGCATAAAGGAATGCCAGAAGCACTTTCATTGCCAGACAGTATGGTCCCATCCCTACGTGGACCAAGGGGAGGGTATGGTAGTAATTGCGCTCAAGGATGCTTGAGCTGTTAGCCAGACGGCAAAACAGAAGCACAGTCATGGCCAAGGCGCAAGTTATGCAGTCTAGTGAAGTGCAGGCAAAGCAAGGCAAGATGGCTTTGTATTGCTACTCTGAGGGATGGAGGAGGCATTCCAGTCAGCTCAGATTCAATTCAATTCACATCACATTCGTTTCAATTCACTTTTCAAAACAATATGCAAACTGAAGCCCAGCTATTCTTCAAAATTGGCCCTTTGCTGCATTTTGTCACGCCAAGTTTTGCGTACAAAAATGCATATACTGTGGTAAACTGTGCATATGAATGCATATATTAGTGAAAATAAGATACAAAAATGCATCAGCGGAAATTGCTTTGAAAAAACATTTGCACACAAATTTGTTTAATAGGAGAAATTAGCAGAAAAATGCTGACAAGCTCTCTTGAGGACTCCCTCCCCCGCTTTCAAACTGCAGACTGATGTGGAAATTTGGATAACTGAACCTCAGAGTGGAAAAATGAGAAATTCTGTAAACTGCCTTGTGATCTTCAGGTGAAGGGTGGTATGTATATTTAAATAAATAAATGAATGAATAAATGGGAAGAAAATGAAATTGAGATATTCTTCCATTGATAGTGATGGGTTGTTCAGATTGAGGAGCAAGCTCTGAGGCCAGAGCTTTATAAGTCTGGGTAAGTGAGGATTGTCCTGCGGACTCAGCTGGCAGTTCCGTGGGTAGGTTTGTACTGTCTACGATTGCATCCTTCCTGCAGAGCAGGAATAGTGCTAGTGGCCCTGGAAATAAGGCACCAGGTGGACGCTGCACTTTGAGACCCCTACTATCAATTTTGACTCAGGAACCCAAAATATAGGAAACACTGTCCTTGTGCATTACTTTATTCATAACCTTCCATTTGAATCCTTACTTCTGAATCGGTGCTTTTATCAGGCTAGTAGAGATGAAAATGTTCTTCAGTTCTGTTTCCCTACAATTGGATAGAGTGGTATTCTATTCAGTGTAATTTGGATTCAGAGCTACATTTCTTCCTGTTTTCCTCCACTGAAACCATAGAATACTGATGAATCGCAGGCAAAATTCACTGAGGGAGCTTGCCTTGTTTTTCTTTGTTGTTTTCTAACCAGTTTTTCCCTTTCTATGTACTGTTTTGTTTTTTGAATCCCTTTCCTGCTTTCATCTTGTCCCAGCATAAAAGCTAAATATTTTAGGAGCTATGAAAATGAGAGCTTCACTGGTCTTGTTTGTCATACTTCCAACCTGAGTGCTTCATATTTCCTGTATTTTTGTGTGTGCTTCTTTGTGTGTGCTCATTGGAATGTCCAGGTAAAGGGATATAAGCTGCCAGTGCTAACCAGGGACTTCAGACTGATACCTTAGAGAGCCATTGTTGGAGTGCCAGCCAGCAGTGGTCTGACCCAACATAAAGCAGTTTCTTATGACCAGAAGTTTAAACCTAATAAACAATAAAAGGGGAAGGAAAGCATGAGAGGCTTCTTTCTGTCGCCTCTCTTTCCCACAGAGACCTTTCAGGTTTGAAGCCATTGCCAGTTCTTTCTCAGCATAAATCCCACATTATACCATTGCAGCATTAGCCCTATTCAGAACAGTTGACAATGGAGTCAACCAAAGTGGTGGCAACCCTGGCCTTAATTGTAAGTAGTGCCAAACCCAGGACCTGATGGGAGACATAAGTGTGGTTGACCTGACCACAAAGTTGTCAAATGCAACATATACACAACATATACGCAAGTGAATTGGCAAGGAAATTGAACACAGCCACATTTGATTTCAAAAGAGGAAACTTACCCATAATAGGGATTTTTTGAGCCTCCAGCACTTGAAAGTATGATCAAAATGTATATGTAGGAAAAAGCCACCTTACAACTTCTCTTTCTATAATAAAACTTCTATAATAATGCCCAGCTGTGTAGATTGACATATAAACTAAACAATGTCTTAGATTTCTTTTCAGCCCTAACATGCAGGATAGAATATCCCAGGACCATTTTCTCCCATTTTACTTTAAACAAAGTGTTGTGGTTTGTTAGTAAAAACAAATGGTGAGTTGCCCAAGGTTATATGGGGAAAGAGTTTTATGCTTACACCCAAAAAACTGGCTCTATGTTGTCTGACTAAATGTCAGTTGATGCGGCTGTTCATCTTATACAGATTAGTATTTTTAGTGTTGCCCATAAAACATTGAACCCTGGGCATACGTATGCCCTATCCCCCTGCCCCCCCGGCCACTGCCACCACCAAAATATCTTCCTCTATAATCACTTTTGATAAGGGCTCTATTTAATAGCTTCAAAATGATTTGGCCCCAAGTCAGCCTGTCTTTGCATCTCCTTAGAAAAATGAAACTTAAAAAGAGCTGCTTTGAAATCATTATTTTATTAAAAGGAATTCACTTCTGAGTGGAACAAGATAATTTGAAACTAATTACCATCTTGTAAAAAAACAGCCATGCGGTTGCTTGCTATGCAAATGCTACACTTGGAAAAAGTAACAAGAAGACCAGGAGAAAAACAAAACATGATGTGGGAAGAAATCTTTTATGTTGTTATTTTAAACTTTAGTCACTGTTCTTGTGACAGGGACTCATTATAACAGATGATACATATTGGCTCAGTGGAAGCCATTAGGGAGAAATCCAGTGAACTATCTTCTCCATTTATTATCTACCAGCCAGCAACATTCTCCATGGGGGAAGAAAAATCTATATTCACTGTCTGAATCATCAGACAGAATATTAAGAAAACCAGCAAACAGGATGCTGGATCCAGCACTCTCCACAAGTAGCAATAGTTTGGGAAAGAGAACCAAAATATGGACCATTTGCAGTATATTGCGCTGGATGATACAAATTTATTACATGCTGAGAATCTGGTTGAACTGGGAAATTTCCTGTGTCAGCCACCAACCAATCAAAACAGGAAGAATAATGTATTGGGAGAGTATTGTATTGGAATGGTCGTATCTCAGTGAATATACTTTGCATGGAAAAGATCCCAGGTTCAATCCAAGGCATCTTCAGATAGGGTTGGGAAATATTTCTCTCTGAAATCCTGGAAAGCGGCTGTCAGTCACTGTAAACATATTGAGCCAGGTGGGCTAATGTCTTCATTCAGTCTAAAGCGGCTTCCAGTTTCCTGGTGCCATAAGTCACAGTTTGCTGGGACATACAGGAGCTGTACAAAAGCATCTGTCAGAGTATACTGGATTTGAACTGTGAGCGTCTGGGTACATGTGCAAATGGCCATCATGGTGAGCAAGAAGAATGAAGCAGCTTTGCTCTCCAAGGTTCTTCAACCATCCCATGCTCTCGTGCTGCTTAATTCCTCCTCTCTTGTCCTGGATATAGATACTTCCCGCTCAGGCCTGTGTTTTGTGCTTCCCAAGGTGGCTCTCCATACCAGCAGAATCACTGTTTCAAACACTCCCACAGTGCTCCTTTCTGAATGGGATTCCAAATACACATTTGTGAATAATGCACATTGCCAGAATTCATTGCACAGTGTTTTTATACACATGCAAAATGTGTAATTTAGAAATCTAAAAATCATTACCTCAGATAAGTTTGGTTTATTTGTCATCAGACTATCACCTAGTATAAGCAAGAATAACAAAAGGGAACTACATAGCTAAATAAAATTAAGAAATGTTAAAATAAAAACAATTTGCATAGACCTGAATAAAATAATATAAAAGCATAATCCAACTTAAAATTATATTGAATATGATAAAACTATCATGTTTGGTTAGGGCAAGAGAGGGAAGACAACCCTTACAACTGCTTTGTAGAAAAATGAAGTATGTTTATTGTGTATGGTACACGGAAATGAACATTTTATTTTATTGTTATTATGAAAATCTTCTGTATTTCTAACACACACACACCTGTAAAAAAATAAATCTGAGTCTCCATGGTCTGACACAGCATGACCCTGTAAAACTTGCTCTTAAAATTATTTTAACACAACTTAAATCAGTTCATACAAACATGAACAAAAGTATATAGAAATAATAATGTAGCAAAATTCTGAACTTCCCTGGCAAGACACAACATTCTCTCTTAATTTTTTCCCCCTTACCCTCAATTAAGGCAGATAGAAAATGTGGCTTTTATTGTAGTTTGGCTGTTCACAGCTCTTTATGTGTATAAAATATATTTCCCCTCTCATGCTTTTGAAAACCTTATTGATTTAGTCCGCTCACAAAAATGCCATAACCTTCTATTTAATATCTCATGCAGCAACAGAGATCAAGATTCATTATAGAAAAAGAATTCACCTTAAATAGTTTTGCACTCCTTTTTGTTTGCTACTTTTGTGTAAGCAAAATTAAAACAGTTATCCTTCAAACCTGGGGATGTATATACACACCTAATAGTTGCTAACCTCTTTGTAAGGCCTTCTAAAAATGTTTGATATGCCTGTGCTTGATTTCACCCACTCTATGGCCCTATTTTGGCCATATGGCTATAGATTCGTATAGTGGTTAGTCAATGTATATTCTGGGATAAGAATGCAAGACATCATGATGCCAAAGGTATCTATGGAATGGCATACCAAATTGTTAACAGGACCAAAAGCAGTGGAATTTTCTGTTACCTATTGCCATGGGTTTGAGCTTTTGTGGAGTCTGAACCCTCACCTTTATTGATTGATCATACTTTGCTGCCCCTTTATGAGAAACCAAGTGGAACGTTGGAAAAATTGGTGGGTAAGGCCTCTGCTCTGTCTGAGGATGTTTTCTACAATAAACATTTGATTTTCTACATCTTTTTGCTAGAGCTAGCTAACAGCCAGCAGAATACAAATAAGTTGAATTCATGTCAATTCTGTCATTGCCCCAGCATGCACACTCTGCACTAGACCTGTCAGTTTATTGAGAAATTGAAATGTGGAATTAAAGCAGTATTGAACGGTCAATAGAGCTCAGTTGCCAGCCTCCCTTTCATCCCTGCAAAACTTGCCTGTGAGCAACCATCAGCATAGAATTGCTTGCTAAACTCCAATCCAACTCACAGATGGTGAAACAGTTGCAGTGCTTCTGTTTCCACAGAGGAAGACCAAGAGATGATCACCACCCCAAAGCACGGTTGCAGTTGTCAACTAAGGGAGCATTTGGGGCTTTCATCAGAAGGGAAAACTGGGGAAGATCTGTGCATTCCTGATAAGGAATGGGCAAATCCGTGTCAGCTTTTGTTTCTCTTTTTCTCCAATCTCAAGTTCAATTATCCACATTCCCACATTCGCTTGCAACTTTTTAAAACAACAACAACATTATTTATACCATGCCCATCTGGCTGGGTTTCCCCAGCCACTCTGGGCGGCTCCCAACAGAATATTAAAAAATGCGATAAAACATCAAACATTAAAAACTTCCCAAAACAGGGAATGAAAATTTCTCCTGATATACACAGTTTTGTATGTAATTTTACCCAATGTACATGTTTTTACAAACAATTTCCCATAATATAATGCAATTTAGATATTATTTTCACTGTATATAGATTTTTCTGCACACTTAGTGTATGCTTTTGTGTACTTGGCTAGAGAATTGCATTGCAAAATTTGGGTAAGTGTGAATTTTGAAGGACGGCTGCATTACAGTTCACATTATGTTTTGGGAAGTGCAAACTGGGTAGATTCACCTTTAAATATAAACTGAACTGAATTTCTTCCCCATGCCTACTTCTGGTAGAAGTGGGGGCGGGGATATGAGGAAAATAACCATGTAAACTGGGGCTCTGTGTGTTCAGGCCTTCACATTTGAGTGGCCACATCAAATGTTACATTGCGTGTGTGGCAGAAGGAATGCCTGCCCACTTCACCACAGGAATGCAGTTGTTGGCCGGGAAAGCATAACTTGATAACTCGCATTAAATGTGAGAATGTTCTCCACTGACATGTCAAATTTCTGTGGTGTTGATATCTGATAGCCCCTTCACAAGTGGAACTCATCACCTGATCCTACGGTTATCAAGTGATGAACGTGCACATGTGAATGAACTCATAAGTGTTGTAAGTGACCTCTTCAGCAGCCTCAGGGGGCAGGTCTTCCAGGACTCACAGCCAAGCTGGTCTCTGGCCTCCTCAGCAGCTTCAAGTTTTGTAGCTGGAGTCAGTAAGGGTCCCACCCACCCATGCCGGGGGTGGGGGGAGCCAGCAAGGCACTTTCTGTCTTTCTTTTATAACAAAAGGCTTTGCCAACATTCACATTGGGACATTCTGTGGCAAATGAGGAAGTTGCTAGGCTGCTCACTGGCAAATCTTGTTTTTTTTTAAAAAAATAAAAGGAAGATACTGCAGGGGAGGAGAGAACCCTCTGTTGCCTTGTGTTAATGGCAAATCCAGTCATCACCAACTGATTTCACTCGCTGCATGAAAACAAACTGTTTTTTCAACCATTCTTCCCCCACTCCTCAAACAAGTGAAAATCTGGGCCAATATATCTGGTCCCACATTAAATACTTCTTATTATGTTTGTTTTATATGATCATTTCATATGCATTCACACTTTCAACCATTCTCTTTGCTGGTGAAATAAGAGATTATCCTCTTTCCTGTTCTACTGCTGCAGTCCTGGTGGTGCAAACAACGCTACTGTACACTCGCTGTGAGTTGAGAAAATCACACTTTTCAGCAGATACTCACTCCTGTGAAGGAAATCAATATGCCCAGCCTAAGTGAAATAACTGCTGGCAATACAGTAATTAGGTCATTAAACAGCAATGGATATGCATTAAGAAGCAACACAGAATGCCCTCAGCTCTGTTAAAAACAGCACATGCTAAAACTGGAGGTAGTTAGCAATATCAACTAATTAGATGCAGAACAAGAGAGAGGATAAAGAATAAACTATTTTTTAATTGATAAGGTTCCCGCAAAGCTGTGAGGAGAGATCACAATAGCTAGATTTTTGGCAGTTTGTGAAATATCAGCTTTAATCTCTGAAGCAACCTGCTATTAATAGATGCTAGAAGAAAGAGATGCTAGAATAAATACTCCAAACACATGGAAAATACTTCTGAGCTTAATTATTATGAAGGCTAGGTAATCAACACAGATACCATATCTCTCCAAAACCAGAAAGTAAAATCAAAAGAGAGAAACGCAAATCCTTCACTGTTTTCTGATTATTTTGAAATAGCAAATAAGATAATAAGTAGCTGCATTTTTTAACAATGCGAGAAGAAATATATTTGCCATGGGAAGATACAAATTGATCACATTGCCCTGTGATACAATGAGGGATGGGTTTACCTATCCACAGCCAGTGGCCATTCTGAATTGTTAAACAGATTTTTTTTTATCCTAAAAATGATAAATGCATTTTTACATGCATTTTAGCATTTATTCTTTAGCTTTGCCAGTGTGGTGTAGTGGTTAAGAGCGATAGACTCGTAATCTGGTGAACCGGGTTCGCTTCCCTGCTCCTCCACATGTAGCTGCTGGGTGACCTTGGGCCAGTCACACTTCTTTGAAGTCTCTCAGCCCCACTCACCTCACAGAGTGTTTGTTGTGGGGGAGGAAGGGAAAGGAGAATGTTAGCCGCTTTGAGACTCCTTCGGGTAGTGATAAAGCGGGATATCAAATCCAAACTCTTCTGCTTCTTCTTCTTCAACTACTGGTTGATTCTACATTAGAACTGCTAGAGGAATCTGTCCTTTGCAGGTTCTGATACTGACCTAATCCCCACTTTCTACACCTATGTGTGGATTTGAAGGTACCTTTATGCATTTCGTGGTTGGAGCCTGGAAAACCGCATGGTCTAAGTCACCCAGTGGGCTTTATGATTGAAGTTGGAGTTGAATGCACAGCACCTTAACCCAGGGCTCTTTTTTAGCCAGAACTCACCAGAACTCAGTTCTGGCACCTCTCAGCTATGCGCCATTGCCATTATAAGAGAACAAGGGAGGTGTTCATGGTGAGTTCTGGCACCTCCTTTTCCAGAAAAATTGCACTGCCCTAACTGCTTCAAATTCTGTCTACAGCCCCATTGTATGATAGTAGGGCCGATATGTTTTCAGCATTTCCTTTGCAAGTCTGGGCATAATTTGATGTTCCTTGGTCTCTCAAATTCCTTGTGGCCATTTCATGAGCAATATTCTTCCCATTACAGCCACAGCATTACCAGTGCTATAATCTGAACACTCCCTTATAAGGCGAACTTTTATAGGGCAATCAAACATTTTGTTGAGCTGTTAGATATTATGCTGTAAAACGCATCCTTAATTAATAGATGTCTGACAGGTTCTATCTGGTGTATTTTACATATTCACAACCTCTCGGGTTTTTTGGTTTAATTTCCTGCACGTTAGCATCATTCAATGGGATATTAAAAATGTCCAATTTATTTCTCCTGTCAAATCTACAAAGCAGGAGCAAGTTCTTGTAGTGATTGTGGTATCCTGGAATAATCTAATGATGTTTGTGTCCCCATTTTATGCTCTATATAGCACTGAGTGTATGCTGTACGTGAGTGGGTAGACATGGTTGGAATGGCAGATCGAATCCAAGAGATTATTAAAATGTCCATCAGACAATTGAAACGTTTGAAATCTGCAACATGGCTCTGAACAAAAAGGGGAGTGGTAACTTCATCCAGTCACATCTGGTTCTGTGCCTTCTCTCTATACTTAAAGGCAGTGAGGTCATGTATTCACAGCAGCGACCAGAGAAGAAAGTACTTTTAACTAGTACTTTCCCTATATATATAAAATGGATGGTATACAAATACTTTGTGTGTGTGTGTGTGTGTGTGTGTGTGTGTGTGTGGTATTTGTATACCATCCATTATGTGTAGCTTTGTATTTCGCTTTTTAAGATGTATATCCTTTTAAAATGAACAGTTAAATTTAATAATGAACAGTTAAAGGGGGGGAGTGTGCAGATGGAGGGGATTGGTCTACTGATTGCTGATGTCACAATGACAAGTTGCTTGGCAACGACTGCTTGCCAACTTGCCGGTGAGTGGCAGTTGCAGCCCAATGCGACACGTCCTCTCTCCTCTGGACACACAGCACCATTTTAGATTGTTTCCCTATCTCCTCCGGCCACAATGGAGGCTCACAGGTTCCTGCCTAACCCATCCTTCAAAGGAGCCAATCCGCAGGGGCCGGGGGGGGGCATGGCCAGCAACTTAGCCTGACTGACCACTCAGCACAGCATCCAGTCGGCCAGGAGCATCACCCATCCCTTCCCCTCCCTTCATTAATAGTTGATTACTGCTCTAACTGTTTCTTTTCAGCTAGCCAGACTTTACTGTGGTCTTCTGGCGGTTGCCGTATTTGGAGCCGGGAAGTAATTTCCCCTGCTCTGCAGGTCTCACCTTCCCCATGGTCACAACTTTGGCGGTTTGGGCCTTAGACGGAATCCTATAGTCTTTCATCCAGCCGAGGTGTGGTGAAGTGGTGACTCACGCACCCCATTTTCCCTGCGGCGGCATTAACAGGGTACCTCGTTAGAGGGCTCTGGAAAGAAGTCTCTGTCCAAAGAGCCAAGTGCGTAGGCCTAGTGGACCATAGAGCTTCCCTCAGGATTTGGGGGCCATCTGCGTAAATGTGCATTTTGTGATGGATCCACCCCCGAATAGACCCTGTCATGCCCCAGTTCTCCAGCGGGGGGCAGGCTGAGAGGGATAAACGCCCAACGCCTTTGCCAAAGCTTCCTACATCTGAAATCAATTAAGTTGTAGCCATTTAAATCCCAGACAGTTGTTGTGTCCATTCATTTTACCACTCAGATTCTGCGGCTGGGCACGCAACCGAAGTTGTCCTTTCAGAATCTGCTACCAGACTATGCTGTTGTGAATTAAAACCATGTTTTACTTCAGTTCCACTTCTCATGTGATATATAGTCACTGCTTTTCTTCCATTTGTGGAAATAAAGTATTCATTACCCATGAAGAAAATGATAGTAACACTTAAAAATTCTGGACAAAAATGCTCATCAGATCTGCATGGCAGAACTTAAGCTAAGATGCTGTGTTCTCTGTGTCTTCACAAAGAAATCAAGGGCATCTTTAAATTGGCAGTGAAAGTCATTATGCACTGGAAAAAGGGGGAATGTGGAAAGTTTTTTTCCCTTTCAGGTAAATTTGCTTTGACATCTGTGAAGGCCTGTGCTGCTTTTAGACCAGATCCCCTAGGATAGTTGGTGTATTCTGGGTTCTATCTAGGGTTTGTCTTCTCAAAAAGAAAAAGAAACAATTTCATACTTATACAAAAAAGGGGGGGGGGAATCAAAGCATACTAAGCAACAATAGGAAATGAAAGAGGCCAGGGAAAGTATCACGTAAGTGATTCATTTAACCTGACCAAAAGTCCAGTAGGAAAGTAATACAAAACAATGTAATTTAAAGGCAATGTATGCTATCTGGAGAAAATAAATTAAACTGGATTCCTAACCTACTAAATCCAAGCCTATAAAATACAGTGATAATCACACTGACAGTTAATTAAGAAGGAGAGCAGTGTAGAGAAGTATATCTGAGTCTGTCAGAAGTATGGACAGTTCCTTTTTGGGTTTCCAGATAAGTAAAATGATAGCTACAATTCACAGGAGTTTCAGCTCCCCTCTTCCCTTGAACCTGGCAAATGAACTGTTGCCCCAAATGGAAAGCAGATTTCTGCATCTGATTGTAAGTTGCTCCAAAGAAGGGGCAGCTCGTCCTGTTTTGCCACCACAGGCAAAACAGGATAGTGTTGCTGTGCTGCTGAAGTCTCTCTTACCTGGGTTGTGTGGCATCACCTGTGAAATGGCAACAACAGCAGCGGGTTTCAGCGAGCTTTCACAAGATCTCACAGAACTCTCATGAGATTTTGTGGAGCTCTTGCTGGAAGCCACTGCTGCTTCTGCACCAGCAGTGGAGACAGTTGGGGTGCCTCTGAGGTCACTGGCCCTTGGAGTTGTGCCACCCAAGGCTTTACACTGCCTCATGGACCATGCTCCAAAGAGATGTATGTCCAACATAAAAAATATTAAATACCAGCATACCAATGTGTGGATAGAAATTACAGTTTCAGCTCTACTGCCGTCTAAGGGTAGACTACTCTATTTCCGGTTCATGCCATTTTTCATATGTTATGCATATATCCATTCCATTCTATTTCCACATCTTTTTTGGTTTTTATATATTCTGTCTCAACATTTTTGCCTGCAAATGTTATATTTATATACAGTTCTAGATGTTCATTTTAAATAGATGCAGCTTTTTATCAAATATTATCAAATTGGCCTGTAAGAGTTGTGTGGCAGACAGAAATTAAACAGGCTAAACCTTTTCTAGCATGGAAATGCAATTACGGGGAAAGCTTCACCTGTTGACATTTTGTATCATATCTATTTACTTGTGTGTAGTTGTCCTTCACCCCCACCTGCAAAAGAGGACAACTTTTGCATATGCAAAAATTGTGCAAAATTGTGCCTTATTGAATGAGCGCAGCAGAGACCCAAATCTGCATATAGTATTCTGGGCCCAGAAATTCTTGGAGTCAACCCTGTTATGGTGGCCTGTGATTCCATACAATGTTGCACCAGGTAGGCAATGTCCACTGGTTGATCCAATCTTACATTCTGTAGCCGGCAATGCAAGCACTAAAGGCTTCAGTATCTGTAAACTATGAAGGATGAACTTTGTATTAAATCAGGAATAGCCGAAATAGTGAATTCCAGATGCTGATGGCCTCCAATTCCCATCAGTCCAAGCCAACAATTGGAGATGATGGGAACGTTAGTCCTGCAACGTCTGGAGGGTACCACATTGGCTACTCCTGTATTTAATCTACATTGCTGCCTTATAAGAACACTAGGGACAACTTTCTCTGACTTACATAGGGTATTGGCATGTTATTGTTTTTGGTAGTAAGTTGCCTGGAAGGTATAAATACATACTTGGCTTGCCTTTGTCTCTCCGTCTGGCAGGTGTTACTTTGTTCTCAGAGATTTCTTTCCAGTGTTTAATTAGTTTTGTCAGTCAGCTGTCTCATATGGCATTTCTTGAGTCATTACAATTTTTATCCAATTAACAGCAATATTTTTGAAAGGCATAATGACTAGAATGCCACTGGAGGTAGAAAAATGACCCCCCTCTTCAGTGTGCAACTACTTCTCTAGAGAAATTGTTTATAAAAAACAAATATACAAATATTTTATTGTTTCATTGAAAATACAGCGGTGTTCCTGTTCATGATAGGAATAGACTAAAAAATGAGGCATTTCCTTGTTCCACACAGCCATTACTAGAGATGAGTGTATCAGTTTATTGGTGGTCTGTGCCATTTTTGAATGTGTTTGCCCTTAAAGCTGTTGTGTCTGATGCAAAAACTAACAACTGCATAAAAAACCCCTTTTGAATAAGTATTTAAACCTGCATTTCAAAATGTATTTTCTCTGAGGTATTTCTTTCAAAACGCATATTTCTAACCTGCTTTTGAGCTGGGAACTACTCCCTCCTATGTGCCAAGGTTATTATGTCCCCCAGAATATAGTGAGGAACTGTGATCCAGGCTCATAGCCAGAGGGAGACCAAAAAAGTGTGCTTGGGAAGAGTGTTATCTAGACTGCTGGTCTTTTAAATACAAAATTGTAACCTGTTTTTATCAGTGTATCCTGTGCTTACAAGTGATGTATCAGAATTTGCAACAGGAGATTTTCTACAAACAGTGCAAGATGTCTTGCCACTCCATGATTTAAACCAGGAAAACAGGATCATCTGAATATAGCCAGCCATTATAGATGGCCCTGCATTTGATGAAAGACGAGGCTGTGCAGGTTTAGTCTCACCTAAGTCTGTTGGTATGGTTATAGCTGAAGTCAGCTGAATTTCTTGCTAACTTCTCAGATGTATCTTCTCTTTCCAAAGCAGCTCTGGGCCTGCTGATAGTAGAATCAGTGTTTTCTCCATTGGTTAAAGGTGCTGCCGCATTGCCTCTGACAGAAGTTGCTGTCTAATATTTATTTCCAGCAAAGAAACTAATGATGGATATTTGTTTTGAAGTGTTTGCTTATGTTTGCCTATAGTGTATATTGTTTTTGAAGTTATGATGATAATAATAGTGCTGGTGAATTGGGTGTCTGCAACTCCCCTAGCCAGGGGAAATATAACTCTATCTCTCCATCTGAAAAGGCATAAAAACATGCCCCCTTGACAAGAGGCAACTCTTTCTGCTGTTGCTTCAGTTAATTAACTCCTTCCCTGTCATAGCAAGCGGAAACTCCTGTATCCCACCTCCCTGCTGCAGCGATTATGCTTGAATAGATTTCACAGCCACAGAGAATGGGTGTGTTTGCTATCTCCTTGGTCAGGTAGGAAAAACCTGCATCCCTTTTGAGTCCCTGATTGGTGATACATAAAAACAAATTGACCAAGCCTGTCAATATTCCTTCTCTCCATTTTGACCCATCTCCTGGCCCTTGTCCATTTCACCCCCTCCAAATAATAGCACATGTATCTTTAAAAAGAAAAAGAAATCATTTTCTGTTGCTCTCTAAACTTTCTGTAGTAAATTTTAAGTATTTGTTTGTAGAAAAAGTTAGAATAGGGAGGGCATAAAAATGTCACATATTTGTGAAAACAACATATGAAAATGCATTTTATTAGGGGGAATTGCTTTGCAAAATTTATATATTAGGGGAAATTGCATACAGTGGTAGCTCGGGTTACAGACGCTTCAGGTTACAGACACTTCAGGTTGCAGACTCTGCTAACCCAGAAATAGTACCTAGGGTTAAGTACTTTGCTTCAGGATGAGAACAGAAATCGCGCGGTGGCGGCGTAGCGGCAGCAGGAGGCCCCATTAGCTAAAGTGGTGCTTCAGGTTAAGAACAGTTTCAGGTTAAAAACTGACCTCTGGAACGAATTAAGTACTTAACCCGAGGTACCACTGTACAAACATGTGCATATTAGGAGAAATTCACTGCTGAATTGTTAGGAGGACTTTAAAAAAGTAAATCACAAATTGGTGTGGAAATGTTTAAAAGCTAAAGATGGGAAAATGAGAAACTGATATTGACAGAATTGCCCATCTGTATTTCTGGGTTACAACCCAGTTGTAAACCAGGAAAGTAAATGCCTTACAGGAATAAGTATAGAGGTAAAAGGGAAGGGAGAAAGAAATTTGCACAGTAACCAGAGGGAGAGTTAATTGGTGAGAAGAGGTTCATCCCTCCTATACCAGGAGCCAGAGACTTGCTAATATCTATCTGGAGGAATAAGGAGACTTTAGGGCTCCAGGCTCATGAGAGCTTGGCTACTCTCATCTGTGGGAGATATCAGAACAGGAAGGATGCTGCATATTTATACATCAAACCAATGCAAGTTGTATGAACTAAAGCAGCACAAATTTGAACGGAAGCTATAGTGAAGAGAAATCCTCAGAGAATAGTACACAATGAATTCTGGGGAAATAAATGTTTAAGTCCTTAAAGATTCTGTAACTAGAAACAAGTTTAGAAAGTGACGCCAGTGGAGCAATACATCCAGAAAGAACCAGGGCCAGAAAACAAAGTTTGGTATCACCGGCTTTGCTTCTTCCTTTGCTTTATTCTTCTCGCAATGCTTAGTTAATCGAGGCACATCAGAAATGCTACAAAAGAAATAATGATACAGACAGCAGTAGAAATAACACCCAGTTTTTCATTTTCTGTAATGGGACTTTGATAATAATATAGCATTGTAGTTGATTCACTGTAGTGACTGGAGGCAAACTCAGAAAAGGAAAAATGTTTCTTTAAAAGCTTTCTCCATTCGAAGCTTTTCATTTTCCCAGGACAAATGGAAGAACTGAATTGCACAAAGAGCGTTGTGTCATGAGTTTTACAGTCAACTCTGAAATTAGTCCTTGGGGTTTGATAAATGGATTAGTAATGCCTTAGATCCAGGCAACTGTGTGGTTAGTTCAATATGCATAGCCACAACTTGTGTAGCTAGCCACATCATATAACAACATCACCTTACATATATAACAATTTATTAATGTTCAGTGTTGTCAACGTGCTTTTCAGAAACAAAGGAAGAGAACACTAGGAATGGATAAGCGTATTTCCATTTCAGTCGCAGATGTGTTTCACCTCATTTCTGCATTAATTGTTATTATTCTTTTAAAAAAAGAACAACCATCCCAAAATGAAAATAGGAGTTTAACGTGTACTTTATCACAAAATATTTATTTAACAGCAGCCCCATCCTCCATCATATGCTAAAGCAAATGACTTTCGAAACTCTGAGGAAAGCTCTTTCTGGGCTGACAAGCAGAGATGCTCATCTATAAGATATGAACACCATAGCTTGAATGATTTGGAAACGGTGAGGCAGGCACAGCCTCCTTTGAATACCCAGGTGCACATACCTGATTTCCCCTATGCACGTTGAATGCAAGCCACTGCTGCCTTCTCCTTCCCCAGGCGAGAGAAAGAAGAAGAATTAGCTTTTTCAGAATGTGGTAGAAGTGGTGGCTCTGGCTGGGCTCATGGAATGTCTATTTCTTCTGAGGATCCTGGGATCCATAACATGCAAGTTCTAGTTTAAAAAAACAAAACAAACTATTGTGGGTCAGAATTAGATCAAATTTGTAGAGAAGGTTTGCTAACTCTGAAAGAATGGATCATGACAAATTTTGAAGGATAGCTGCAGTGGTTTTATTTTGCACTTTTGGAGGGTGAATGAGAATTATGTACTCTCCCTAAATGTTTTGGGAGAATTTTGGTCTGAAAATTGCGGAATTAAGAGAGGTGCCACTGCGTAAGAAATCTTCCAGATTTCAGATAAATAGTTCCAAGGGCTTTAGTGCTAGGTGTCATTAAAGATAGACCCCACCCAATGAAGCTGTCTAAAATGTGTATGTGTGTACAAAATCGAGTGACATTTGTAGGCAAAGTCATACCTTCCAATGGGTGGAATCCTTCTAAATTCCAGGATGGCAACAGCTGTTTCCCCACAAGCACAGTCTTTATAGTTGTGTGGTGGGTAAGACAGGAAACAATCTCCCCCTTGTGTTTTCTGGGCAATTGGTCTCAAAATTGCAGACACAAGAAAGGCGCTTCTGTGTAAGAAGGCTTCCAAATTGTAGTTAAATACATCCTAGACCTTTAAAGTTGAATTTTTTGGGGGAGAGAAGTGGAAGAACTAAAATGCATTTGCTTTTTAGGTAAAACTATTCCTCAGATTACAGGTTTGAACCATCAATCACAATAACTGTCCTCCGGCCCTCTTCCCAGGCTGGTGTTTGCTGTTCCTTCCCCGATTGCTTAACTCTGGCATTTTAGCTATATGATAAGCTTACAGACATTTAGCTAGAGCTAAACTGAATGATGACAGAGCTGTTGATTATCAAGTCACCCAGACTTTCCCAGGACAGCTTTGGAGTGGCTGGCTTGAGAATTACATCTTTAGGATGCAGTTGCCTAACATCTGCCACCATAAGATTCTTAAAGGAGCAGTCTCTTTCACATGCAGATATTGGCAGCCAAAATATGGTGTAAAACACACTTCTGTTTTTCTCCAGAAATGTGTGCCAGAGCTCTAAGATTCCATCTAAGACAGAGTTTCCCAAACTTGGGTTTCCAGCTGTTTTGGGACTACAATTCCCATCACCCCTGATCACTGGTCCTGCTAGCTAGGGATGATCAGAGTTGTAGTCCAAAAACAGCTGGAGACCCAAGTTTGGGAAACCCTAATCTAAGAGGTGGTAGTGTAGTGAGTGGCTTGTACTTAAGGTATCCTGAAGAGAGAGTTTCGGAGATCACCAAGTGATAGGCAAGGAAGAGTGGTCCTGTATGAGAGACCCAGTTTTGCTTCCCTTGCATCCCCCTGTTCTACTTGGCTGAAGTCTATCATATGTCATGTTCTTTGTTTATCATTGTATCAGAGAAATAAAATGATGGTGCAAAATGCAGTAGAACAACATTGTGAGTTACGGTATCTACACCCTCCATATGAGCACAGATTATACATTCCAAATTAGGAGCATTTCTTCCTCCCTGCTGCCTCAAAGACTTCCACCTACACTTGCTTGCTTTAGCCAATTTTCCACTGTTCAAGAAACGAGGGGGAGTTGGATGTTTGGCTAAATTACAGTTCTAAGCTAATCCTTTTGGAACAAAACCATTCATTCTCGTGTTGTGCAAGAGAGTAAAAATATAACAGGAGATAGGTGCATTAATTTTTGCCTTACAAAATGTTCCAGAAAGATAAAATGCTATTACCCAATGAGTTTTAAAAAGCACCTCTGCTGCTGCCACTGGTGAATTATTACTACTTAGGAAAATCAATAATGACATTTGATTTTTCAGGACATTTGAGAGCCTGGATGATCCACTGTTTAAATACAGAAATCTGTCTTACTTGAAGTCATTAATAGCGAGAAATGTCAAGCAAAGTACTTTGTAGTCAAGGAGAAAAATGAGCTTTATTTTAAAGTCTGGGATGACAGTATACCATACAGGCCTGACACCAGATGTTTGTGGATTTTACACATTCACATACCACAAGGTCCACTTTATCCCCTCCCTCCTGGCAACATTTCACTTCTTGGTAATAATGCTTCTTAGACCGTAAATTCTCTATGTTATGTTCTGCTTTTTCTCTCATTTTCCGCATTATTGTTCACAGTTCCAAGGGGTGAATTTATGCCCCCTTCAAGCCTTGGTTAGGAATTCAGATCTGTCACACGTCAAGGGTCATGTCAGGGAGGGTGAGGGCACACAGCTAAGCCCCACCCATCCAGCACATCGCTCTCATCCAGCCATGCATGAGTTTGAGGGTGGAGGTCTGCAATTGTTTTCTTTGGAACTTGAGAGTTCACCTCAGGCTGGACCCTGAGTGCTTAAGGAATCTCAGTGGATGTTTAGCAGAAGTTTCTTTGTTAAATGGTAAATGTGGCTGTATTGTAAACCTGTAGAATGTTTGCATTAATTTAGCAGGAAATGCATGGTGAGCTAAGAATTATGGCATGTTTGCTTGTTATTTTTTGCTTCAGAGCATTTGAATTCTGGAGTAACTCCTGTAGCTGAGAGGGGTGCATAGAATATGAATTGTTGTAAGTTTCCAGGCACACCTTTCCCTCACAATTTTAGGCATTTATTTATTTCTCCTTGATTTCCTACCCCCCTCCAAGTAGGTCCTATTGAATTCAACCAGTAAACGAAAGTCCCTTGGTCCTTGGCTCTTAGCCCCATTCTCTTCACTTTATGTATTCTTCATTTTGACAATCTGTTTCTTCTTTTGATTTAAAGTATCAGTGTTATGCTGTCTCCCCCTGTTCTTACTCATATTTCCAATTGTCCTGTGGGCTATATGTGATTGGGTATGCAAACATAAACTCCAACTTAATATGCAGATGACAGAATTTATTATGCATCCTCTAAATCTTTCATTTCAGCTGTCAACATCACCCTCCAGCCTTTTCAACAAATTATGAATGTGGACACTATCCTTGATCCTTCTCTTTGGCTTTCAGCTCATGTTATTGCTCTGAGGTCTGCTATCATGTTATCAGCTAAGGTCTGCAAAGTCCTTCTGTCACATACGTTCCCAAAATCTGTCCTTTTTATCTACTGACTCTTAGTAGATTCTTATTCATACCTTCATTCTATCATATTGACTTACGTAACATTTTGTGCATCAGTCTTCTTATCTCTCAGCTTAAGTCTATTATCTCTGTTTTCCTCTGATCATTTAGTCTGCAATCCTACACCTCCTTCCCTAGGAATAAGCCCCAATGGATCTCAGTGGGACTTATTTCTGAGTAGACGTCCATAGGATTGCTCATCAAACACTAATCTCCTTATAAACCTCCTTGCAGTTTCTTGTCTCCTTGCATTTTTCCTTGTGACAAGCTGAGCTGAAAGTGTCGCCTAACCGTCGCAGCACCATTTTGTGGCTGCAACAGTCAGGAGCTACTTTCAACACCTTTCAGGTGGGCTGGTGAATTCTTTAAGCTTTGGGGCACAGAGAATTTACATTTATAATATCTAGGAATATCTCAAAACAAGCAGTGGTGGTAGTCCTGGGGCTCTCCAGCACCATGCTGACCGACAGACTTTCCTCTGTGGAAAGTCACATTGTTGGCAGAAGAAAATGGCTGCCCTCAGTTCACACTTCCACTTGTCCTGTCCTTTTAGGCATGGGTCTGAGTGGTTTTGACTTGGCCCATCACACTTCCCCCTGAAGAACCTGCTCTTTAGTGCTGAATCAGAGCAACCAGCAACTCAATTGCCATTTGTTCTGATTCAGTGCTAAAAATTGGATTTCCTCAGGAGAAAGTGGCGAGGCAAACAGAGGTGTGGATAAACCCTTAATTTGCTTAATCCTGTTTGTTTGTTTTTATTAATACAATTATATCCAAACTTTCCCCCAAAGAGATCTCTTCTCTGTGGGGTAGTTCAAGCTGGATTGTTGTTTTTCTGCCACTGAATGAACAATCAGCTTGGTTTTTACAAAGAGCTTTGTATTGCCTTCAGCCCAGTGAATTCGTGGGTTATGGACTCCGTCTCACTGATGGGTGGTGTGAATCAATTCAGTTCCACTGTAGTGTGTGAAGTAACTCACTTTGGTGCCATTTTAGGGCAAAACCCTAATACTACCATTTGTCTGTCGGCTGCTATGTGCTTCCAGTCTTCTCGTGTCAGTAGCCTGGAATAATTGTCTGTTTCACTGATTTGATAAAAATGCATCATCTTCTGTTGGTGCCACTGGTTATGAAGCAAGGAAGAAAAGTTTTAGAGGTCACATTTGATGAATTATGTAGGCTTCTTACACAGTCACATAGTCATTTGACACCTGTGACCTACTTAAACTACGGAAAATCCTGTTAGAGCAATTGCAGATTTGGAGTGACACACGAGTAAGTAGCTCACAGAACTTTAAATAATGTGACCTTAAAAAAAAAAGGAAATGGCTGGTTTTTCTAGCCTTGAATTAATTTTACATTAAACTGGCTGAAAGAACATGGACCTACTTTTGCGGCTCTTTGCAAGCACTTAAGGAGAGCATTTCTGGGCAATTATATCACTTTGTGCAGTTACTTTGATATGGCCAAGCTTAATGTGAAATGCAATTGTGTGCATCTTCTTTCTCCTGATAGTTTAAAAGGAAGAAGCCATAAGCAGCTTCAGCATGTTGTAGAGTTAGAGCTGAAAGTGTGTGTGTGTGTTCATTCTCTTGAGTTGCTTCCCACTCAAAGTGCCACACCCAAGTTGTTTTTCTCTCTACAGGCTAAAGATATGGAAACCCATATTTTTTCTCCATGGGAGGGAAAACATTCTTGGAGGGATAATTTTAAGCAGAAATTCTGCCACAAGGAACCTAGCCTTCTGCTATTCCTCCATTCAAACTCACAGTCCCTGAGACTGCATTATAACTAGCCATGTGCTGGACCTTAGGAGATCAGATTTACCACGTACACCGATGGCCGCTATGTATTTCATCTTGAGAAACAAATAAATGAGTATCTTTGTGATAGTAATGCCTTATTTTATACAAGGCATGAACAGCTTCTCCCATCAAGATGTCAGACCTTCCAAGTGTCCCTGTTTTCCAGGGACAGTCCTGGATTTACAGATGCTGTTCTGGTTTCTGATGTGATCCTGGAATGCCCCACTTTTCCCTTAGGATGTCCCTATTTTCTTCAGAGAAATGTTGGAGGGTATGGAGTTATCCGACTCCCAAGCCAACTGAAGGCAGCCATCTATAGGAAAGGTTTTCTTTAATGTTTAAAGTTCTCTTACGTTTATATAAATGTTGGAAGCTGCCCAGAATGGCTGGGGCAACCCAGTCACATGGACGGAGTATAAATAGTAAAAAAAGGTTGTTGTTGTTGGCACCCCTATTTTCATCAGAGAAATGTTGGAGGGTATGAGATGCACATACTAAACAGCTGTATATTGGGGTCTGCCAGGTGCTTGCACATTGTTTATTTCCATGCTGTGTGCTGTTCCAATCACTGCGGCAGGCAGGCCTTTCCCACCCCCCTGAGCAACCAGTAACTTTAATGGAGGGGTGGGAGGGATGTAATTCAAGCAACTGCTGCTACATTAGCAGTATGTGTAGGAAAGGAATAGCTGGCAAAGATAATTGCATGTTCAGACCCAGAAACCTCCTCCCTAAATAAATTCACTTGACTCAAATTTTAGTTTTGGTTTTTGGCAGAATTTAGGCCACAACTTTATTGATTACAGAAAGTGAGTGGTTGCATAGGCTCTGGTTCAACTAGCTCCCTGCCATGCAGGTAGCGCTGACCCAGGGTTCCAGCATAGGTCAGCCAAGGGTGAACACCTGGATAAGCAGAAAGCCGGGAACAGGCTATCTCCGCCACCCAAATGTCCCCCTCAACTCAGGCATGGGCACAACCCCCTCTCAGGGGTTGACCAAACCATTGAGTCCCTGGATTCCTTTAACGGAATACCCTTCACATACGGATGGCGAGAGCATTCTCCCCTCCCTATCACCTGAACCAGAGCCTATCCACAACCTTACAAGTTGTGACGATTTGCTATGCAGCCGGCGAAACCCAAATGGCAACAGCCAATCAGCCTAGTGGGGCAAATTCCTGCCGTGCCCCTGTCCCAATGACAGACGACACACAACAGCATAGCAAGGTCAAGCACAAAAGCCCTAAAAGTAGGGAGAGGTGGGCGGGTGTTCTGAATGCACACACCGAAAGAGGAAGCTCTGGGTCACATGCATCGGCATATATAGGTCTAATAATAATAATAATAATAATAATAATAATAATAATAATAATTTATTTATACCCCGCCCATCTGGCTGGGCTTCCCCAGCCACTCTGGGCAGCTTCCAACAAAATATTAAAATACAGTAATGTATCAAACATTAAAAGCTTCCCTAAACAGGGCTGCCTTCAGATGTCTTTTAAAAGTCTGGTAGCTGTTGTTCTCTTTGACATCTGGTGGGAGGGTGTTCCACAGGGTGGGTGCTACTACCGAGAAGGCCCTCTGCCTGGTTCCCTGTGACTTGGCTTCTTGCCAAGTGAGAGAACTGCCAGAAGACCCTCGGTGCGGGACCTCAGTGTTTGGGTAGAACAATGGGGGTGGAGACGCTACTTCAGATATAATGGACTGAGGCCATTTAGGGCTTTAAAGGTCAGCACCAACACTTTGAATTGTGCTCGGAAACGTACTGGGAGCCAATGTAGGTCTTTCAAGACCAGTGTTATGTGGTCTCGGCGGCCGCTCCCAGTCACCAGTCTAGCTGCACCCCATTGGCCAGATTAAACCCAGCATCGAGGGACCTACCAATCAGGTGTTGTGGCTGACCAATCTTATCCACCCACAACACAGGGTATCGGTTTCCAGGTCTCACCACAACTCGTGCCCTCTTTAAGGGAGGACACAATTTGTGAATGGAGCACTGGTATTGGAACAGCATAAGTGAACTGGATGTTTAGCACTGGGCACTTTGGGTGACCTGTGGCATTATGCTTCCCCCTGGTCTCTGTTTTCAATTTAACATGGTACACCAGCCGCTTGGAAGGCTGCGAGTCTCAATCCGAAAAGCATCTCTGCCTTTGACTCTGCCTTTGATAAGGGCATTGCTTTGGGCTCACTGTTCAGCCAACTGTGTGTGCAGCAAGAATCAGTGCTCTGCGCTGTGACCTTGGTGTATTTGACCTGGGAGCCCCGGAGAGATGTAAAGGAAATAAACAGAAAACCCCAAATGTGTGTGTGTGTGTGGCTGTGCTGATCAGCAGAAAAGATGAATGAATATGCTGCAAGGTTGATCAATATTTTAGTTCTATTAGCAGTTCTCCTTTTGCGTGACCCCCAGACTAACAAAGCCATGTGGCTCCTTTTTTCCGGCGCCTCTTTGTACTGTGACACAGTGCCCTGCCACCTTTAAGGAAATAGGATTCCTTGTATTAGTTGTCGCCAATAAACCTAGCTCAGCTGTCAAGAAAGACAGATTTTTCCTATGTGCTTTATGTCATGCAGAGTTTGTATTAGGCATTCTGTGTTTATTAGGTGTATGCTTCTTCAGGCTCTGTCTTCAGATGTCCCTTCATGTAATTATGGTTGGTTTTCTGGTCATAAATAAGGCTTACATGGGAACAGAAGGCAAAGGGGAAATATATGTATGTGAAGAATATGGTCTCTCCAACCATTTATCATTTCATACAGCAGTTATTCTTTGAGTGCCAGTGGCATTTGTGTGAGAGGAGGAGTGTGGGGGGGGGGGGAGATGATTGTGAACTAGTACTCACTTCCCCTATAGTAAGTAATAGAATCATAGTTGGAAGAGACCATGAGGATCATCTAGTCCAACTCCCTGCAATTCAGAAATATTTCAACCAACATGGGACTCGAACCCACATCCTTGAGATTAAAAGTCTCATGCTCTACCAACTGAGCCTGTTTCAGTCCCATTAAGTGGTGAAGAAGAACTGTGAGATGCTGATGGGGTCTGTTAACCCCATTCCAGAGATCTGTAGTTCTGACATCTGCGCCCCTAAATGGTCTAAAAGAGTATACTTCTAGATGGACCATCTCTCACTGGTAGAGAACATACTTTGAGGTCTTAACTTAACTGAAGCTGCAATCCTGCACAAAGATATTTTCAAGAAAGCACCATGGCAATCAGTGGGGCATGATGCTGAACGAATCTGTGTAGGTGCATATACAGCCTCAGGCAGACTTGCTATGACATATTCTCTTGAAGACAATTTGGTTCCCTGAAGAATTTCCATTTCCGAAAAATCTGCCACAACTCAATTGGAAATAATAGAGCAGACTTATCATAAAGTGTGTTTAAAAAGTAAGGAAAATGACAAACCCAAGTGTTTCTGACGTGGTGATTATTAGCATCGATTATGATTTTGTAGTAACAATAATGTGAGACATACAGAAAGAGGGTCCACCCTCCCTGCATAGTCGGCTATGAGTCACAGAGAAATGAAATTTGTAATACATAAGGCATTAACTTTTATTGAACCAATCATTCAATGTAAAAAGCACACAGCCTTGTTTGCTGCCTGCATATCACTCTGAATTGGGGAAGTGTCCATTTCCATCCTGAAATGCCAATCTGTATCTACTTGCTACTCTCTGGTGGCAATCAAGTCTCAGACTATTTTGCTTTTGTTTTCCCCCACCAGGCCATTTTATATTATACCCAGCACTCAGTGCTTCCAAGAGTAAAACTTAAATCAATGTGGAGAGCTTGCATGCTGCACCCACTGTAGTGTAGGTTAGTGCCTAAGGGCCAAACTACACATTATGTTAAATGCATGACCATATTTCACGTATCTACATTTTGTTTTTTAAAATAGCAGCTGTTGTGGGTTAAATTTTTTCCTTGAGCTTTGGTGTCAATGAAAATTACCATCTGCAAGCAGCTACTGTATATGCTCTGTAGGTGAAGCTTCTATTTGGCACCAGTGAGTTTCTCAAGTCAAATAATCTCTCTGCTGTTGTATTTCCAACAGAGTGCAAGGTTGCTGTTGCCTTTACCCCATTTTCAAGGGGGCCAAAGGGTGTTTGCAAGCATCTTTGCTTTAATTCCACAAATCATCTCTCTGCTGGTTTGTGTAAGGATAAATGTTAATATACCTTTAGACACACTTCCCATATCTAGTTTAGGAAGTTAGGGCCGAGGAGGAAGGGATAGAAGCAGGAGAAAGTTGCCAAAGGAGAGGGGTTATGTTGTACAGAGTTCTATAATCAAGTATTTCTTGTTCAACCAGCCTCCCTGACTTCCCATGATTCAATTGAAGCTTAGGGAAAGATGTCATGAGGTCAGTTCACCCATGAATTTTTTTGTGATCAGGAAGCACAGGCAGTTGGGGAAGCTGTAGAGTATAGGATAAATGTTTAATGGCAAGATAAACAAGCACCACACCCACAGCCAGCTTGCAGCAAGAAGGTAATCTCACCTTTGCCCCCACTAACGTTCTAAAGAATTATTTTAAGTGCCTTGAGAATTGGACAGAAAAATGGAAGCTTCTTTTTGAATTGGAAGAAAACTTTTAAGAAATTGGAGAACAGGTTTGAGCACAGTACTAGCTGAAATCTAACCCCTGCCCTGAACTTAATAATTGGACTTAGATAGCCATTCTGTGTTAACTTCACTCCTAAATTGTCCCCTATTGGCGTAATAATACTGATATCCTCTGCCTTCAAAACTCTCTGCCTTGCTTACTGAACGAGGCCCACTCAGCATGCCAGCTCTGGGAGGATAAGGACGCTTGTGTAGAGGCAGTTCCAAGGGGGGTGTTTGTCATATACGTGGTTTTGCATATACATGGAATGCATGATGTGATGATACTGTATTGTTGTTACCCTTGTTGAACCTAGACATCTTTCTGTTTTGCAAGGTGCTGAAGGTAATGCATGCCAGTCCTTAGGATTTGCTGATGGTGTCAGATACAACCTTCTTTCCAGATCCACCTTTAGTTCCAACTTTCAACAAGTGATTCCCCTTCCTCCTTTGCAGTCTTCCCTTTTCTTTTCCCATTCTGCAAAAGTGCCCGGCAGCTGCCATTTTAGATTGCCTTCTCTTGCCCAACACTACTTTCCTTGTGCAATCTTTTTTCCTTTGTGTTTCCACTTTCCCCCCTATCAATCTTTTAAAAAAAGACTTACCAAAGGGTAGGGGGACTGTATGGTGGTAAAGCCATTTTTGCAACCCATCTCCTATCACGGTGCAACCAAGCGGTGAGTCATGTCAATGGGCATCTATTTCTTTCAGCATCTAGTTTTGTAAAAATGTGCTGCAGGCAGGACTGATACAGGTGAAGGAAGCTTATGTGACTTGATGGCCATATCTCAAAAAGATCTGAAATTTAAACCTGCCATAGTGAAGTTACACTCTCTCTGCCTCGGATCGGCTCTGTGAGAGGGTGTTTAGTGTGTAGCTCTCATTAGGATCATCCAGCTGTCACACAAAGGAGGTGTTTTGCCACTAGCAGTTTTTGTTCAAGTGATGCATGTTGTCTGTTGGTGTATCCAGATGAACTCAGCATCTACCTGGTGAATCACAGCAAATGTTCGCCAGACTACTTATAGGCAGGGGCAGCCTTTCAGGTTTCCTTAATTGGGAGTAGGAAGAGATTTTAGAATAAATGTGGGATGGGGAGCAAGAGACACAGCAATAGTGAAATGCCTGCATTTTTAAAAGCATTTGTTGTTTATTTTTATTTTCTAACTCCCCCCGCCCCCAATTCTTCTTCTGTCATGGAGCCCATAGAAGTGTACATGTGGTTCCCATCCAAGCACTGATCAGACGCAGCTTCATGTGGTTTTAAGCCATAACCTGGGACTTCAAAATAGCCACATTTATGGTGGTGTTGAAGGAAACAAAAACCCCTCCATATGGCTTGAAATGGGATAGAGCAACTACCTACACCCACTTGGCTTCCCAAAATAGTGCCTTGAGAATTCTGTGGCCATTTCTATTTTAGGTAGAAGTAGCAAGTCCCTTTTTAAAAGTGACCTATGCTAGCATGAAAGAGCAAGGAAATCCAGAGGAAATTGTAGCAACAATAGACTAGTGGTGGCTGGGGACCATCAAGACTGTTGGGGCAGATTGCAGGGAGCCCAAGCAGCAGGCAGAGCCCAAGCCAATGACAGGTTGGTTTTGTTTTTTGCCCCCAGCCTCCTCTCTGCTGAGTTCTATAAAGACAACATTGAGACTACAGAGGAAGAAGTCGACTGGTTGTGCAACCACCCCCCGGATTGGTTGTAAGTAAGATGGCAGACAGGTGGGGGCTGGGAGAGGGCAGACTGAGGCTGGTGGGGCAGTGCCCCACTTGCCATAACAGACCTGGCTCCACTGCAACAGGCTATAGGAACAAAAGTCATCCTGGGCACCCATCTCCTATTTTCCCCATCTATAATTATCTAAATTGATCGTAAGGCATTCTGCAAGCAGTATTGCTTCCAAAATCTGACAGTAAAGTTTGGTCACACCAATTTATAGTTTGTTCCAGGCCTCCATTGGTATTAAATTACCTAGTTTCAGATTTGTATCATTTTAATTTGATATTTTATGTCTAAAAAAGAAATTGCCTCACTTTCACGTTCCCTCACTTTCAATATTTGTCCATCAAAGCTAACAATGGCCCAGGGAAATGTCCATATTAGTTCTTAGTAAAAAGCAAGCAAGGAAAGGAACAACTTTGTTTTCAGGCTGCTAACATCTTCACATCAAACTTCCACTGTCGTAATACGTTATATCTGTTTCATTGATTTCAATGTCAGGGTCCCCCTGCCCAGATTGTCAGGAGATGAATATGGTACAGTTTGAAATAATTTTATTTGAATATTTATAGCCCACCTCTCTTTTGTAACTTCTGAGGTGGTTCATGGCATACTTAAAACCAGCAATATATAAAAACAGCAAAATAAAACAGAAATCCAATCTTTTAAAAGCAACAAAAACGTTTAAAGCAGTAGGAGAAAATCAGACGAAAAGGCACAGAGGTCCATTAAAAACCTGTGCAACAGAAATGTCTTCTTCAGCTGGGATGTGAAAACTATGGACAGGGGCACCACATTAAGGAGCAGAGGCAGGGAATTATGTAAGCAAGGTGCCACAACAACAAAAAAACTCTGTCTAGAGATGGTGGAGCTCTCAGAAACTCGCCTTGGATTAACTTGGAAAATCAGAAAAAGGTAATTTTTTTAGTCAATCCAAGGGCTTGGAAATATTACCTCTGCCCTTTGTCCACTGCCCTGCAGCATTCCTCTCCCTATAATCTCATCGAGTGAACCCACATAATTATATTGCATTGCATTGCATTGTATTGTATTGTGGAGGGGGTGGTAGAGTGCTTTGGGGGCAAAAACCAAGGGAAGAGGAGCCTATCTCTTGTAGAGGACTCACAGGGGTTTGGTTTGCCTCTCCCACTCTGTGTTTTGGCCCTGTACATCTTTATTCCATCCCCATTTGATTTCATGATGGGTATCCATTACACACTACTGCGTACTGCTCAGTCCAAGAGCTGATCTGACCATATTTGTCAATGAGTGTCTGCTTCTTTTTTCTAACAACTTTACCAGATTGAATGTTTTCTAGTTTCTTTAGGCATACAATCCAAATAACCAACGGTGTGTGTTTGTTTGTGTGTGTGAGAGAGAGTGAGAGAGAGATGCTTAGTTTTTGCCGTTTGAGGGTACATTTTAAATAGTACTGCTTCAGCTTACTTTATCAGTTAGGAATGGCCTTTTGAAATGGAAATCAATCTCTTAACTTAATTTGAATCTAAAATTGCTTGGACATTCAGGGCTCGGCTCTGTGGTCTCCTTAAGGCAGTTTTCATGAAGTTCCAATTAGGATTATAATCAAATTTTTGAAACTCTTCAATCACATTGTGCTCACATATTATTATATAAGGAAACTTGTTTGTGCATTCAGTGTGTTTATATTCTTCAGACTCTTTTTATCGGCTATTAGACATGCAGCTCCCATGACCTCCCTTTTGTCCTTTCTTAATTCTGTACTTCAGAAGAATATAAAACAAGAAGTTGCTGTCTGTGAACATCATTCTTATTTGGAAAGGAAACCAAATCCACTTGTCATTCTAAAACTCACTTATAACCACAAGATGGGCATGCCATTTATCTAGGTAACAATACAAACCTGAATGTTCAAGTGATGAGTCATTTTGAGAGATGTCAGTTTTGGGGGGGCTCTCTGCTTGAGACAATATAAATGGACCTATTTCCCTATATTCCAACTACTTCAATTTTAACACTGGTAATTTGAGGGAGAGCTCAAATTTCTGCCTGATGCAATAAAAAGGCTTATTGCTGAAAGGTGCAGGATCCTCAGGCTGGATCAGAAATCTGATGTTTGGAAGGGGGAGGGTGTTTTAACGCTTGTCCCCCTGCTGTGATCCTGGATCCACACTGGGAGATGTGCCATTTATCTGTAAAAAACCAATCCTATAATTATTAATTGCAGGATTGATATCTCATCTAGTTTGGCCAAAAGACAAATATTCTGACCCCCAAGGTTTGCGCACAGCAGAATGATAGAATGCTGAGGCAGTACAATGGTCTGTGCTCTTTCAGAATGCTGGTAGGAGAGGCATTTTAATGCTCTACAATTGCATGTGTAGACGTGTGTGTGTGTGTGTGTGTGTGTGTGTATTGTTTCACACCACTCCAATATCTTAGTGGTGTGAGATTCCAGAGGTTCCTGGTGTTTACGCAGGGTTTGTGTTTTCTTTTGGAATGAGGCACAGTGGAGACTGTGGGGTCTTTATGATATGTGGTTTATTTACACATATATACAACCTGAGCCTACGATGGAGGGGTTGGTAGCATTAACACCCCAAGAGGGTCTTGCTTCTGTTGCGGCCACAGCCTTGGGATTCTAACAAAAATCAAGTATATCTCTGTCTCCCAGCCTTCTAGCATCTGGTTCACAAAACTCAACTCTCAGTTCTGGCCTTTGTCTTTCTAACTACCACCTAGTTGAGGGACCCACCTAGGGTTGCAAAATTGCAAAGAAATTGGATGTTTTTGAGCTTTTTCTGAGGAAAGTCGACTGCCATATGTCTGGATTTTCCCGGTCATTTAGCCAATTTCTGCCCGGACACTGATTGCGGCTGCAATATTCCAGATATGCCTGGGTAATTCTGGACATATGGGAACCCTAGACCCATCTGTTACAGAGCCACTTCCTTAGTTACCTTAATGGTCCATACTTAGAGGACTTCACTGGGAAGCTAGCCAGGCTATCCCAGGAATTGAATATGTGCTGGATCCAGGGCATACACAGCCTAACCCACTCCAAACTCATATTAGTATGTAATTTACATAGCATATGATGTTTGAGTTAGGTCTGTGTTGCACTGCTGAATTAGTAAGACTTCCTCCTATTATTTCGTCTTAAGAAACTCAATTCTTTATTCTTTTTCTTGAGATCTTTCCAGGCTTTGTTTCATTTCGCTAGAGAGCCTAACAAGATCACGATCATGAATGCAATGCTTGAAAAAGCACTGGCTTAAATGCTGCAAAATGCACCAGGTTTTTTCACAATATCTCATTAATTTGTTTTAGCCAAATAAAGTAAAAAGAAGATGATGATACATTACACACAACATCTTTAGGCTGTCATTTTATATATAAGAGGGGTTTGATTAATTATACAAAATCATTAAAGGAAATGTCAGTTGTAGAGGAATAAAGAAAAACTCCCAAGTACAGAGCTCAGATCCAGGTAAATGTGATTGATGCTCATTGTTGTTCTCACTGTGAGGCTCCATCAATGTAATTAAATTAAAAGTGAGGAAGTGGGCTGAAATGGTCTCATCACTTCTTAGAAACATGAGGATGATGGAGAGAGAGTCTAACAAGTAAGTAGCATCCACATACAACAAAAATGCAATAAAGGCTGGGGCGGGGAGAGGACCTTGGTCAATTGGATATTGTTGAATGTTTCATCTTAATTTTCTTCTCTGCTGCAGAAACAAGCTTGTCTCATTGGGAATATTATAGTTCATTCATGTCCAAACAAATTAATGTCTCAGCTTACTAAAACAATTTTGTCTGTTCTATATCACTTGGTATTGCCAGACATGAAACCTGGAAGGCTTGCTGTGGTTTGATTTGAAGAATTTAAACAATTTCTCTTTGAAAACCTTTTGTGGTAGGGCAAGATGTAGTTGATATCAGCTAAAATAGATGTGCTATTTTGTTAGCTAGGACCCCAAGTTAGGGAAGTAATATTTCTATGTTATATGGCTTGGCTTTAAAGACCAGTTGTGCTTTGCACACTAGAGTGAACATACAAGCTAACATTCATGGACAGAGGCACAAGAAATATCTGTAATTTGAGCGGGGAGGGAGCAGTGGCAGCATATTCACAACCATGGCTAAGGCTGTTCTGAACAATTATAGCAGATCCATATAGAAGAAAAAAGGCAGCTCCATGATCACCACATGTTTTGCCCTCATTATCATCTCTATACATATGTTAATAGCGCACTTAGGTGACTGCATGTTATTCAGTTTAGAAGCAAAACAGGGCCACCTATAAACAAAATGGTAATTTCTTCATGGGGGCGGGGGCCACACACAAAACTATGTGAGTTCGTAAATTAAAAGGAAAAAAATGACCAGGTCTGTTAAGCCTGACAGTTGCTCTGTGTTGATGTCCCCTAGAACTCATTAAAAAGATTCCCTTGAGAAACACAGCTTGAAAATGGCTGCTTATCCAGTACAGAGATGGGTGGTGGTTGCGACCCAGCACGGTGCTTCCCCCTCCTTCTGAAGCCACACCACATTTGCCCTGACCGTTGGCTCCTCTCCCTTGGCTGCCGCAGTGCCTGCTGGATTCCTGCCAAACCCAGTTTTAAAATTTCTGGCCAATCCGCAGTGGCCTAGGGGGCAGGGCCATCTTGGCAGTGCAGTCAGCCCGATTGTATCACCCACCCAGCCCATCCTCTAATCTTGTTTTCTTGCAGACTAACCTTTTCTTTCCAGGCGTGTGGCCGTGGCCATGGTTGCACACTGGTTGCTGTCTTCAGAGCTGGGAAGGAATTTCCCTGCTCTGCAGGTTTTGCCTTCCCCGTAGCAATTGTCACAACTTTGGCTGTTTATTCCTTGGCCAGAATCCTTCAGTCAAACATCTGAGGAAGGGGTGACTCATCCACTTCCTGTGGCGGTAATAACAGGGTACCCCATTAGAGGGGTAATGAGTGTAGTCTCTGTCCACAAGCACACGACGGATGGGCCATAGAGCTACTCTCAGCGATTCGGGGAGGGAGCAGTTGCGTAAACTCATGTTTGCGTTGGTGCCATCTTCCCCTCACTGACCCTGTCATGCCTCAGACCCCCAGCAGGGGGCTGAGATGGATACCCGCCCAATGCCTATGCCAAGGTTTACCTACATCTGAATTCAATAAAGTTGTGGCCGTTTTTATCCCGAATACATGTTGCCGTGTCTTCTCCTTTCACCATGAGGCCTGGCTCCTGGGGGAGGGAGTACTGCATTTGGGTACTTAACCACTGGGCTAATGCCGCTTCAGATTTGTTTTAATTTGAGAGTAGAGAACTTGTGGCCCTCCAGACATTTTTGGATTGCTGTTCCCAACAGCCCCAGCTAGCATGGCTAATAGCCAAAAATGATAGTTCAGCAACAACTGGAGGGCCCAAAGTTCCCCACACCTGTTTTAAATTGCTCACAGAAGAAAGCTCATCTATATTGGTACTTGCAGTTGGGGATTAGGATATATGTTTATTCAGACTAGCAGGAATTTTTCCAAGTCTTTGGGATTTTTTCCTTGCTTGGCTGTGCCAGGAGATTGGACCTGAGATCTTTGGCATGCAAAGCATGAGCCCTATCCGTGAGCTATTGTCTTCTGCAATAAAGGCATGGTATGCTGCTGGAAACAATAAGAGAAATAATAGGCCATGGAAGACAGAGTTGGTAGTGAGAGCAGAAATACTTTGGAATGAATTTGTACCTGGAAATAATTGGGTAGTTAAGCATATATCCATGCCACCAAGACTGCAATCTCAAATGGTTAACCGTTAATAAGTCTCATTGAAATTAGTGAGACTTGCTTCTGGTTAAGCTATAAAAGAGCTTTTCTGCGTTCTCCACCCATAATGTGAAAGAAAACCTACATAAACTAGAATGGGTGTTGTATTTTACCATGCAAAGAGTAAAGAGAAGTTTCTGCTGCAATCCTTATGCCCATTTACCTAAATAAACTGAACTCAGTGAGACTTACTTCTGAATGAACCTGTATAGGATTGCTCTGTGAGGCATGTTGTTAGTGTCAACACCTTGAAGCACCATGCAGTTTAAAACTGGGGAAATCCATCTTGTGGTCCAGCAGCTTACTGGATTCATATGCCTTTGTGTGTTATAGAAAACATACATTAGTCATTTTTTTAAAAAAATCTTCCCCTCTGTGAGTGAGGATCAGAAGAAATTTATTTTCCAGAAGACTCACATTCTGAGGACTTAAAGCACTCTAAAATTATGCCACCTGCTATTAAATCAAAAGAATGGGCAGCCCTATATGGGTCTCGAGATCATTTTAAAATCGTGTTATTTTGTTGTCGGCATTTCCTTGCTTTTAGCTGCCATTATTTAAAAATCCATTTCCTTAAAGCTGATATCTAAGTTACAGCTTTTGGATATTGTAACAGTGAACATGTTAATGCATTCTAATTTGTCTAATTTATACCTGAAATGGGATGGGGAACATGTGAAAAGGTTGTCCAAGAAAGACATGCTGTTGGGAGAACGGAATTAGATTTAAGTACTAAGGAAGGAATTTGCAATACTAGTGTGTCTCTTCTCGCTTTCTCATTCAAAACTCTGATGCTTCAGCCATATTCTTTGATAAGCAAAAGCATATCTTCTTCAGATGTGCAGTAAGTCTAGAACTCTAAAGAACAAGTATTTCCATCAATAAGGTTGTGCCAAATAGTATGGAAAACAGCCTTATTAGAAGAACTAACCAATAAACTGAAACTGACACGGGGGAAATGGAAGAAGATGCCTTCACCCCTTTATCACATACACAGCCCAACAAGACAACGACAAGAATCCACCAACAGCATACGAATCAATATGGCTAACCTGACTCAAAACACCCACCCACCCCACTCACACATGAAAACAAAGTTCGCCACAAACAACCACACCCTAGGCCAACCTCAACCTCTCTCACCACCAAAGGAACACAAGTGAAACATTAGGAAGAACTTCCTGACAGTAAGAGCTGTTCGACAGTGGAATTTGCTGCCAAGGAGTGTGGTGGAGTCTCCTTCTTTGGACGTCTTTAAGCAGAGGCTTGACAACCATATGTCAGGAGTGCTCTGATTGTGTTTCCTGCTTGGCAGGGGGTTGGACTCGATGGCCCTTATGGACTCTTCCAACTCTATGATTCTATGATTCTATGAATAGTAAAGAAAACCCGCACGAGTGACGCTGACACAAAACGCCACACATATGTTAAGTAAAATAGAAACATTGCCACCCGACTCCACCCCCACTCACCATGGCCCCCTCCACCTCTTTCCCCCTTTTCTTCCTAATGTACAGTGGTGCCCCGCAAGACGAATGCCTCGCAAGACGAAAAACTCGCTAGACGAAAGGGTTTTCCGTTTTTTTAGTCGTTCTGCAAGACGAATTTCCCTATGGGCTTGCTTCGCAAGACGAAACGTCTTGCGAGTTCTTGTGAGTTTGTTTCCTTTTTCTTAAAGCCGCTAAGCCGTTAATAGCCGCTAAGCCGCTAATAGCCACTAAGCTGCTAATAGCCGTGCTTCGCAAGACGAAAAAACCGCAAGATGAAGAGACTCGCGGAACGGATTAATTTCGTCTTGCAAGGCACCACTGTAACACTAATGTCTCGGCATATGAAACTGATCTGTAGAAAATGTAGCTTGAAAAGAGAGACATTGCACATACTTTTGTAAACCAAGAAATCTTTCATAAAAAAATACGTTTTAAAAAATAAGGTTGTTCTCCGTTATGATAATTAGGGATGGAACCTACAGCTACAGATGCAGTTTAGCTTTGAATACATTGAGAGATTTCTTTTTATGGTTCTAAAACAGTATGCCTAGCAGTGAAGAAAACTGTATGTTTTTATTCACAATTTTAAACTCACAATTTTAAGTCAGTGTAACTAAAAAAACACTTATTAGCTAAAGGGTATTTAACTGATGGGGAACATCAGTTATTCTGTCACAGCACCTGAGTATGCAAAGCATTTATCCTCAAAGGGGCTAAAAGTACATAAGGTAAAACTTAATGATTTAAGATGGAGGAAAATTCTGAATTCATGCTGTTCAGATAGCAGGAGCAGCCTCGGCCTATCTTGCAACAAGTCTGCTCATAAGCAAAAATCAACCTACTGGTTCCTTCTGTCTAGCAGGGATTTCAGTCACATACCTCTAAACGTCTCCTCCCTCAATAGCAATTTTCAATGGCATAACATTACACAGCCTCTGTGCAGGGTGATATGTGACTTTCCATTTAATAATTCAAAATATAATGATTACCAATTTATATATGGTATGACTTTTGAAGCACATTTTCTTCTTCTTCAAAAGCATTTTTATTGATTTTCTATTGCAAATTTACCGTGGAGTGAGAAGGGAGAAAAAAAGAGGGAAGGGAACCCCTCCCCCACTTTGTCAGCTCACCCTAGCAATCCAATAACCATCATTATACCCATCTTAATTTATACATATAGCTTGATATATGTTTTCCAAATAGATACCCAAGCAGCGTTGGTGTTTATAACAAGTGTTCAAATGTAGCAAGGGTGTACAAACCGTTGTGTAATAGATGGTGGGTATTTATCCTTCCAGCTCAAAGTATAATTCTCTCATTTTTTTTGTGCTTGCTTGCACCAAGGGCTGATATCTCTATTGTCCCATCCTGAATTCAGAACTGCAGCTGGAATCTGCTTACTATGGCAGTCCTCCCAGTGAAGGCAGTGCTAAGCAGATCTGGGAGCAAACCTAGCCCAGGGAGATGATGCGCATTTCTCCATAAGAATGCAGCAGCTGTGTAAAATTTTAAACCCTAAATAACCATGGGTGAGTCATTCTAAAAAAAGAAAACGTAAAGGTGCTAAGAAATGCAAATTATTTGCTGGAAGAATCAGAGAAGCCAAAATGGCTTTGAAGAGATTAAGAAGTGTGCCTATGTATCTGCTGTATAATCCTGAAATTATATCAGTGTTCATTATGCAAAAAGTATGGAACACAAGTCTAAGCATCCTGCAGTGGCAATGTCTTAAAGAATATGCAGGGCTTATCAGAAAATTAATATCTTGTTTAACGGATTTGTAACAGGTTCCTCTGAACAACACTTTTCTCCTTAAAGTTACTTTTGGAAATAATAATTATTTACGAATACCAAGTTTACATGTTTTACTCTGAAGTCTCTGTCAGACACATTTTATCTTTTTCCTTTGACAGCACCTCACTAGCTTATTTTTGCTCCATTAATCTTCCCAGCTTCATATATCTCCATTTTGTTATCATGTTTTTACTTATTGACTTCGTTTAAAAATTGCAATATTGAAGGTATGGTCTATGGGGGAGGGGGGAGAAGCATTTTGCTCTGATGTTTTAAAGCGACTTATTTCTTTCTTCTTTCCCCTTGAACTTAACAAGCAACAGACAAGGAAAGCAGATCTGTGGCTTGTCAGGTAACCAGAGGGTGGCACTGGTCTTTCATATCTAGATGGTTTAGGTCATGCCGTGAAATATTTAAAAGAATTTATGTAAGTTGCAAGCAATGTGTGCATTCTATAGTCTCTCCCAAACATCTGTGACTGAAACAAGTAACCGTGACATATTTATATATACTCTTATTTCTAGAGACTTGTAGTTTAGAGCTAAGCTATATACAGCCAAAGATGCAAGCATCAAGATAACCATTGTTACTATAGGTTTAGTCTCTGCCATTATGATGCCAATACATCTCAGTAGTATTTTGTACAAAACTTAAATCAAATCAGCAAACAGATATGCAAGCACCCCAAACAATGCCTCAGAATGCACAGGACCTGTTTCAGTTACATATTTCTTGAAATAAGGAAGTTCTTTGTTTTTTTAACTGAAGCACCCTAGATCTGGCTCAGCCTTCTATTGTAATTGCAAACATTTTTGCTGGTGTACTTGCCTGCAGTGCTGTTACATTATAGATTTTGATGTGGCAGTGAACCAGCAATGTAATTGTTTGGTTTCCCCTAAAGCAGAAGAAAAGAAAACATTGTTGTTTCCCGCTTTAGTCCCTGGGGAATATTTGGGGGCTTTGAACTAGAAGAAAGGTTGCAGGTTCTATAACAATGTCAGAAGAGGCCTGGTGAATCAGACCAAAGGTCCATCATCTAATCCAGCCTCTTGTACTCACAGTGGCCAACCAGGTGCCTGTGGAAAACCGAGAAAGAAGTTATGAGCACAACACTCTCCCCCATTTGTGATTCCCAGTAATGGGTAGTCAGAGGCATTTCAACTCCGATACTGGAATTGGCCGAAGTCTTTGTAAAATCTGAAAACAGAAACTTGGGGATGGGACCTGGAAAATCCTTAAAGGTCCTGAAGACTGTTCCTCAAGTCTACAGTATAGCTCTTGACATAGGGCAAGAAGGTGCTCACGTGGCAGAAGGCAGATAGTTAAGTGCTCCAGTTGAATAAACCATGTACCCAGGATATTAACATTGCCTGGATCTCTTATGTGGAGCACTGTGTTTTCATTTATTCTTCTGCAGTGCCCAAGAAACAACAGAGTTTCAATGCTTAAAAGAAAAATATGTCCCAGTACAGCAAAATGTATTTATTTGCTTGAAGCTAAAACTCAGATGTGAACTGCAACCAGACAGAGGCATTTCTGAGTAAAGTGGTTTCATTTATTCTTCATTGCAGGCTGATCTCTCAAAAATTTGCTTTGAAAATCAGAACACTCAACCATTTACCACGTTGGGGCTGTCAAGGAAATTAAAGGGGGATCAGAGTAATTCTACAATCAAGGGCTACAAACAAGTATGAGCAGAGTAATAGCCAGTGGACTGTGGAGATCCAGAACCTACATTCCTTCTATAAAATGAAATGAACCTGAACATTAAGATGCTTACCTACACTTCTCGCATTCTGCACTCTGTTGTGTATTCCCTGCATGCACATGCTTCTATTGATCAAACCTTGGGCGAAAAATCAAACAGTGGCATACTGTAAACAACTGCTATAACAATACATCAGCATGGGTAGAAAAATTCTGCATACACAATATGTAGATTTATTTTTTATTAAAAAAAACCCTGCCTTCTAAATTTTGTAATATCAGGTGTTGGTGTGGCTTATTTATTCTTATAAACCCCAGTCTTGTAAGCAATATACATTTGGGTGTATGTTTAAGAAATTGTCATAACATTGTATAAGGAAATAGTTCTTCCCCAAATCACCATGTTTTCCTTTTTAAAAAAGATATTTTATCCAGCATTTAACCATTAAGTATCTATAAACATTACATACTTTGAAGAGCATCCAGTCAGCATTCAGTGCTCTCTTTCATTCCTGTTAATGCCAGCTGTAGAGCATTCCAGTTGTAGAGCATACCTTTTACATGAAAAAGGTCCCAGTTTCCATACCTGACATCTCCACAGAAAACTGGAAAAGACCCCTGTCTGAAACCCTGGAGAGCTACTGTGAGCCAGTGTAGAGCAGTGGTTTTCTGATTTGGGGTCACCTTTAGTCCAAATGTGCATTTGGGGACCCACTTTTTAAATGTGTGTTGCTGTTAATTTGAAAGGGGATAGTGCTTCTGTTGCCACCCAGCCTGGATCAGCCTGCAACTCCACATCACACCATTGTAGTGGGTTGGCACAATACTTACTGGTTATAACTAAATTAGTGGATGTCCTCTAGGGCACTAGTCAAAGCTCTTCTGGGTAGACTTCCCCACAACATTTATTTTTAAAATGTTTCTTTTCAGAAGTTTTGAACTGCAAATGTTGCACTCGTGTGGAAAGTTCAGTGGTACCTTGGGTTACATACGCTTCAGGTTACATACGCTTCAGGTTACAGACTCCACTAACCCAGAAATAGTACCTTGGGTTAAGAACTTTGCTTCAGGATGAGAACAGAAATCGTGCTCTGGCGGCATGGCGGCAGCAGGAGGCCCCATTAGCTAAAGTGGTGCTTCAGGTTAAGAACTGTTTCAGGTTAAGAACGGACCTCTGGAACAAATTAAGTACTTAGTACCACTGTACTAACATTTATATTTGTTTATTTATTCATTCCTAATTCCTATATTAGGGTTGCTATATTTCTAACAGTGAAAAGTTGTTGAACTATTTTTAAGGAAAATAGCCAAAAACGACATTGCTGACATGAGTTGCCATATGTCTGGGTTTTCTTGGACATTTTTTGTGATTTCTGCCTGGACACTGCTTCCGACTGCTGTATTCCGGATATGTCCAGGAAATTCCAGAAGTATGACAATCCTGTAAGAATCTTTGATAGGTATGGGACCCGAGCCTATTCTTCTTTCAGATCAATTTTTATAGTGTCAAGCCTATGTGCCATTTGTGACAATGTTCCAACAATTAACAAACATCTTTGCAATTATGTATGAGGCACAAATGTTCACTTTACTTTCATTCATGGGCAGTGTATCCCTTTCCCACAGGGCACTTATCTGAGGCCTGCACATGAGCATCTAATTGTTTTCATTGTGTTTACATTTTTGCATGTGATGCTATGAGTTCCTGGAGTACTTTTTGATAGATGGGTGGAATATGGATTTTTGGAATGAATGCAATATAGTCCTGGCTTACCTAACATCTTACCCATCTTTCAATCATTCTCTCAGAACTGCCTTTTTAATTTTTTGTAAATGTCTAGCCTTATGCTTGCTGGAATTCATGGGGCAATCTTTGGTGGTAAAGAGTCCCTTACATTTAGACAACGCTAAGCATCAAGATTATAGAATCAATCAGCAAATAGTCTCAAAGCTGCGGAAAAGATTTCACTCAGCTTCTGCATTTCAAAGGGAAATAGGATAACCTTAGGATCACTCAGATAAGGACTATGTCTTAAGTGATTTACGAAGCAGAGCCTCAGTTGGGAAATGTATTAGCAGGCTTGCATCAAGGCAGATAAAAGGCTTTACGTGCTGGTCCAAAATGTTTGTGCTGTCTCCAATCCCTGAACTATGTTTCTGTAAATGTGACATGAGTTAACACCATGGTTTGTGATGTGCTGGCAGCACAATAGTAGGTATTTCATTTCATCCCACACTCTTATTTACAGTTGTTTGTCCACCTTATGCTCACATGCTGGTGCTAAAACAAACCTATGTACAAAACAAACTAAGTTTTGCAAACCCCATGGATTCACTGAAACTGACTGAAATTATGGGTGTGGTGTAGTTAAAGCTTCCCCAAGATTTCATCTCACCTGGTAACATCATGTTAAACCATCTGGGAGAGGGCAGGGTCATGTGGGAGAAACCACATCCTAAGTCTGCCTCCAGTCCAGTCTTTGGATGGATAATTCCAACACTGTTCCCTCCTTCCTCACATGCTTTTTGTTGTTGTTTTGTTTCTTTTCCTCTAATACTGTTAAATTTCATGATGGGGCAGCATCCACTCTCCTAAAGTAATAGTAGTGGCATACAGACATGGGATGAACAGAGACTTGCTTCCAACAAGTGTGTTATGATTTATTAAAGCTTATTTAAAACAACAGCAGGAAGATATAATATATTGCAGATTGGTTATCTAACAGTGCTTAGTTTCACAATTGTTTAAATATGGTTACTGTTGCTTTAAAATCAGTGGCTGTTGCCCTAGTTCTCATCCCCATGTGAATCTAATATGCTGTTCCCCATTCCTCCTCCCCTAGTTAACTCACACTAATTTAGAGGACTTCCTTTGAAATCTTTTCATTATATGGAATCCAGTTCACATTCCAGGTTCTCGGAATAGTTTGGAAAGATGTGAGTAGACGTTTGCTCTGACCCACTTCTACCTATGTGATTAAGCTGTTTGTGAATTTGTCCTTAAATTACTAGGCTGGTGCTCTTAATAAGGATGTATGGATGGCTGTGTGTGTGTGTATGCCTGAACACACACACCATTTTAATTGGGAGGGAAAGGATAAATTTTCCACATGGTATGATCCCACTGAAAAAAGCCTCCTACCCCTCTGGCCTTCTATCAATTTTTAAAAACCCATTCTGCGTGGAGTGGCATGTTTACCATCAATGCTAGTTGGGCTGTCAGGAATATATTGTTCTCTGGTGATTAGAACATTCCAGACTCGAAACAGCTGGCCTTCTGCTTCATTTCTGAGGTGGCAGTTCTGAGGAGATGCCTCAGTGTTGCAAACTATGTGGAGAGAATATTTTATCACTTTTGTGATTTTCTTGTGGTTTTGTTTCCCTGATAAAAAGGCTGTTACACAGAAGTGTTGTTACTTTTGTTCAAAATAGGCAGAATTCTCCTCTTCAATTGTCATCATTTGTTGGTGTTTTGTTTTGTTTTGTTTTGTTAAAGAAGACTCGTAAACCCATTAGCCCTGGTTCCCCCTTTATTAGCATCCATCATTGTAACTCCATTAGCATTAATAGGGTCATCCTGCATTGTGAAAGAAAACCAAGCTTGTGAATATTTTGGGAAAGGAAAGCTGCATAGTGAGAGAACTCAAAAGATTGCTTTTTATAACCATGAAATTCTTTTTGTGCTCAAGTGAGAAATACGATACGCTTTCTCTCCAAGGCCCCAGCCTTTCTGTAAAGACCTAGAAAAACTTTCCTTGAAACATCAGAGAGATGGATGAGGATCTAAATTTTTTGACCAGTGCCAGAAAACCTGAACAAGCCTTAAACTGTTTTGAACATCCCTCATTGTTACAGAAAACCCCTGACTGAAGTGAAGATACCAATATGAAGGTGATTTTCAAAGGTCTGAATAAGCTCTAATGCTGAAGAGAGCTACACAGTGTCCGTGAAGCTGTATTTTGCAACATCACTTCTTCAGTAAAATAGCCATGTTGTGTGGACCTACTAGGCATTCCCTGAGGTAATTGTTCTTAGTAGCTGGACAGGGAAGAAAGAGAAAATCTAATGGGGATGTTTGCTGTTAAATTTGGCTTGTTCAGAATGCCATTCATGTCAGCAGCAGTAGTGGGAAATGCATTCCTTGGAGGCTGGATTTGCTGCCCCTGTGGATCCTGTTGCCTGAGGCAGTCACCTCCACTTGCCTCATGGGTGGACCGGCCCTGCTTACTCTACAACACTGCAGCACTTTGCTTCAGGAACAAGCCACTAGCTTGCTTTCTACTGCACTACATCTACCAACAGCAAGGATCAGTTAATGCCAGGAGACCAGTGAGCTTCCATCTGGTCCAAAAAGTAGTATACTGACTCTGGCCTGCTTTTTGGTATATAAAACATCACAGGTTTGTAAACATAGTAGACGGTGCTGCTTTTGGACTCTCCTGCTTGCCTACAAACCACAAGACACTTTCCCTGAACCAAAGTAGAAAAGTTGCCTGGTGGTATTAGATGCCTTACTCATCTCTTCTCTAAGGTATGTTTTATGGGTACCTCAAACCCAGCCACAGCCAAATGTATGCATTTTTTTCACTCAAGGTGAAATGAACACTCCACCCCACACATGCATGTGAGTGTGTGAGTGTTGTATCTCTCTTTCAAAACTGAGATATTTATGTGGATAAAACTACAGTGGTACCTCGGGTTAAGTACTTAATTCGTTCCGGAGGTCTGTTCTTAACCTGAAACTGTTCTTAACCTGAAGCACCACTTTAGCTAATGGGGCTTCCTGCTGCCGCCGTGCCGCCGGAGCACGATTTCTGTTCTTATCCTGAAGCAAAGTTCTTAACCCGAGGTACTATTTCTGGGTTAGAGGAGTCTGTAACCTGAAGCGTATGTAACCTGAAGCGTATGTAACCCGAGGTACAACTGTACCTTCAAAAGCACCAGGATGGATAGGACACACTACATCAAACACAACTGCACCTGCAGTATAATCTATATCAAGTGAAAAAAAAGTCATAAAGTCATATCCACTAAGCACATGTTTTAGAAACCACAAATCTGCAATTTTTAACAAAAAGGTGGAGAAGCCAGTAGCTAAAACATTTCAGGTCTGAGAACCACTTATCAACAACTGCAGCAGAAGTGCCAACTGATCCCACAGCATTAGTGAAGACGGAGAACTTCTGGGCACATTAATATCACATGGCTTCAACCTGGCTGGTGGTACCAATATCACTTAGCTTTGGCAAATGATGCCTTTCTAAACATTCCACCCTCAAAGCTCTGTAAGTGCTGCCTTGTAAACGACAACCTTTCATTTTTATCAGAGTGGTTGACAAAGGCACAAGCCGAAACATTTTGCCACATAAATAAAATCTGTTATGTTATCCGCAGTACCATATATTTTAGTTACAAACCAAATCCCCAAAGGGATATAGGGAAAGCTTGTGTGAAGTGTTGTTTGATGCTTTTTATAATTATCTACCTATCTGTAATTCTTGTTGCTATTATTTATATCTTGGCTTTCAGGATACAAAGCCTTACAAGTAATATTAAACCACATTTTTTAAAAACTAAACAGTAGCAAGATATAAAAGGCCATCATGATAATTCCCATAGGGTAGTTGATGTTACCTGGTTCTGTGAGGGAGTGGGGGAGATATGTGATTTCTTAATAGTCATCCATATTCTCCTTATGCATGGAGGTCTGAGAAGAAAAGTACAGAGCTAATCCGAGCAGCTCAGTCAATGTACGCCTTGGTTTGGGCCAGTGAGGTCGTGGTGGAAGTTCTGCATTCTGTAACGGCAGGGCATATTAATAAATACACATGTATAACATCTACTGAGGGAATTCCATTTGCAAAATTATTTTGTTTTGGATTATCATTGAACAACCATTTGCCTTTTCAAATTCAATCTTGTGCTATTACGCTGCCATTCCTTTAAAAACATCCACTGCTCGCTTCCAGCAAAGGTTTTGTGTTCATGCTTGTTTAGTGCACAATTGAATTAGGTAATTGTTTCAGTAGACAGATTGTTCTTGCAGATTTCAGATTTGTTTGTGGTCATCTGCATCTTGGTTTTGGCCAAGGAAAAGTTTGTTCACACGATTGGGCAGAATTATAGGGGGTTGTTTGGCACAAAGGGGTTAAATATCACATGAATAAAGGTACTGTAAAGACTCGTAAAGACTTAGAAATGAATTGGAGCACTTCTTGAATTAATGAAATATTGAAGATTTGACTGACATTTGCAGATTTCAGCATTCTTTTTTTGCCACCAAAAGCACCCTAGGAACTGTAGTTCTGTGGGGACTAAAGACCTTTCAAAGCAGAACTCCTTGGAATCTTTCTGGGGGAAGACATAGCGCTTAAACTAGCGTAAAAGCAATATATGTTAATGGTGTGTACATAAACCTAAGATAACTGGTAAATATGATCACATTTACAACATTGTTCTGTCATCTGTTTGTTTCTGGGACCAATGCAAAGTGCTGTCTTTAACCTTTAAAGCACTAAACAGCTTGCAGCCATATAATCTGAAGGGTTGTCTTGTCCCATAGGTACCTGTCAGGGCTTTCAAATCCTCATTGATGGCTGGGGTGCTTCTTCAGGTTCTCCCACCTAATAATTTGAGGTTGATAACTACTCAATAAGAGCTTTTGGGTGGTGTTGCTCCATTTATGGAATGGCCCTACCAGAGAGTCTTGCTTGGTGCTGATGTTGTTTAGTCTTTTAACTGTCATGTAAAAATACCTTTTGTGTTCTCCCAAGCCCTTTAATTTTAATTATAATGGCTATG